CCATATCCATACTAATATTATAAATGTGAAAGTGTGTTTGTTTGTTTGTCCTTCTTTAACGTCGAAACGGAGTAACGGATTGGCGTGATTTTTTGTGTGAAGATAGTTGGAGGGCTGGAGAGTGACATAGGCTACTTTTTATCGCGGGAGATTACTTAATTCCCACGGGAAAACATATTATAATACAATCTAAAAAATATTTATTAACAGAATTACTTGAAACTTGGTATATATACTCTTCAATAAAATTAAATAAATAAGTGTCTTAGCATTTTTCAAAATTCATCCTTTAAGGGGTTAAAATAGGGGATGAAAGTTTGTATAAAACTACCTTTTAGAGATTTAGTTTTAGCGCGAGCGAAGCCGCGGGTTCTGCAGTATTGATATAAACCTAGTGACTGTAAGTAGATTAAAAAAAAATGGAAGAAAAATGGTTAGCTTTTAATGTTTTTTTATACTTTGATTTTTATATTTAAATGTAATTTTTTTCTGTTTTATAAAAATCTTGTTGTCTACTCTATGTGTATGTATGTAAATTAGTGGAAACCTTGCTGGTTAGTGTAATATTTTATCTGTTATGTACCTACCTATGTTATAAAATACTGTGTGTTTCCCAAATGAAATAAAAAAATATAGTCTGGAATAGCACTTGAGCTACTTTTTATCCTGGAACAATAAACGCTTCCCGAGGGATAGATTTGTTTTTGTTTTAAATAAAATAAAAACGGTGGGAGGTTTGCAGTATCACAAAGGTCTAATTCTATTCCCTTTTTAGCTTAAAATATATATCTTATTATATACAGCCTGTAATAGATAGTTTTTTAATATTTTTTTTCAACATGTTTTTTTTCCTCTCTCTGTATATCTTTCAAATCCGTCATCGTAATATCGCAAAGAAATAACAAATATACACAAACATACAAACTTTCGACTTTTATAATAGGAGACCGATATTTTATATATATGGTCTAATAAAAAAATAACAGCATTTTCTTAAAGACATTTGACTTTAGTAATCGTTAAGATATTAGTCATTATTTGCGTGAATAGTAATTGTTAGCAGATGCATTAATAGATGGACAAAGATGATAATGTTTGAAAAAAAGACACGATAAGGACTTGTTGATTTCTTTGAATGTCAAATATAATTTGAGTGATAGAATAAATAATTTATATGAATAAAAACGAATGTTGCTAAGCGCAAAACCCGTTTTCGTATGTTCCATTATGGTACACGGAAAGTTTCAATGAGGAAAAATATAAAATAAGATATATATATATATATATATATATATATATATATATATATATATATATATATATATATATATATATATATATATATATTACTAGCATTGCCGCGGCTCCGCCCACGTCCAGATGACCAAAAACCAAATTCTTAGGTTTTACATATTAATATACTCTTACTTTGCAGTTTTTGTATATTTTCTCAGAAATGAGATATTTTCTCGCGGTAAAAAGTATCCTATATGTTCGCCCGGATAACCAGCTATCACCATACCAAATTTCATTAAAATCCCTCTAGTAGTTTTTCCGTGATGCGGTAACGGACAGACAGACAGACAAAATTTCTAAAAACTATAGATTCGGCCTCTGTATCGATAATAGTGTTTATTTCAATAAGATTTTCCAAAAAATATTTAATGTACAGATTCGGCTTAGTTATTGTATTAAAACAAAGTCGTGTTAGTTATATATACAATTTATAACTTAAGAACGGCTGGACCAATTTTTATGATATTTGATTTTTTGGATTTCTCTTAGTCCGGAATAGGATAATAAGTATTAAAACATCAGGAAAATTAACGAAAAAAAATCAAAATTTATATTGCTAACGCTCGCTAATAACTATTTATATATATTTAAAACGTATACGACAAACCCGAGGGAAGCGAGGGTGAGATGCTAGGTATATTAATAATTTTGTATTTTTACATATTATATCACTAAGTATTAAATTTTACTGTTGCCATGGTAACCGTTATTATTGTCTGACAAATAACATATAATATTATATTCTTTCCTTCTTTTCTTTCCATTGCGGCCACTTTTACATAGGTGAGAGGTATTTTATCATGCACAGAAAAAAATAGCTTTAATTTGATATATAAATGATGCATGTACGCTATGAACGCATAAACATACCAAAAAATGACCCGCTTATACCTCGCTGCGAAGAGGTTGCGGCCAAATGCGCAACGGCAGCTATCATTTTTCAAGATCTCTACATATAGTTCTGCGAAGTGGAGTATAATTCATTGTAATAACAAATGCATCGTTTTTACTCCAAAAAGTCAACTATTATTTAAACATACTTGCGGGCAAATTTGAATAGGCACCCCGGTCAAAACATATTGTCCCTTTTATTATTGTACATAAAAAATTAATTTCGATTAAATACGCAATGAACGTAGTAATCTTGCAGTAGGTTCACGATCCATACCTACTAATATTCCATTACCTGTTATTTATAATAAAATGATTTAAAATGTATACCTAATTACGAAACTTGACGATTGCTTAATTTTGAAGCAAAGCTTGTACATTTTCTTTTACAAAGTATGATGGTGATATGAATTAGAAAACTTGTCAACGTCTACATTTCATTGCTCGTAACTGTACTCACCTAATAGAATAAATATCAATCTCTTCGAAAATTACATTTAAAATGACCAATGGAATAAGTAAATGAAGACTTTTGGCAACGTTAGTTTTCAATTAAACTGCATTAAAATTGTCTGAACAAGCAATAATAATTAGGTATAACAGTTAACAACCTTCTAGACTTACATATGATGCCGCAGATAGACATATACATCTACATGCACGCACGCACGCACGCACGCACGCACGCACGCACGCACGCACGCATGCACACAAGGAAACACAAGTAATACACGGCGATTGACTACACTCCTTTTTAATTCGGCTAACAAGTTAATAGACCCCTCATACGGCCAATACAAAACTACAATTAATGCCAATTAATGATCAATCAACCGTTTCTAACTAATTGACCTACTAATAGGGTACCAATTAATTACATTTATTGTATTACTTTCTCTAATGACATATGTATTAGACTGTAGAGTATACAGTGACATAAGCGAATATCCATACTAATATTATGAATGCGAAAATAAGTAATAAAGTAACTCTGTCTATCTGTCTGTCTGTAACGTTTTTACGTCTAAACTCCTGAACGAGATGGACGGGACCTTGGAAAAGGACATAGGTTACTTTTTGTCGCAATAATGAAATTTGAAGGGGGTGAAAAAGGGGTTGAAATTTTCCCCTCCAACGTGCGTTCACCTTGTCGTGTCGTGTCGTGTTCAGCCGGACCGTTCAACATACGTAAACCGGAAAATTGGCATTGAGAAATGAATGCAATGGCCATTAGATGAAATACGTATGATACTTTTTATCCCACAAATTTGCTTCCGTGAAATGATGTTATTTTATGTACTTTCATTCTTAATATATAAATAGACTAGCTTTTAACCACAGTTTCAATATTATGTCTAGAAGAATCCGCGGCTTAGCCCGTGTTCAATCTACAAAAAAAACAACTCTTTTGCTTTATATTATATAGCGACTCATCCTCGCTTCGCTCGGGTTCGTACCGATCTTAATATATAATATATGTAATTCTTTTGTACGTATGTTAGTCACCTAACTCCTCCTTAACGGGAGGCGCTGGACCGAATAGTTGAAATTTTGTGTGTATATTTCAATGGGTTCCTGGATGGTTTGAAAATACAAATGGACTCAGTAGGTGGCGCTGCAGTCGATGTGTCACAAAATTTTCATAAAAGACTCCATTTTCCGAGCAATAAATAAATTTAAATTGTTGATTAAATAAAATAAAAATTGATGTATGTATGTATGTTTCCTATGGACTCCAAAACAGCTGGAGCGATTTTGATAAAATTTTCAGGTAATCTTCAGAGTAGCCTAGCGTGTGCTGTAAATTTTGTTAGCAATCGGAAGTTTGGACGCAGGCGAAGCCGCGGGTACTGCTAGTGTATTTATATAATATTAAATTATTAGGGTATTGTTCACACAAAAATATTAATATCGCGTTAAAGTAATAGGTGGTAGGGGTTGGAAGATGAAAAATACTTCACGACCTAGCCTCATACGTACCAAATATAAAAAATAACATTAAAATCGGTCGAGCCCTTTCGGAGGAGCGCGACCACAAACACCGTATCACACGAGATATTTATATATTAGATTGATCTACCCCGAAGAAATGTAGCGTATTAAATAACCTATATCCTCCCCCAATAAATCGTCTAGAAAATGCAAGAAGAGTTTTTCAAGCCGGACTTGTAGTTCCAGGGATTAGCGCATTCAAGCAAACAGGAAATTAAACAAAATTTTAGTTTTAAAACATTAATAGCTATAGATGGCGCTGTCTAAAATGAGAATACATAAAATATTATAAATGAAAACGTTACGTGTATGTGTGTATGTTTGTTTCTCCTTCACTCTTAAACTGATGTACGAATTTAGATGAAACTTAGTACACATACAGACTGTTACCTGAAGAAACACATAAGCTAACTTCTTTCAAATTCAGTTGCAATATTTGACCCGATCAAACATACATACAAACAGCGCTAGATTTACACTAGGTGCACTCGGGGCTAGTGCCCAGGGCGGTAAAATTTGGAAGGTGGCAATAAAAATGTCTTCGCGTTATCGAACATGTTTTTTTTATTTTCAAAAAAAAATGTAAAGTAAAAAAAAATTAACTAGAAGGTAAATTTTTTGAAAAATTGATATCATTTATAATTTTTTTTTTGCATTTTTCGAAAGTTAATAATAAAAAATTTAAACTTTCAATATTTTATTCAAAATATTGATAATGAGGCGGCATTTTTTACTGTGCCCAGGGGCGGCGTAAAGTTAAATCCGGCCCTGCGGTACAAACATTGTGTAAGTTAAATAAAAGCTTGTAAAAAGAAACTTACCAGATCTTGAGTAAGTATAACATCACGTCGTGGATGTGGACTCGATTCGGGTGTATCCACTGGAGAGAACCAGTTCACTGTGGACTCGCCATGGGTAGACTGTGGCGGCCTTTGGGGGCCAAGTAATGGTGTCCTTTCTGATACACTGCTTTGAACTGTTGGAAATTGATGCTAATTATATTCATACTAAAACTAAGTAATTCGGTCAGTGTGGCTATCTTGTACATTTTCTTAAACCGTTTAAGATGAAATATAGTATGGAGAAAGTTTGAGTCCCTGGAAAGGACATAGGATAGTTTTCATCCCGGAAATCATCCCTTAAGAGGGATGAAAATTGAGGTGGAAGTTTGTATGGCTACGTATGTATACGTACTTTTATATGACAGTCGGGAAATCATCACATTAAATGAGCAATTCTTGTATAAATATAGATTTATTTCGTGTATCTCGGAAACGGCTCTAATGATTTGCATAAAAACTTTGTATTTAGTTGAGGTTTTTCTTTTAAATTTATCTCTATAGGTATTTTCTAAAAACACATTTTTTACAAAAAAAACATAACTGATTATGATGATGATGATGATGAGCCTTTTTCTATCGGCAATGCTGACAATGTCATATAGCACCATCTCGCAAATTTTTGTGTTACTTGCGTTGACGCCAATGGATGATAACCTATGAAAAGCGCCTACGCCGGGCGAAACGAAGGTCGACCAGTATACATAAACAAATTATATCAGAGGTGCGAGACCCGGGACTTGAACCCGCTTTACTCGGGAACCCAAGCGAGCGCGCTACCACAGGACTACCGCTGCTATTTAACAAAATAATAAACAAAAAATAAGCACTCGAACACTCACCTATCGACTCCATAATATATTTCGCCTGTAGCTCTTGAGGTAAAACTCTGAAGTCCAGAAACCATGCCTCCCCCCACGAGAGGGTGAATGAAGTCAGTATTAGGAACACTTGGTAGACTGGTTGCGATGCGTCTGGCCACTGGGGTATGGGAAACGTGTGGATGAAGATATAATATAGTTTGTAGTAGGGTGGAGTGAATCAGGCCAAAAAAAATTTTACTTTCTTTTTTTGAAGTGAAAACTTCCATAGGGGATTGGATGGGGAGTAAATTCATGTAAGTCGTCATCGACATGGTCACGTGACGTGTTAACGCTAACACTCGGACTGCCGATAGATGTCAAAACCAGATAAATGTAAACAGTTTTAATTTATAAATTTTCATTTAAGATCAAGCAATTAATTTGAATATCCAAAAATAACAACTGTTCGTTTATAGTTTTAAGTTTTCACTTCTGTCGGCCCGATCCGGGACTATAACCGTGGACCTTCGGATCTGCAGCCACTACAATGTAAGCCATTAGACCACGGTGAAGTATAAGAAGTCTTTAAACTTTCGTGATCATACGAGTATCATGTACATTAATTTAAGATTGAAAACCACATAGTCTATTTGTTTCTCTATCTAAATATACCCCATATTTTTTTTTCAATTTAGCTTGACAATAAAACGTAAAAAGATTTAATTATATTTTTTAAACTTACGTCATATACGAAGACTTTTCCTATTAAAAAAGCACACGTTCCTCCCGTCGAGAGCTGAAAAACAAACATTTTTTTCAATAAAACCTCTTTATATATATATACTTTATAAATAAATAAAAAAAAGAAAATAATGAAAACCATGATAAAAATTAATAAGTATCGAATGAAATAAAAAAATAAACTTACACATCAAAAAAACAAGTTTTTTTTTAAATAACATATTGTAACAAGATATAAAAAACCAGCTGCACAGACATCAAGTTCTAAGTAGTTTAGTATAGAAATAAATAAAATAAACTCACCGCAATAACACTCCAATTATTTATATATAATATGGCGTAAAATAATAATAATAAAATAAACCGAAGCACTGCGACTATTACTATATCAAATAACGACACTTTTATATCGTAATGTATAATTTCTCTGTTGAAAATTTGTATTAAAGTTTCTCCTTTCATCTGTAAAAGAAAAGAAAATACTTTATTAATTTTCGTGAAGGCAGTGGTAGCCCAGTGGTAACACGCTTGCTAGGGAAACCGAGTGAAGCGGGTTCAAATCCCAGGTCTCGCACCTCTGATATTTTCATGTGCAAATCATTTCTAACATGATTACCACTTGTCATATGATGAAGGAAAACATCGTACGGAAACCTGCATGTCTGAGGAGAGCCTAGCAAGTTTTCGAAAGACATGGTCAGTCCGCCCACACTCGACCTGCGTGGTGCACTATGGCATGGTCCCCCTCGGATGAAGGAAGGCCCACACCCAGCAATGGGACATTAAAAAGAGTGAATACAATACAATTTTCGTTCAAAACCTCAGACTAGGGAAAACACAGACAGTCTCATAGAACTAAACATAAAGCCAAACAATAATGATTTAAAATAGTGACGTTTAATATATTGAGTTATAAGCAAATAAATAAAAATAACTAATTATATTATTATATAATAAAGAAAAAAATTATTACTTTAAGAGTTGCCAATATTTCGGCACTGTTACAAGCGCCATGGTCACGGGTATACAGACCCGTATACAAGACAAAAGTAAGTGCTAAACATGATAAATACCCCGTTTTACATCGTAATAATATGGTACCATGAAAACCTTCTGATGATGAAGTCGGAAGATGAGCATACTTATCAAATAATTTTTACTAGCTTATGGGACGAAAGCTTACCTATTTTTTGAATATTTTTAATATAATTTCCTGTTACCTGATTTGGGCATCGATGGCCAATCTCACTGAGATTCATGTGCATACATCATAGTGAAGGTATGTGAGAGAGAGAGCGCACACACAATATACATTCGCTATCTCTTTCACTCTCAAATTCGAAACTCTCTTAACGTTTTTGTTCCAGACTTTTACGAAGAATTCCTAACAGAAAACGCCTGCAATGACTCTCAGACCGACCCGGGATTCGAACTCAGGACCTCGTTATCTGTCACCGTACACTAGCCATTAGACCAACCAGGCAGTTTTGTATATTAGATACATTAAAAAATTTAAACGTAAGTATCTCTATATGAATATTTGAAAGTGGCGCCACCATACCCTAAATTAAAGCCAAATTTTTAAATTTTTAATTTGAAGGGTTACGTACCATGACACAAATAAGCCACATCAAACTCGTGAACAGTATATCAAAAGTGACGAAAAGGCAGAAGAAACGACGGACCCTCGACATTCTACCCTGTGGCCTGTGTCCCGCTACTAAATCTTCAGCTACTAAGTTTACTGACTGAGAATGTGCTGAAATAAAAAAAAAGGTATAAACAAATTAATAAAAAAAAAACCGTAACAATAGTGACAGACATCTTGTTTTTTTTATTTGGATGTTTACATTTTGTCCGACTTCTAATAAACTCAATAGTTTGTTATTCATTGACTTTAAAATGGCTGGCTGGATTTGGTTAAGAGTACACATACTATTGGGCACCTAGTGAAGATCTCAAGTCATTGTAAGTCGCTACCAGGGCTCGGAAATTCATTCAATTTTTAAACCAGTTTTAGTCATTGACCCTAAACCGAAAGGCTTTTCGGTTACGTTGTTTAACCGGTTGAAACCCGGAAAATAGCTTTGGACTACTTTAGGTTCTATAGTATAATATTATATGATCTGTGGTTCTATGAATGAAATTAACAGGTAAAAATGAGTCTTTGTGCGTTTACATTTGGCGAATCTCTGCTAATAGTGAATTACTTAGTAGAAAGATATATGTACGTTTCTTAGGTATGAATGAATTAAACGGATTATTGAAGTAAAACTTCTTTACGCACGCTTGACTTGGGGGGTAAGCTAGTGAATGCGTTACGAAAAAATGTACATAGGTACGTTTGTTGCCATGGTAACTGTTGTTACTGTCTGACAAATGATGTTTTATAAATATATGATTGTAATATGCCTATTATGCGTTATTTTTAGTATCTCAAACTATCCTAATTATTTTAAAACATAAATTGAATTTCATAAAGAATATCGATAACCTACAGAAGTTTTACTTCTTGCGCGTGTACACATTCATACACGCACTCTTTAATTTTTATTTCGGTATAACCTAAATGTAACCATTCTCTAAGAATCAAAAATAAGCATTATTATTTCGGTTTACTAAGCCGTTTATTTTTATTAACCGGTTAATGAACGACGATGAATTATATTATCGACATTACTTTTTGTAAAGCGGTTCCGAACCCTGGTTGCTACTAGTATTACAAATATTTTTACAACATATTTTAACATAAATATTATGAAAACACTTACATATATTTCTATATGGTGGGCTTGTGACACTACTATAGAGGGACTCTGCCACCTCCCTTATGTGATAATCTGCCATGTTTGCTGAAACCATTAAGATAACTGACTTTATGTAAAGAAATTTATTATTATTGTTTGTTTAACCGTTCGTATATCCTTAATAATGTTAAAAAAATATTCAAAATTTTATGAGTAAATGATTGAGTATGTTTCTTACTTATGTAATTTTAGTGAAATTGATAATGCAGATAGCTTATATTATTATTTTTAACGTTGGGAAATGCATTTATGCATACCACCTGCATATATACAGGTGGTTATGTGGGATTCACTGGTTAGAGAACCCATTACTAACCACTAAAACCCAACAGAATCTACAGCGTATTAATGGGGCGTCGCAGGAGCACTAAAGCACTCAACCACGACACGACACCCCACACCGCACAAGCATACCAAGACAACCAAGGGGTTGCTCCCAAGATCCACTATGCTATCAGAGAAGTAGCAGGAGCAGTACGTATGGTACACCATCCACCGGAGAGGGCCACCTCCCAGTGACTCTTGGCTTCACGCCCGGCTGGATTGCCGGACACTAATAAGACCCCACCACGATAAGGTGAACACACATACGGGGGAAAGTAGTTTATATTTTTGTTTAACCTGGACTTTATATTTTATATACAAACGGAGCCACAGGACACACTTTGCATGCATATTTCAGCCTTTTTTGCACCATATCTCCCAGTCTCTAGTAATGATTTATTCCAATTGTAAAATACACACCTATAAACAATTAATAGAACATGCCTTATCATAAAACGGTCTCAAGGTTAAATAGTTCATCATCCACACTTTTAATATTATAAATGTAAAAGTGTGTTTGCTTGTTTGTCCTTCTTTCACGTCGAAACAAAGTGACGTATTGGCGTGATTTTTTGTGTGGATGTAGTTTTAGAGCTGGAGAGTGACATATGCTACTTTTAACCTCTGGAAAATACGCTATAATACAACCCACAACAACACATCATGCTAATTATTAAAACGTATCTAGAGACGAACCTGAGTCACTTGTCACTACATTAATTTAATTGAAAAAAAAAGATTGAAAAAAAAAAGATTAACCTTAGTATTAATTACAGGTTAGATTTTTAATAGAAACTAATAATAAAAAATTATACTTTAATATTATACTTGAAATTAGTCCAACAGAGGTCTAGGTCAACTATGTACATTCTAAGCATGTTTTATAAACCACTGTCTAACTAGAGACTCACCCTTTCTTCGCTCAATCGCTCGAAATAGATAGAATATAATATATTGAGAAATGATTGATTCCTCATACAAACTTTTATTCCCCTTTTCGGCCCCCTAGGGGCTGATTTCCGGGATAAAAACTATCCTATGTCCTTCCCAGGATCTCCAACTATCTTCATAGCAAATTTCATCTAAATCGGTTTAGTAGTTCCAGAGATTACTTACTACAAACAAACTTACAAACTTTACCTATTTATAATATTAGTGTAGATTTAGAACTGATTCATATACAATTTTTTTACTTAGTCATCAAATAAAATTCTACATTTAAGTCAACAAAAATTTTAAATGACCACTGAGAAGTTAATCAATGTGACTAAAAATAGTTGCTTACTACTATATTGACAGAGACAGTGGTAATGTTAACTTATGTTACAATGGTAGTGTGGGAAACCAAGGGAAGTGAGTCAAATCCCGCGACTAGCACTTTTCATATGCAAATTATTTTCACCATGATTACCACTTGTCTTACCATGAAGAAAACATTGTAAGGAAAGATACATGTCTGTGAGAATATAGCAAGTTATCGAAAGTCAACTATAAAAGTTATTATATAATAATTTAAGAGACAACTTTCTTTAAATTTAACAGTAATATACATAAAATAAATGTTACTGATACATATAAAAAAATATCGTTCTAACATTACCTATGAACGACTTACCCTCAATTCGCTCGGGTGAGTCCATAGGTATGTTTTAATTTTTTTGAGTAGGACCTAAATTCTTACTATTATACTACTTCCTACAGCTACAATGGACCAAAACTGGTCGACGTAGCTAGGGCCGACCTCGGCACCACACCCAACACTAATAATAATAAAATACTACTTCCTATTATTACTTCTTATAATATATATTGTATTGTATTATTTATTTAAAATTTGACTTATAACTCTATATATATAATAAAATTCTATCTGAATCGAATCTGTACATTAATTGTAATCTGTACATCTGTACATTATTAATATTTTTTGGAAAATCTTATTGAATCATGGTCATTATTATACATCAGGGGTGTTGTAGTGTGTGCGCAAGCGATCCTGCAACGCCTCATTGCACTGCGGCGAAGGGTTCCACTGTGGGTTTTAGTGAGTAGGAGTCTCACAGTACCTTGCCCGTTATGACAGCCGGCAGGGTCCCCATGATGGGTTTCCCCAGTGAAAAAAAAAGAACAGAATGGTCATTATTATACATACAGAGGCAGAATATACAGTTTTTAGAATAATTGTCTATCTGTCTGGCAGCACAGAACGCGAAAAGCACTGGACAGATTTTGATAATTTGTTATGATGATAGCTGTTTAATATATAGGATTACGGGTCAATATATAGGATATCTTTACTGTGGATAAATGTCTCATCTCTAATCTCTAAGGAATCTATACTAACCTTAAAACATAGGGACAAACCCGAGCGGAGCGAGGGAGAGTCATATGCATTTAGTAAAAAACTGTTATTTTTTCATTACAAACAGACACTTCAATTTTATTTATCTGTATTGATTATTCAGAAAGAGTTATCATGCTCTCTCACAACAAAGTATGATGAACAATTATTATTAGTCAACTTCCATAAAGGAAGAGATATTTAATAAGGTGTGCATTATTTTTGCTATGTGTATTTAAGATATTGTTACCCATTGTGAACCAATTATGATCATGTTTTAATAAATTGATTAAACTCAATGTTTTCAAATGACATTAAAAAAGAAAAAAATATGACCTCTGAACCAAATACTTTCTGCCTTTTTAGTTAATAATTATAATAAATATATTATTCCTGGTACCTACTTTATAATTTGCAAACAATAGAAACATGTAAATGAATAATTTAGATAAAGCAGTGTTTAATATTATTTGATAATAACTGCTATCATTCTTAAATATGTCCATATAATAATTTAGGTGAATGTTTTTATCATATACATATGTAAAATATGATATTTGTTGTTTATGAAAATGAAGCACTAATTATTATAAATTTAGCTAAAAATTAATATATGGTAAGCTATTTGGAGGCATATATCTGTCCATTCAAGTAAGTGCCTGCCAATTATTTTGAGCATTTTGTTTCTAGATTTGATAAATGAGGCAAATATTGTTAAATTACCTATGTATACCATTTGTAGTTGATATATATAGTATTTACTATGTTATAATACTACTTCTTTGTACTAATACACTACAATTTACTACAGTGGTTTAATTAAGTTCCAAAAAAAACATAGTTTAATTATATGCAAAACATTATAATATCATACAACAACAATGGCAGATTCAATAATGATAAAATTTTAAGATTAATTTAACTTCGAAGCAGTTTGGTATGAAACTAAAGCATGATTTATTTATCTTGTACATAATTAGTATGTATATACAGCAAAACAAAATATAATTTCAAAAATTTCAACAATATAAAATAGTAGCAGCATTTTATATATTATATCTTATTTTTTTTTTCAATTTATGAATAATCATTATAATTCAATTAAATTAGTCATCACTAACAACAGTAAGTAATATCTACATAACTTTTTATTTAATTCATTTGTTTACTTAAAGCATAAGCATGTTTTATTTTCTGAGGACTGCCATACTTTTTAAGCCATTTAAATTAGCAACAAAGGCATTACTCACTTGTTAACTGAGATTCTAATGCTTAAACTGAGAAGAAATTCATTATTTACACACAAAATGCGTCTCGGTGGTTTCGTTGCTTTTAAATAACATTTGTACACGATATGCGTTGTGATAAATGTTATGATAATATTTTTTTTTATTTATTATTAGCTTAACGTAACTACAGCACTTGCAAAAATGTACAACTATAAACTAAATGAGTTATGACATTGACATTTTGATAGGCATTCTGCCAGTGTCACGTTTTGTGAGGAAGACACGAATAAGATTGAGCGGTAATTTTGAAATTTAAAAACTTTAATGCGGAAACAAAACTATAAATGCAAATTAACTTTATCAATCGAGCGAAATTATGAAAGCTAGTCTATGAAACAGATGACGTTACCATCAGTTGATGACATACAGTAAAAAAATATCATATTAAAACTGACTTGCATAGTGTATCTAAAATCTATATAAATGTCATAATTAAAAAAAAAAATTACCTACTCTAATTGGTCCAGCCGTTCTCGAGTTTTGCGCTTAGCGACAGATTTAGCCATTTATTTTTATTTATTAGGCTTAAATAATCTATCTTTTAAATTATAATAAGAAATAATTAAATGTATTCAATAAATACTTTACATTATTTATATCTATAAAACATTGCATGGGATGGATGGATAGGATGAATGTTATTGTGTGTACCAACTTTATTTTTCAAATACCAGCTTTTAGCGACATCTCACATCTGTATTTACTGGGCCATTATCTAACATCCCTGTTTAGCTGTGTCAATCTTTCCATGTTTTTAGTATTTCGAAGTATTGCTATAACGCACTTTTTTCCAGATTCATCGAATTTAACTGTTAAAATTTAATTTAGATTTACTTTGAACGCAAAAAAAAAATAGGAACGAGGAAGAAAGTCATCTAAAAGTATCTATTTTATTATCTGTTTACCTTTAGTCTTACAACAACCTAAACTAAAAATTGAAAACACTGGAGTTTATAATATGGTGAAGTATGAATAAAAATCTCCCGATTTCTCCCGATTTTTAGATGGCAAATTTAACGATTTTTAATTTTTAATATTTCACTTTTGCAACACTGTAAGCTGTTTTGAATTTTTGATGTAGATTTACATAACCCGGACGAAACGATACCACTCTTCCATCGATACTAGTACTCAATACTAGTATCGAATTAAAGTATCGATACACCATTCGATACTATATTAAAGTATCGATATTTGTAAGTACTCATTTAATTTTTAATAACATTATTGAATTCATAAGTGAGGCTTTGCCAGATATGCATAAAAGAGATGGAGGGAAAAAAATGAAAAAGTAGATAAATTTATAATCAATGCTTTATTATGTACTGATAGAAATTATTAAATTTAACCAAAAAATTCATCTTAAGTAGCTCCACTCAGGAAAAGTAACTAATCTAAATGCTTACTGGAAAGCCTGTTGAGATTTTTAGTCATAATTGACCCTGCTTTGGAAAATAACCGTTCACAGGGAACGGAGGTGGCAACTACAACTAAAAAAATTCTTGCTGGTTTATACAGTAGTGGAAACACTGTTTTTATTTCTTCCCATTCTTCTAAAGGATTGCTTTTTAGAGATAATACAGGACTTGATAAATACAGTGATATTTCATCACCATCCTTATTTTTCTTTTTCTTTTTTTGACCCATAACCAACTGTTTATGTGTTTGCCAAAAATCGTACTTTTTTTCAGACGTCTCATTTTCAGACTCTCCACTGCTTTTACCAGTAGAGGCAGTAGTAGGTTCTTTAATAATATTTTTCAATTTTTGTTTAGCAGAACCACAGGCGCTAGCATTTTGAAAATGAAGCAATGAAGCAATTTAAAACGTGGATCTAATAAAGTTGCTATAGCAACATGTTTATTAAATTCTATCTGGCCAAACCTTTTATTGATTTCATTTAATAATTTTTCTTTTATATTAATGATTGTATCATTATCAGAGTGTACAGAATTAATCTGTGTTACTAAGCAATTTAACATGGGAATTATAGAAGAGACAGTAATGTAATTTTCTCCTGAAGACTCTTTAGTTACAAACTCGATCGGTTTGAGTAGTAATATTAATTGCTTCAAAACTTCCAATTCTTGAGCATTTGGGATAATAGGTGAATTAGCATTATCAATTAAAATCAAAGTCAAAATTCTGATCATCTCTACAAATCTTTCTACCATGTAGAATACCGAGTTCCATCTGGTACTGACGTCTAAAATCATTTTCTTTACTGACCCTTCGGGAGTACCATTTTCAATTTGAATTTTACGCAGTTTGTCAGAGTTATTTACACTATTTTGATAAATTTTACAATGTCACGCACTTTAATAATTACCTTTTTAATCTCTGCATCATTAAGTATTGCTTCCGTCACTAAATTTATTGTGTGAGCAAAACATGGTAAATGATTTGTGTCACCAACAACTAATTTTACTCCTGCCACTATATTAGGACCATTGTCTGAAACCACGCATCGGATTTTATGTATAGGAATGCCCCAATTGCTTAAAATGAACTGAAGTTTATCTGCTATGTAAATGGCAGTATGATTCGAATTCAATTCTGTAACTCCAAAACTGCGGTTATATACCTTAATTCCTTCAAAAACATGTACTGTGAGTCCCATGAAACTTTTCTCGCCCATGGTCTCTGTCCATATATCCATGGTGACACACAAGTCGGCTGTGTTTGCTAGTTTTTGTTTAAAAAGATAGAGAGGTTATTTCATATTTTTCTGTCAGTTTTTTTTATAAAAGTAGCCAATGGTACTTTATAAGAAGGAGCAACTTCTTTCATAAGATTTATAAAACCTTGTACTTCTATTATAATAAATGGTCGAAAATCTTTGCAAATAAAATAAAGCAGGGCCATGGTGATTTTATTGTACTTTATGCCTCCCGCTGAAAAAAGAAAACTTTTTACTTTAGTCTATTATAAGTATTTCAAAGCACAAATTAAATTATGCTTGTAATTCTAAGAAAATATAGGTCTGTTCAACAAAAAGGAATCTTAAAAATCAGAAATCGGTGAACATATAAAAAATACACAGTCGAACATTGAACATCCTTCTTTTTTAAAGTCGGCTAAAAAGTTAGGAGTAAGTTATACCTTTTTGAGATGAGATCCGTGCAAATGCGTCCCGAAGCGGTTCAAACGTTTCTTGTTGTTGTTCAACAACATTTAGTGTATTGGTAACAAGTTCGCTGCTTGTACCCGGGCGGACATCATTTTCTGTAGTTTTCCTAAAAAATAAAAATACTGTAACTATAACTGTAATAAAATGGTATTTTTTTTAAATAAGAATTCTTCATGAATCATGAGCTTTATATTTTACTCTATGGATAATAACAATAAATAAAAAATATTCTTACGTGGTTGTGGTCGATATTTTTTGATTGTTTTGGATTTCTTTTCCCCACCATTGACCCATGTACACTAGATAAATGTTTATAGCAATTTGTAATGTTCCCAGAATATTTTATATCCTTAAAACACTTTTTGCAGGTGGCTGTATTTATATCTTTTTTTGTAAAGTATTACCACACTTTAGATAATGGAGACGGCATTTTTTCTTTTTCGTTATTACTGTACGTAGTTTGACCTACCCTACCCCAGCCTGCAAATTTATGATATTTGCAATGAAAAAAATACTAATCGATAGATTTTCAATAGCTCAATTTAACTAGGTAGCCCTTTCAAATTGCTCTTAATTAAAAATCAATAAAGTCTTTGAAAAAAAATTAATTTATCTGTATATTCAAACTCCTATATCTTTTGATGTATACAATATTTCAAATTGCTCAAAGTTCTAAAACACTGCTCAAGTTGCATTTGTAATTGCTCAAGTAGAGTTTTTACCAGCTCCACTTTCGCTGATTATTAAATAATTAAAAGTATAGTTGTAATAAATGTAACGTAGGTTAAGTGAGCGTGCGCATGCGCACCGCGCATTGTCGGTCGGCCTCGGCGGGCTTGGACAATCGTTCCAATTCAACGTCTTAATTCTGTTTCTCGGTGGATTTCTTTAAATTTATTGAATTTATGAATTGTTCACATTACGTGATTCCGTTACGTTAAATTTATTCAAACTATTTATATTTATTTAATAATTAAGGAAAGTGGAGCTGGTGAGAACTCTACTTGAGCAATTACAAATGCAACTTGAGCAGTATTTTAGAACTTTGAGCAATTTAAAATATTGTATATATCAAAAGATATAGAAATTTGAATATACGGATAAATGAATTTTTTTCAAGGACTTTATTGATTTTTAATTTTATAATTAATGGTGAGCAATTTGGAAGGGCTACGTAGTTGAATTGAGCTATTAAAAATCTATCGATTAGTATTTTTTTCATTGCGAATATCATAAATTTGCAGGCTGGGGTAGGGTAGGTCAGTTTACATTTGTTTTCTTTTGATTGAGTTCTCAAAGTCAAACTACGACCTACCCTACCCCAGCCTGCAAATTTATGATATTTGCAATGAAAAAAATACTAATCGATAGATTTTCAATAGCTCAATTTAACTACGTAGCCCTTTCAAATTGCTCACCTTTAATTATTTAATTAAAAATCAATAAAGTCTTTGAAAAAAATTTAATTTATCTGTATATTCAAACTCCTATATCTTTTGATGTATACAATATTTCAAATTGCTCAAAGTTCTAAAACACTGCTCAAGTTGCATTTGTAATTGCTCAAGTAGAGTTTTTACCAGTTCCACTTTCGCTGATTATTAAATAATTAAAAGTATAGTTGTAATAAATGTAACGTAGGTTAAGTGAGCGTGCGCATGCGCACCGCGCATTGTCGGTCGGCCTCGGCGGGCTTGGACAATCGTTCCAATTCAACGTCTTAATTCTGTTTCTCGGTGGATTTCTTTAAATTTATTGAATTTATGAATTGTTCACATTACGTGATTCCACTTCAGATATTATAACATAAAGAACAGATCTGGAATCTACCTATAAATGAAAATTAATACCAACAGATAAATTAAGACAAAATCTTTTGTTCAAATGCTTATTCTATTAAGGTAATAGCCATGACAGGGATCATTAGTAAAATGTTATTAACATCAATACAAGACGGAACTTTTTTTATTTTTAAATATACAAATTTAAATTTTATTTAAATCTATTTTTTTTAAATCTAAATTTTCAAAACCGACTAGAATTGATTTCAACAAATTAGTTTCGTTTGCAATGCGCAAAATACCTGAACACGTGAAAATCATGCCCTATAAAAATGCCTGATAATAGATGATGTTGTGCTTGGAGTATTACAGTTTCATTTCACTATGATGAGGTTATGAAACACTTGATTTTTTTGCCTTGCGACTCGCGTTACTGTTTGCGCGCATGCGCAGCACTCACCTATCTATACGTTAAATTTATTCAAACTATTTATATTTAAGCAATTACAAATGCAACTTGAGCAGTATTTTAGAACTTTGAGCAATTTAAAATATTGTATATATCAAAAGATATAGAAATTTGAATATACGGATAAATAATTTTTTTTTTCAAGGACTTCATTGATTTTTAATTTTATAATTAATGGTGAGCAATTTGGAAGGGCTACGTAGTTGAATTGAGCTATTAAAAATCTATCAATTAGTATTTTTTTCATTGCGAATATCATAAATTTGCAGGCTGGGGTAGGGTAGGTTGATATTCGTCTCGACGAATAGCGGCGCGGCCACAGGGCCCGCAGGCTGGTTGAGGGTACGGAGCGGAGGCGGCTGGCGGCATTGCAACACCAATCAATACGACACTTTCATTCGATACCAGTACTCAATATCGAACATTGCTAACATTCGATACTGAGTGCTAGTATCGAATAAGAGTATCGATACCATTGAGTACTCAGTAGTATCGATTCATCCCTATACTCGATAAAAAAATGTCAGTAATGGAAACGAATGCACATTTTTTTTTCATACTCACATTTTAGTTCATATATTATGGAATGGAACAGAATATTACGATCATACCATTCATACATACACACATGATTATATTATACCCAAGAAAATTAAAAAATAACAGCTGTAGGACAAAATGAAATGAAACAAAATCTGTTTAACAATTATTTATTTACATACACAGGGTCAAGGGTGTAACAAAAGTAAGTGATAATACTTTAGTATAAGTGATAATACTTTTGTGTTCCTTATATAGTTTACAGTGAAAGTACTCAGCGCTGAAAGCGAAAAATTTTTTTTGTGATTTGTATGGGCAAGCGCCACATGAGCTTCCCTATGCAAATCACAAAAAAATTGTTTTACTTTTAGCGCTGCTACTTTGCCAGTGAACTCTATATAAGGGACACTACACACCCTAAAGTATTATCACTTACTTTTGTTACACTCTGTATTTTATTCTGAATCTGATAATGACATGAGTGTTTGCGTCTCAGACTCGGAATCTGAACTGCAACTGCTGTCACCTACATTTATCAATAATGGTTGATCTTCAAGAGTGTTGTATCGCACATCTCGATCCCAATCATCGTAGCAAAGTTTGCACCCCTGAACATATTCCAAAAAAAATATACCAGGTCTAATACATTGCAAAAAAAAACTCCCCGGCGCTTGGGCTAATACAACAACAACATAATGGACATTAAGAATGCACATTATAATATTTTTTAAAACATGTTTACCAACGTGGCTGAATGCAAGCCACGCCTTTGTCTAAAAAAAAAAAATTATCGACACGACCAAAGACACGACCCATCACTAACACGAACTGTCATAGGGATCAAGGTTCGCCGCGCCGAGTATTATATTATATTTTTTTGTAGTATCATTATTTTTTTTATAATTGCAGCACCAATCAATACGATACTTTCATTCGATACATAGAGTATATTGCTACATATGATTCGATACCAGTACTCAGTATCGAACATTGCTAACATTCGATACTGGGTACTAGTATCGAATAAGAGTATCGATACCATATATGTACTCAGTAGTATCGATTCATCCCTTTAATTAATTACAGTTTACAGTAGCAAAAATTGTTATTGCTCGAAGGTAATTTGCAAATATACTACTTTTTGTTCTTTGCCTTCTTTCTTGCTACCCCTTCTTGGCACCGTCGTGTTCCAATTTTTTAATTAAGTTATAGTGATTCTTTATTGTAAACTTTTTCAAGGTATGATATTATTAACACAAAATATAATATGCTTTACTAGTAAAATTGATACAGCGTTATAAATTATAATATTTATTTAATACTTTCAGCCAGGCCCACAGCATCAAGCAACATGAATCCTCCTTCGCCACCATCATCACCATCATCACCATCGAATAATCCTGCATTAGTATGTTTTGTTTTTTTTTTTATTTCTTCTTTCTTGTTAAACCACCATACCCTTGTTGTGTCACAATATTGGCCCGTGCCTATTTGTCTTAAGTTTGTATTTAAAATAAAAATGTAATATAAGTAACTACCTACGTAAAATTAAATTTTGTGTGATATCTTTTTTTGTAAAATATGTATCCTTTATAAATACTCTATAATCTAAGGCTAGCAGAGACAACTTAAAGAACATACTCAATATTACTATTGGCAGTAATCACAAAACTCGGCAGTCAGCTGCGCCTGCACCACACATCTGCAGACTGTTAGAGAGAGCAACAACCCTGTGGCTATTTAAATAATAACTTGATTAGTAGATGCTTATGATAAATATAATTTGAAACATTGCCATAATCATAAGAAATGTTGACCAATGATTTTTCTTGCAATTTGTTTTGAAAATAGAAAATACCATTTAATAAAGGACAGTAGTATTCAAAATTAGTTTTTTTATTTTATAGGAAGCGGGTCCATCGTGCGGTCCTGCAGCACCAACATTGAATGTTCATAGCTATGTTGCCCTACTCAAGGAGCTCTGTGAAGAGTACCATCTCCGAGAGCCCGAGTACAAGCTGATAGGGGACACAAGTCCAGCGCACGAACGCCACTTCACCGTGTGTGCAACCCTGGGCCTGCATGAGCGCCAGACTACTTCCACTACTAAGAAAGCTGCCAGGCAGCTTGCTGCTGAATAACTGTACACATACCTAAGAGAGAACCTCTCCAAATGTAAAACACAGTTCTTCTGAGTAGTTTGTTCTTCTTGACACAGTGGGCGTGGCCGTCACTTGAGCGCTGTGGCATGTTTGACAATCCATCGCCACTCGTCCCTAATAGCTGCTTTCCTTGTGCACTCGTGTAACGGAACACTCACCGCAATTGGTCTGTCCACCTCATGGGCGTAAAATATAGTATTTGCTTTAGTGTTTGGTTGGTTGCACTGTTGTAGGAGAAGCGCAGGGTGGAGGCGGCCAAGCGCGTGGAGGTTGCGGCGGCGGGCGCGGCAGCGGGCGCGGCGGTGGGCGCGGGGGGGGACTCGCCCTGGCGCATCGACCCCAACCAGCGTCTTGCAGACTTCCACCTCGGTCTGCTCACTCATATTGGTAACCCGCGGGGCCCTCTATCTCTCTCACTATATTGTGTTTGCTTTACTACTCACCATTAGCCTTCATTTGTACTGTTTTTGGTTTTTTCATTTAGTGTATGTTTTTTATGAAGAAATTTGGAGTAGTAATGTGTATAATATGTATGTTAGTTTTTATCATTTATTGTCATTGTATAGGTAATTACTTGAGGGGAATTTAAAGTATAAGTTTATACATATGTGTGCCATTAATTAGTTGTTGAATCCTTAATGCATGAAGATTTTTTTTGTATTGACTGAAAAATATATATTCTGTCATACATATACACCTTTTCACTCCAGGCAAGCACACATATATATTTGTTTAAAAAAGTTTCTTTTAATTAAATCAACCAAAATATGCAGAGTCTGGAGTGAGGAGAGGAAATACATTACTATCACATTTACATTTAAATTTTATAAAATGACAGAAATACAATATATAATTTTAGTAGTCCTTTGTTGATTATAAGCTACGAGTATTTGAAAGGCAAGTCTAGTTGGTCTGAGCTTGTGATTGCCGTAAAATATGATTTTGCATCATGAAGGTATTTTTAGTTTTCTAGTTTTATTTTGGTATGGAATCCTCTAATATGTATTTGGTTTTAGATTGGCTTGTATTCAGCTCTTTTTTTTTAACGTCCCACTGCTGGGCACGTGCCTCCCTTACATACGAGGGGGATCAGGCTGGCCAAGTGCGGGTTGCGGACTTCACATGTCTTTCGAAAACTTGCTAGGTTTTCTCAGACATGCAGGTTTCCTCATGATGTTTTCCTTCACCGTAAGGCAAGTGGTAATCATGTTAGAAATGATTTGCACATGAAAATATCAGAGGTGCGAGACCCGGGATTTGAACCCGCTTCACTCGGCTTCCCAAGGGAGCGCGTTACCACTGGACTACCACTAGAGAGTCTACTACCACAGATTGGCTTATGTATTTAAATTACTTTCATTTTTATAATAGTGTAGTACATGTAGTTGTTGCCGAGTGTTTAATTTTAGGTTTTGGTGGTGTTTTTATTATCGTCATGTCATGTCTCCACAATTTCTAATATTATTATATTTTAATATAGAAATATTTAAGATATTATTTAGAAGTTCCGTGTATAATAAATATTGATCATAGTTAATAATTTTTATGATGAGCATTAAAAAAAAATATTAATTTTTAATAAAGTTACTTTTAATCATAATATAATTTATATTTATGACGTGTATGTATATGAAAAGGTCTGTGAGGGATATATGGGAACACAATATCTTTAATTTTTATATTAATCAATAAATATATAGTGAAATTTATCAAAGAACATAATTTAAATGAGAATCAGACATTTTCCTGTGACATTGATATATATTTCTATTTTAAAAGTTTAATGGGGCCAAAGTTGTTTTGTTCAACTCTAAATACATTTATATGAGTAACAATTGCATTTTTTAATTTTCTCAGTTTACTTTACAATCATTGTTACTGTCAGGTGTCGAAATGAGCATGAGCTATATCCAGTTTAATATTAGAAAATATAGGAGTAGACGATGATCGTTTGTGTGTCGCTAGACGATGAGAAGCGGGCCGAGTGCTTGCGCGTGCTGGCTGGTGAGGAGGACGACGACGGTGGGGAGGACGAGGACGAGAAGCTGGTGCGCGTGTGCGCGGTGTTGGGGCTGAGCGTGGAGCGAGTGTCGTTGGGCCCGGTGGCGGTGCGGCGCCTGGTGCCCACCCGGCCGCCGCTGGCCTTCGCCGGGTATTCGCCGCGCGACGCCGCCGGCGCCGCGCTGCGCTACGTGCACCGCGTGCTCACCTTCATCCACTAACTGCAGACTGCTGATACTGATACCGTGGCCCGTGGCTCGTGGCTCTCGGCGACAAGAAACTCGTTCAAATATATTTCAATATCTTTCTAAATGTTTTTTATATCGGTGTTTGTCATTGATATTTGGGGAAAAAATAATAACAGATTTTATCATCATTTTTTTGCACCACATTCTTACAAATTTTCTGGTAGGCATCTATAAAAAAAAATTGCTCAAAGTTTGGCCAACTTTTATTTATTTAGGATAGAATATTTATTACTAACATAGTATTGGGTCATGGACATAAAATATTATCCTTCAACCCTAGAATCTAGCACTTGTAACTGGCGCTAAATAACAAATTATTAATATTTGTTTTTCCACTTCTACTTAGAAATATTCAGTTCATAATGACTTTCTTAGTTTTAAAACAAATGATTCATGACAACATTTTTTATAACCTTTGTACGTAGTGATAAGTAATAATTAAAAACTTGTAACCTTTTCTCAATAAAAATATCAAATAAGTCAATATTCTCTCTTCTTAACGCCATCCCAAATTAATTTCGAGTTATCATTTTTTTTTTACCATGAAGCAAACCGAAACTTCAGCATGTGCATGGCAGCATGCTAGTGTACACACGATGCAGTGGGTGATTTTTATACCAATTTCCAAAAAGGAGGTTCTGTTATTTTAACTATATTCACCGATTTCTCGGAGATGACTGGACCTATTTTGAATCTGTTTTCTATTAAGATAGCTCCCGATGTGGTCCCATTAAATTTTCTTTGACATAGAGTATATTGTTTTCGAGAAAATCAGAAAAAGGTCATATTTTAAGTACCTACTGAGACAGCTCAGAAAGATTTTCCAGGAAAACAAATATTTGGCAATTAATAATTATATTTATTGCTTTCTCTGAATACTCATTTTACATTTAAACTAGAATGCGAATAACCGACTGATACAAAATCTACATCAAATCCACATACTGGCACATAAAATAATTGAATGTTAACACTACATACCTACCTAATTTATGGAAACGGATCTATAATAATAACTATAATTATAATCTTTTTACTTACATTTAAATATAATTGTCATATTGACTTGAAAATTTGTTTGTCTTTTTCGATGATGGTACAGTAATTTGGTGTCATCGAGCTGATCTAATGGTAAAGCCGAAAGGATAGTGGATCTCTTCAGCAGTTATTAGCGAGTACTTGGAGTTATATATTACTAAAAGCTAAGTTTGTTAGTCTTTACACTAATATTATAAATGTTAAAGTGTGTTTGTTTGTTCTTCTTTCATGTCGAAACAGAGACTGATCGGTGTGATTTTTTGTGTGGTGATAACTAGAGGGCTGGAGAGTGACATAGGCTACGTTTTACGTTTACGATTTTGGAACCAGATTTTTTAGTGTTACTATTAGGACTTTTTGGAATAATAATGCAGATTTTACACAATGAATTTTTATTTAGATGAAGCTCAACAAGGTACAAACACCCGGCGTCCACCATTACAGATTATCAAGAAAGAGTTGCCAGTGTTACAAATCAAAATAAGTGTTGCCTTACATAATAGGTTCCTACAGCATATTTAACACACCCCCTCAACACTTAACTTTTGATTAAAAACTTACATAAACTAATATATCACTACATGTCTAGCCCTTAACAACATAAGCAACTACCCCTTAACAACACAATTGACACACTGGCCTTTACAAAATAAAATACAAACATCCACTTAACAAATTCAGTATTAAAAACAATTCTGACGCAACACAAAATAAAATCACCTCTAGATCGAAAACTTATTTTAAAATCTTACTTCTAAGTTTTACATACAATTGTCTTCCTAAAGTCTTAGTAAACACATCACCAAGATTATCACTACTACTAACATAGGATAGACTTACACAACCATCATTTATTTTTTCTATGATAAAATGATATTTAACATCAATATGCTTAAGCCTCTTATTACTGAAGTTGTTTTCTGTTATTTTTATTACACTCTGATTATCCTCATAAATATTTACTTTTAATTTAAATCCAAAATCTAATAACAAGCTTTTTAACCAACATGACTCAACAATACCTAAACACAGCGCTACATATTCTGCCTCAGTTGATGATCAAGATACACATAATTGCTTATTAGTACACCAAGATATTACACAATCAAATACTTTAAATATATATCCTGAAGTAGATTTCCTATCTGTTATATCTCCACCCCAATCAGCATCAACATAAACCTCCAATTTATCATTACCATTACAACCATACATCAATGACAAATCTACTGTACCTTTCACATATCTCAAAACATGCTGTAAACATTTCATTAGCAACATACTGGCACAGTGCTGATATCTACTTAAGAAACCAATCGCTACACATAAATCAGGCCTTGTAGCATTAGAAGCATACAGTAAATTTCCAATTATATGCCTACATTTAAATTCGATTTCTTTATTTTCTGAATTTTCCCTTCTTAACAATTCAAACTTAAAATTCTGATCAATGGGTATGTTACAATCTTTGCAATCAGACATCCCATACTTTCTTAATACTTTTAACAAATACTCCTTCTGATTTATAACAGTCTTTCCATTTTCTATATCCTGCTCAATGCTAATCCCTAAATAATTACAAGCCATACCTAAATCTTTCATAGCAAAGTTCTTACACAACTTCTCCTTAAACTTTCTGATCTGTGTGTCACTATCACTAAAATATAGCAAATCATCAACAAAAATTAGCACATAAATGGAATACTCCTTACAACATTTAAAATACAAACATGGGTCGTTCTTGGATTTTATGAAATCATAAGTACCTACACATAAAATCATTAAACTTTCTATTCCAGTACTTGGGACTTTTCTTCAATCCATATATTGACTTATTTAATTTACTTATTCCTCCATTAGGTAGTTTTATGTATACAGGTTCATCAATGTCACCATAAAGAAAGGCTCCTGTTACATCCATTTGGTATACTGGAAGTTTCTTTCTGGCTGCCATAGCTAACATTGTACGGAAAGTAGTCAAACTCGCAACGGGAGCATAAACTTCTGCACCATCCATATCAGTCTGCTCAAATCCCCTAGCAAGTAATCGGGCCTTGTATTGAATTTCTTGGCTAGGATTTTCTTTTATTCTGAACACCCATTTACTGTTTATTGCCTTTATTCCCTTGGGCAGCATCGCTACTTCAGTCCATGTATTGTTTTATTTCAATGTAGTTATTTCTCTGTTCATAGCTTCTATCCAATTTTCTTTGTCTTCGCATTCCATGGCTTCTTTTAAAGTACTAGGTTCATTATGCACGCTTATAAAACCGACTTCATAGTCATGAAACCAGTTAGGTGATTTTCTAGAGTGTGTTCTTCTAGTATTTTCTGAATTTACTGGCATACTTTCATTTACTTCTTGAATTTCTTCATGCTCTAAAATTTCCTCTTCTAGAAATTCCACTTCTTGCATCATATTGTCATTTACCTGACAATCCTCGAATTCGACACTTCCTTCAGTATCCGACTCAGACTGGTATTCTTCATTGTTCAGGTTTTCTTCTATATCTAAATATATACACTTTTCTTCCTGCTCTTCTCTTTCAGGTTTATCATGTTTCTTCACAAACGTAACTTCTTCTTCTTCTTCTGACGCGGCTTTTTCCGCACTTAGGCATCTTTGCCCGTTGTGCGTGAGCTTGTGCTGCTGTGTGTGTTATTCTTTCCATCCCAGAGCGTCCCAGTAGTCTAGCAGGCTGCCGGTGTCCTGGAAGATTTCTGGGATCGATCTATTGGGGCCGAGTTTTTCTTCGCGTAATTGTTCCAGTGCACTGCATTCAGTTAGAATGTGTGCTGGTGTTTCATCTTCTTGGAGGCACGCTCTGCATAGGGCGCTGTCCGTGTGACCTATGTTAAAAAGATGTTTATTGAGTTGGCAGTGTCCTGTTAACAGTTCCACCACCATTTTTAGTTTGGGTCTATCTAAGCGTGTTAGTTTCATTGTTAATTTTTTTTGTTTAGTGTGGGGAAGGCTTCTTTCGATTGACGGCAATCTGTGTTAGCCTTCAATAATGTGTTAGCTGTGTTATCGGTGAAGTTTCGCAATCATGTTTTGTATTCGCAATACGGAATTGGAGATAGAGGTGTAGGCCCCTGAACTTTCAGTCTAGAGGCCTGTTTGGCTAGGTTATCGGCAGTTGAATTGCCTTTGTTATTTGTGTGACCCTTTACCCAGGATACCTTTACTGTGTTAGTATGGGAAAGGTGTTCCAGCGTTTTGTAACATTCTAGTATGTATTTAGATTATGTTGTGTTTTTAGTTAGTGCTTGTAAAACCGTTTTGCTGTCGGTTTTTATGTGTATAATTGAATTTTTTATCGATTTATTTAGTAGTTCTTGTGCTCCAATTGTGATGCCAACGCATTCTGCTTGTAGCACTGTGTTGTACATACCCATATGATGGTAGGTTTTGATATTGAGAGTGGGGCAGAATATACCTGCACCTACTCCTTCCTTGGATTTGGATCCGTCTGTGTAGATGGTGTGGATTGGTACCATTGTTGGGCTGTTGTCTGCATTTCCGTCCTCTGATGTGTTTAATGTATAATGTTTTTCTATGATGTGTGTTTTACTTATTCTATCGTTTGGCCATTTGAGCTGTGGAAATTCTGCCTCATAGATGTCGAGGATCTTTGTGTGTTTGCCCAGATTGCGTTTCCATGAGTTGACTGATTTTAGTCTTAGAGCTGACAGGGCAGCTTCTTGTTTAATGAAAATGTGTAGAGGTGGTATGCCCAGAATTATTTCTAGGGCAGCCGATGGAGCGGTTTTCATGCAGCCTGTTACTGCTAACGTGGCTGTTCTTTGGAACTTTTGAAGTTCGTTTTGGATTGTGTGTAGTTCTGTTCTGGGCCACCAGACTACACTGGCGTAGGTGAGGGATGCTCGTACCACCGTGGTGTAGAGCCAGAGCATTGTTTTTGGTGTAATACCCCATTGTTTCCCTACATCATCTCTCACTATTTCCACTGCATTTTTCTCTGGAAAATAGATCCTAAACCTTTTAGTGTATTCTCCGTAACCTACAAAAATACCTTTTTCTCCTTTTGCATCGAATTTCCTTCTTTTTTCTTTCGGTATGTACACAAAGACTTCACTGCCAAATATATATAGACCATTTACATCAAACTTCTTCCCTGACCATGGTCAGTTCAGAATCATGACTCATAAGGTGTTTTTCCTTCTTCTTTGCTATGTATGGTAAGTTCTATTCAGAGTGTACACAACTGTGTTAATAGCTTCAGCCCAGAATATTTTGTCCATTCTTTTTGCATGCAACAAAGTTCTTGCTCCTTCAACTAAAGTCCTCATATCCCTTTCAACTTTGCCATTTTGCTCTGGACAATAAGTTACTGTAGTCTCATGTGTCACTCCATGCTCTGCTAATAAAGTTTTCATTTCTGCATTCACAAATTCTGTCCCATTATCAGTGCGAAGTGTACAAACTGTATTATTTAATGTTTTTGCCTTCATAATAAATTATTTAATCTTTTCAACAGTTTCCGTCTTGTAAGTTAAGAAATAAATTGTCCTATAGTTTGAGAAACCATCCTTTAATAAAAGAAAATACCTTGACCCTCCTATTGACTTTTCTTCCATCGGTCCACACAAATCAACATGCACCAACTCGCCTGTCTTACTTGTAGTACTTCTACTGCTATCAAATGATAATCTATGCTGTTTACCTTTTACACAAGCTGTACACGTGGCTATTGGTGATTAATATAATTAATATTATTTTTCTTTAAAATGCGTTTTACTTCCTTATAATTCTGATGTACTAACCTCTCATGCCACTCACTTAACTCAACTTTAGCTACATTAGCCTGCAAAGACTCTGACTTAAAATCGATTACATACAGCTTCGAACATGATTCCTTATTAGCAATAGCACACACTCTATTATTCTTTGAAAATACACACTTGTCATTTGTCATACTAACATGAAAACCATTGCATACCACACTACCTACAGAAAATAGATTAATTTTTAATTTAGGAACATGCATAACATTGTTTATCGAGCAACAGACATATTCTTCACCATCAAATGCCATTATATTTACTTTTCCTATACCTAAAGCATTTAGCTTTCATCCATCGCCTATAATAACAACTTTAGGAGTAGATAATTTTTCATATTCACAAAATAATTCCTTCTGATATGTCTTATGGTGACTAGCACCACTGTCTACTAACCATTTTTCATCTATTGATCGATCACTTGCACTAACTAGCACTGTAGATACAAAAGCACTTTCAGTTTTCTTATTACCTTTGTCACTATTTTCTTTATCTTTCTTATCATTTTAACTAGCTTTACATTTATCCTTAAAATGACCTGGCTTGTGACATAAAAAACATTTAAAATTACCTTTATTTGTACCTTTTTGACCTTTAGAAAATAATGCTACACTTTCTTCTGCCTTACTACTTACTACACTTGCCGTTCTTCTTCTACCAAGAGCCGTGCCGTTAAGTTGTCCAGAGTCTGTTTTTCTTCTGCACACGATTCCCAAGCACTAACAAAGTGAGCATACTTCAGTGGAAGTGACATGATGATCTTCGACATAGCCATCCTGTCGGTTACCGCTTCTCCCAGTCGTTTCAAGGTCTGCTGCTGCTCCTGCACTTTGGAGATGAAGTCCGCGACACTCATGTCATCTTCAAATTTTAGGGCAAAGAATCGTTGTTGTTGTAGCATCAGTGACGTTTCTCCACTTTTTTCATAAATACTGTGTAGCCGACTCTACACTTCGTGCGCTGTTTGACAAGTAATTACGTGATGTAGAACTGGTTCCGCCAATCTTGTCACAATTGCACTCATCGCCTTTATATCCTTCTCTACCGACGCCTGCTCGGGCTCCGCCGACGCCTGATCGATCCTTGTAGTTTCCGCCGCACCGCCATGTTTGACATTAGGACTCGAGACAATTTTGTACAATCCTTGATCCCGCAAAATCACGGTCATCTGGAATCGCCACACTCCAATTCCTCGCTCCTTCCAGCTGCACTACGCCGAGCTTTTCCATTGTGTGATTTTTGTCTCACAGTGACAAAACAAACGAGCGACGCTAATATTTCCGGCCGCCACCACGTTCCTTCTTGCATGTCGACACCCGACCAAGCTCCTGCCGTACAATTAATTCCAAGAATATCTTCACCTAAATATGGTTACAGACTGGGCCCATAACCTATTAGGACTTTTTGGAATAATAATGCAGATTTTACACAATTAATTTTTATTTAGATGAAGCTCGCTGCTCAACAAAGTACAAACACCCGGCGTTAGGGATGATCGATACTACTGAGTACTCATATGGTATCGATACTCTTATTCGATACTAGTACTCAGTATCGAATGTTAGCAATGTTCGATACTGAGTACTGGTATCGACTATCGAATGAAAGTATCGTATTTGGTGTTGTTATGCCGCCAGCCGCCTCATGTGGCCGCATGTGGCTATAGCAACTTTATTAGATCCACGTTTTAAAGCACTTCATTTTCAAAATGCTAGCGCCTGTAGTTCTGCTATACAAAAATTGAAAAATAATATTAAAGAATCTACTACTGCCTCTACTAGTAATAGCAGTGGAGAGTCTGAAAATGAGGCGTCTGAATAAAAGTACGATTTTTGGCAAACACATTAACAGTTGGCTATGGGTCAAAAAAAGAAAAATAAGGATGGTGATGAAATATCACTGTATTTATCAAATCCTGTATTGTCTCTAAAAAGCAATCCTTTAGAAGAATGGGAAGAAATAAAAACAGTGTTTCCACCTCTGTATAAACCAGCAAGAAAGTTTTAGTTGTAGTTGCCACCTCCGTTCCCTGTGAACGTTTATTTTCTAAAGCAGGGGCAATTAGGCTTTCCAGTAAACATTTAGATAAATTGCTTTTCTTGGGTGGAGCAACATATGAAGAATTTTTTGGTTAAATTTAATAATTTCTCTCATAATAAAGCATCGATTATAAAGTTATCTACTTTTCATTTTTTTCCCTCCATCTCTCTTATGCATATCTGGCAAAGCCTCACTTATGAATTCAATAATGTTATTAAAAATTAAATGAGTACTTACAAATATCGATACTTTAATATAGTATCGAATGTGGTATCGATACTTTGATTCCATACTATTCCATACATTTTACAGGCAAATTATTTGCTTAAAAGGGGATCTCAACCACAAAATTTGAAATTTTGATTTGATTTGAAATAAATAAATAAAAAAAATAAATTAATCAATTAATTATATGTTAATTTTTATTTCAAATGTAAATGTATATTTTTATCTAATTTATAGTTCTTAGTGTTGTGTTATAATAAATTAAATTATAATAAAAAAAATTAAAATTATAATACTAGTATCGAGTACTAGTATCGATGAAAGAGTGGTATCGTTTCGTCCCTACCCGGCGTCCACCATTACAGGTTATCAAGAAAGAGTTGCCAGTGTTACAAATCAAAATAAGTGTTGCCTTACATAATAGGTACCTATAGCATATTTAACAGTTACTAATAAAAACAATGTTTTTTTTTGTCAGTCTTCACATAAAAATTAGCATCAAGCTAACTTAAACGGTTTAAACAAATATTTCATTAAAACTTCTTACTTAACACTAAAAAGGTGGTAAAACTTTAAAAAAGCTACTTAAAAAAATACTAAAATGTAAAAAAAACTAATTGCTAGTTTTCTTAAACTACAGATCCTACCTAATCAGATATTTTCGAAGACGGTGTCAGCCGTTATAAATCAAAGCACGCGAAGTCGATTTTTATTTTATTTTTTTAAAGATATTTTTTAACAGAACTTCTTTCAAGGGGGATTCTATATAAATTTCAAAATATATAATTAGGTACATAAAGTAACTTCAAGTCAGGTATATTTTTATTTAATGGAAATGAGTTAAACCACGGGTTTTATACCACTTAGAAATTTATTATTTAATAACTTATTAATAAATACAATATAATAAATTTTCACTTCGTAATGATATCCTCATTCCTTACAAATAAGCTTAGTATATGTTATATATTAAAGATTATTATTAAATTACATTTAACTAATCTAAATGATAGTTATCCTTTGCTTATATATTTTAACAAAACTATGACTATAACATTCATAATATGTATTATAATATACATTGTGGTAAAATCGGTAAATTACTTCAGAATTTTCCACAATGTTATTTTTTGTCTTCTTCGCACTCATCTCTCTATATAGGTAGTATATTTATAAATTAAAAATTTATTCAACCCCCTATGCAATTTATTTGTCATTTAACGATTACACTAGCACGCGTGAAGCACTTAATAGAGTAATCATACGCCTAAATGACTTACATCATTTTGAAAAAGAGCTGATACTCTTACACAGCTGGACCGATATTAACCAAACTTAGCTAAGAACCACCGCAAGGAAACTGGCTTTTGAATGAAAAAAAAACCGCATCGAAATCGGTCCATCCGTTTGAGAGCTACGATTCCACAGACAGACATACACACACAGACGGCCATCATCGTCAAACTTATAACACTCCTCTTTTTGCATTGGGGGTTAAAAACATTGTTAGTCTTAATTTCTAATTCTTTTTTTACTTCCCATCAATATAATTATTCCCTTTAATTGAACCTCACCTCATAATCTCACTAAATCTGTTAAGCTTTTACAATGTAATTCATTTACACTCAAACTTTGTATTTCCAATATTAAAAGAACATGCCAGAGAATGAATGACACATACTTACTACATAAAAGTAATAACTTAATCGTCTGTGGACGCTTAGTTCTAACTTTTTATCATACCTACATAGAGAATCTGCTTATGAGTTCTATTCACATTATCGATATTTGGTTCGTATTATCGTAGTATCGATTTATACTTCAAATGACTACTTCAAAATACACTTTTAACATACTATAATTACTTAAGTATGTATATTTTAAACCTTATTTATTTCTTTAGTAATTTCAATATATAAAACCTGCTCCATTTTTACTTCAGAAAGCCCTTAACGCTAACAAATATATTAAAATTAACACAGAAATACTAATAATTAAATTTGTCTTAAATTGTGAAATACAACATATTATGTATGTAGGTATAATATTAAAAAAAACTATACTAAAACAATAATATAACATTGATTTCATTGAAGCATTGACACGGACATAAAATGTGAAGTGTGGTTAGAAAATTCCACATACAAATATTATGACTGTAACCATTCGTTTATCTACTTTTTATATAAATGCATGTTCAGTTCAAATACTCCAAAAATGTTTTGTATTATTGTTAAATAAAATTATTTTATTTTCCATAGAAATAAATAAAATTGAAATGTCTGTTTGTAATGTCAAAGCTTTTCACAAAATACACATGAAGGTATAAATTTACTTACACGTACTGATAAGAAAAAAAAATGGATTTTCGTCTGTTTGTCTGTCTGACTATTTGTTCCGTAATGGCTGGACCGATTTTGACGGGGCCCTCACTGACACATAGATGATTTTATAAAGAGTAAATTAGGCTTCTTTTAATTTAGATAAAGAGTAGAGTTAGGGTTACGCGCAAAAATATTAAAACCCATGAAGTTATAATCAAAATTCGCGTATCCAGGGACGCACCCGAGCGAAGCGAGAGTAAATAGTTTTAAATACAACATTCATAACAGTTACAGATTAAATAATGCAATTAATACAAAAAGATTCGACTTAATAATTTAATACCATCGAGCTGTCCCAACCCTATTATCAGGTGGATCTCGTGCACAGCAATAAGATATAAGTATACCAACGGTAGCTAAGCCTAACGATAGGACACTGATGCTGCAAACTGCCCCAGATGTGATGTCATTCATAGCAGTTCCTGGTTTAGGTTCAATCAATAATAAAATGAGAAGTCCAAAAGCACTAAGCAAAGAAAATGACGAGAGAACGATGTAACCTGTAACAATAATTTAATTTATAGAATTACATTATTGTTTATAGGATCCCTAATAAAACTTCGAGATATTCCTTGCTTATATTCTTATATTCAGTACTTTTATAATCGCCAGTAAGTTACATAATTTATAACCATAATTTTCAGTATTACAAATAATTCGTGACTGACTAGTCACTACAGGGTGGTACCGACATGTCTGTGCTAAAGCGCGGGAAAACAAATGAATATCCGCTCCCTTTTTTTTTAAAACACATTCCTATCGGCCAAGGTCACGTAACTAAATGCCTTATACATAAATCATTACAAATTAATTAAATATATTATTTTCTATTAAAACGCTATATATAAAAATGCAACCTTACATATGAATGTTGGGACTAACACTCAGTGCCGTCTAGTTCCATGGTAAGCTACGAGGCTTGTGTTATGAATACCAGTTAGTTGATACACTACACATATATATCTTTAAATACATAATATATAAACTAGCGACTCACCCTCGCTCCGCTCGGGTTTGTCCCTAGGTGATTCTTTAAATTGACGTAACTTTTTTATTTATGAACCGATGAAATAAAAGAAATACTGTTACTACAATATATTAGTGAAAACCACATCCATATCAGATGAGCCGTTTCTGAGATTAGCTCGCACAGACAAACAGACATAAATTGCAAAAATCATTGTTTTGCGTTCTATTGCGTAAAAATAGACCCGCAATGAGTTTTTCTCAAATATCTTCCGTGTACAAACAGCGATCAGTTACACTTTTATTATATGTATAGATATAAACACCGATGACTGGAGTACAAAGATTCGTGCTCATCACACACATGAATGCCCCCATGGGGAGTCGAACCCGCGACCGCTGCCACAGCAAGTACCTACTCTACACTACAAACTGAGACAAACATGTCGCCCAAAATCCATACTTTCATATTATAAATATGAAAGTGTGTTTGTTTGTTTGTCCTTCTTTCAGGTCGAAACGGAGTGACGGATTGGCGTGATTTTTTGTTCGGAGATAGTTGAAGGGCTGGAGAGTGACTTAGGCTACATTTTACCGCGAGAGATTATTTCTTTCCCACGGAAAAAACACGTTATAATACGAGTACAATCCAAAAAAATATTTATGATCAGAATTACTTGAAAATAAATATTAAATATGTACGTGTTTTAGCATTTTTCGAAATTCATCCTATAAGGGGGCAAAATAGGGGATGAAAATTTGTATGAAACTACCTACCTTTCAGAGATTTTTTATAGTTCTGCTAGTAATCAATATTACAACTAGAAAATTTACAATATTATTCGATTATTTATAAATTGTATGTAGTTAAAAATACTATCCATATTTATTTGAAAATATTAAATATGTTATATTCACCTGAATCGATCTATGAACAAAATTAATCGAATTTATTAATAAAAGTTGTTAACGTAGAAATTATACAATATGCAATCACTACGAGTATAACATAAATTCTCAAGTTTTAAATGTGTTAAATAACGATAATTCTCAGTCCCGCCCGCATATTTTATTTTAAACGATTAGCAATAAATATCGAATATTATTACAATGTTGTGGTTAAAGAAATAGTTATGCGGGTAAAGTAACATAAACCGCAATTAACAAAAATAAATTAAAAATGTTTCATTGACTTTAAAGAAGTATTTAATTAATGAATATATGCTGCTGGTTTGTTTATTTTTTATCACCTATTAAATAAATAATATTTTTCGACACTTTATTTTTGGCTCTATAGGTACTTTGCTTCTAACGTATCTGTTGCGATTACTATAAATTAAAAAAATAATAGGTGGGTCCTTAAATGTAAAATTAAGGAGGGAAGGAGAACCATCTTATATTGGAGACAAGTTGAAAAAGTTTCTTTTAAGCACCCACCCTTAAGCGGTAAATAACAGTTCAAGAAATCACCAGAATGACGCTAGCGTAGCAAGAGGGTACGATATTAATTTAGCAGTTGTAAACGGACTGAAATGAGCTAAGTTGAAAAATTTAATATTTTGGGTGACTTGAGTAGTTATTGAAACTATTTACGTAATCCAAAATAGTTTACTAAATGTAACCGAAAAAACTGTGGTGACATAAACGTAGAGAGTGATTTATTTTTTGTAAACTTTTAGTAGCACTTTTAGAGCTTTCTTCCAAATGTACCCACTTGCTACCGTCGTGACACTAATTTACCGCATTTCGACGGGCACTTTTCATCACAGAGATAGTTCTCCTTATCTCTACCCTTCACAGTATTGATTTAATGCTATGAATGTCATGACAACAGATAGCACAATAATGGTTAAGGTTTACATAGAGTATATAAAAAAAATATCATGGAGAAGGAAGGAAAAGGAAGGAACTACAAAGTGTGCAAACTTATTAGACTCTAATAATGGCAATTTTTAAAATTAATAAATTGTTCACTTTTAAGACCAACTATCCCCTATTGTGTGCTTAAGTGTTAATTAAACATAAATAAAATACTCAAAGTTACCTGATAAATAATTTCTATTCGGTAGCAACTGATTTCGTCTTGTTCTTATGCCAAGAAGACCTAAGAGGAAGCAGGTAAAGCCTGAGAGAACACCAAAATCTAAATAGTATCGGCGACCCACCTGAAAGATAAGATAATTTGTTATGACTAAAGTTAAAAATAAATAAATAAATACGGTGTAAAATTCAAAGAGATAGTTATAATTAAAATGTAAACGTAAATCTAAGATATTATTATTTCATAACACAGATTTAAATAATTCTTTTGTTTGTTTTTTTTTGTGGATAGTATCCGAAAGTTAAATCATAAAGAACTCGTGCTAGTGATATTTTGTCTAAGTAATTTTGCAATATACCTACTACAGATGAAATAAAAAGTCAAACATATTTATATAAATTACATAAAATCTTATATAACTAATAGTGGCGAAGTGTGAAATTTTAGCAGAGGTAAGCCGTTCCAAAAAAAGCAGACAAAAAAAACATTGATAATGGCTAAAACTCACCGAAATTAACAAATAGGTATGTGAAACACACACATTCCACAAGCAAACTTAGCACAAAATATCTATATTACGCTAAAATCAAATTCAATCAATTACGATAAAATGTCATAACTTAAGCAATGCACTCGTAAACAATAACGATTCGCCTTAATAATTATTTCATTCAAATACATAGTAACATATTGTCACATTAGGGACGTCTTGTAATTTCTGACCAATCACAAGCAGTATGAGACGAAGAAAAGTAGCTTTTCGGAGCGAAGCAAGGGTAAGTTCCTAGTGAGGGGATAAAATATAAGTTACCAACGTATATTGTAACGCGCTTGTATGTAAAACTAAGTTGAGCGTATTCGAATTTATCTTATTAAGGGGAGTCCTAGGGCCAGCAGTGCGATGTAAAAAGGGATGAATTATTATTATCACATTATTATTATAAATGAAAAAGTTTGTATGTGTATGTATGTTTGTTATTCCTTTACGGTGAAACGGCTGAGCCGATTTGGATGAAATTAAGTTCACAGATAGGCTATTGGAGGCCATAGGCTAATGATAGTAATGAAATTTGCCAACAGGTGGAAGTATCTGCTTATAATACTATTAATATGATAGTTACGAATTATGATATAGATTTTAGTACTTACACTATACATCATATAGAAACTCAATCCAGTAGCAAATCCGCCACACAAAGTTAACATTAGCGCGGCAACAGTTAAAACAGCTGCACCATTCCCACTTTTAATACTTGATACCGATTTGTAAGTGTCCTCCGAATAAACCGAAGGAGATTGTGGGGCAACTCTGAGAAATAAAAGATAATAAATAGCATTTATATAATAAACTACATAAAAATATTTACAAAAATAAAAACCCGACTGCTTTTACTGCGTAAAAAGTGAACTTAAAAAGATGGGAACAAGTTGACGAAGGCGCATAGTGTTGTAGTTTGGCGCAGTCGTATAAAACAGGTATGACACTCGCTTTATCAAGACGAAGTGAGTTCAATCCTCACCCGGTGCAACAGTTATACTACAATCATCTACAGATTTTAAAGTAAGATACGCTATTATGCGAAATCTATATTAATAATTAGTAAGAAAAAATTGCCAACCTTTTTAAGAGTAGGTACGGCAAATGAAATTTAATTTGCGAGCAGTATATGAATTAAAAACAAGTTTTACGATCGTCAGTCATGCAAATTTTAAACGTGTTAAAGTTGTAAAATTGTCATTAGATTCGGATCTGATAAATTACACTTTGTCAAAAAAAAAAAAACAATAAAAAAAATGTTATAGTTTACCTTGGCATAATGATGGCTGTAGTCTTCTTATCCCTCCTATAACTGTCAATCCGTCGATCCCCCCTGCTCTCTCTGCTTGTATCACGCCTATCCATTTCGAAACTCCGCTCTCGTTTATCTCTTAAACTTGTGACAAACACATCTTGCCTTTCAAATTCTGGTAATCCATAATTTAATTTTTGTTGGGCTCTCGGCGAAATAGGTGATGTAGCTCCTCTAGTTAGGGTCAAATTTGCACATGATTTTGAAGGGGTCACGTGAGTGGGCGTGCTCGATATAACTTTCATCGGGGTACCAGGATATCTTGGACTCTCTGATTTGTTTGGCGTGATCCTTACGGATGGCTGGCTAGCGTAACTCTTCAATTTTCTCGGGGTTGATAGAAGTTCGTGTAATTTTTGAGTGGCTATTAAATTCTTTTTGGACATCATTGGAGATGTAAATGTAACATTCTTCCTATCTTCATCATCGGAAGGCACTATTGCGTATCTATGAGTTTTACCATTTACAGTTTTGACTATTTCCGTAGGTATTTCTTTCAGTTCGTGCTCATCTGGCCCATCAACATTATATTCTTCCACTTCACTCTCATCTGCCTCAACTATTCTCTTCTTTGTTGGAGAATAATCAATTCCATCGTCGATATCTATTACCTCATATCGATGTCTCACTCTAGAATCTTCTAGATTATCATCACTTTCAGCGTGTCTATCATATTGGGTTTGCCGTCTCTGTCTAAATTGTGCCATTTCTAAATCTTCACTTCTTGTTCTACATCGCACGACTGGTCGAGTCGGCTTGCAAATTAGAGACGCTTGTCTTTGGAACTGTTGCTGTCTGTATTTGGGTGGTTTCGGCGGCAATTCTGGAGGCTCATCCCTCCTCCCAAGAGGTAACATCCTAAGAGGATTGTCAGATATATCTGTTCTCAATATCCTATTACTTTCAATATTTTTTCTGGGTGAATTCGCGCCGAGTGGCGGCATACGTCTGTCTGGAGATACAATTTTCGTAACACATGATTTCTGAGCAAAAACAACTTCGCTCTGAGCGCAAAAAGCTGGATTAGAATAATATTTGTATACGATCTTCGGCGAATCCATGTTTCAAGCGTATTTTTCCCCTTGATGTGTTAGACCATAGTTCCTGCTGGGGCTTGTATAGCGTAACCGTTAGGGTCTACTGGTTTTCTTAAAACACGTTTATTATTAAATATAAATTATTATTATAATCATTAGGCCCTATAGTAATTTCTGTAATATATATTTTGTAAATATTTATCACTAAAACACAGGTAAATTGTAAAAATCACTTATTTATTTTAAAACTAACTTGTAAAAATCACTTATTTATTTTAAAACTAACATTTTTATGTCACAATAAAATATAGCACTAAAAATATACATTTAAGTGGAATTAATTTCGACGTAAATGCACGTCTTCACATTTCAGCGTTCAACGGTCAACTGAAGAATTGGAAAAAATTTAGGGTCGGATGCGTAAGCGCACCCCTGTAGCACGCGCTATTTAAACATTGGAAACAAAGTAATTTCCACTTTGTGCTTGATGATATACAGTTCATATTTACTTGTATAAAATTAACCTTTTTTATATTAAACATGGAATATCTTTTATGTTGTACTAAACGTAATTTTGGACTTTATTGCTTGAACAACAAAATGTAGATTTACTTAAATGTAAAATAGATATTTTATTTCATTATTTCCTAAATGTGATAAGTAAAATATACGTATCTCTCAACTTAAAACTTTAATTTAATTTCTATAGGGTTTTTTATAAGAAACTAAAATTTTGCCGCTGTTTATAGTGTTATGCAATTATTGAATGAGCTTTCAAACGGATAAGTTTTTGTAGGGCAAGAACTTAGGGTTCCATTGGTAAATTGAATATTACGAACAAAATTTTTTAAATGTTTTTTTTTTATTATTAGTAATGTTGGTCCCTGCAAGAGGTTTTTTAATGTAAATTAAAAAAAAAACATGTCTAAATCATTTTTAATAAAGTTAATTGCAATATTTTCTATATATTATGCTTTTTTAATTAAGTAATTAAAACTACGAATAGGTAAATAAATGTTTATTTTTTCAGAACTTAATTATTAACCCTTCCCTAAGGTTTTTAAAGTAGATTTAGGTACAGATAAAAAAATACTTTTAAGCCACTCCAAATACATTTGCATCGCACGAGACTCGCATCCGCACTCACCGTAAAAGGATATATGCTATATTAATAGCATATAATATGTTAATAAATCACAAGAGCTTCAATTCATTCATCATCTAGAATCTTTGTCGAAAAAGCCTAAACGGTACCTATATAGTAAAAAAAATTAAAAAAAAAACAAATTCGTATTCTTTAATCAGAAACAAACTTAAAATCCTTGCTAATAATTAAACATAAAAAATATATTTAAAACCAGCATATTTTCATACAAATATCACCTGCATTATAAGCGAAGTCGCGATATGACTTTAGTGTAATAAACTTCACGTAATAATAATGACACGTGCCCACGACCGTTATGAACATCTGCCTGGCAGCTGTGTATAGGGGTACCCAACCTATTTCATTTAGATTATAAAATAACTATTATAACTACATCTACATATAATAAAATTGTAACTAAGCCGAATCTGTACATTTTGGAAAATCTTATTGAAATAAACATTATTATCGATACAGAGGCCGAATCTATGGATTTTAGAATTTTTGTCTGTCTGTCTGTCTGTTATCGCATCACAGAAAAACTACTGGAGGGATTTTGATAAAATTCGGTATGGTGATAGTTGGTTATCCGGGTCAACATATAGGATACTTTTTACCGCGGGAAAATATCTCATTTCTGAGAAAAAATACAAAAACTGCAATGTAAGGATATACTAATATGTAAAACCTAAGAATTTGGTTTTTGGTCACATGAACGCGGGCGGAGCTGCGGGCAATGCTAGATTCGAAAAAATATGAACTCCACATAAAAATAGTATTTTAATAAAACTATCACTAGTTTAAGAAACTAAAATATGTACATATTAGAACACAATGATATAAGCCTCGGTAGCGCAGTAGGCAGCGCGTAAGTCTCATAATCTTAAGGTCGTGAGTTCGATCCTCACCCGGGGCATTTTTTATGCTACAATCATCTATAAATTACAAATAAGGGAGTGAATATGTGAAATGTACAGAAAATACACGCGAGATTTGATTACCTTCTGGTTTTGAAAGTCTAAAAATGGCTCCTATTACACTATAAAGATTTTTCTTTAAAATGATTATTTATCTACGTACGGTTATATACAACACAAATTATTGTACATATTCCCATAATTACTATAGTACACAGCATGTACATATATATAGAAAAAAAAGAGAAACAAACCAATAATCAAGCAAACTACCATAAAACATTTATTTTAACTTATATATATATTTTTTTAATTAAAAGTAGAGAATTAAACACTTAAAAATATCATTTATTATATTATTATAGCAAATACATTTTTAATTTACGAGAATACTAAGAAAATATTGGTATTTGGGAAGCTAGCACAGAAATAAAAGGTTAACAATTCCGTGTTACGTAATGCAATGCGCCGTACACTAGCACCCCTATACTATTGAAATATATTCACAGTTGACAATATCATTTTACCTTCACCTAACATTGAATATCCATATGACCTTATTCTTCCGAAGTATATTTTGAGCATTCAAGTAAGAACTACATCTATATATATGATAAAATTGTAACTAAACCTCTGTACATTAGATATTTTTTGGTAAATCATATTGAAATAAACATTATTATCGATACAGAGGCCGAATCTATAGTTTTTAGAATTTTTGTCTGTCTGTCTGATACCGCATTACAGAAAAACCACTGGATTTTGATGAAATTTGGTATGATGATAAGTTATGAAAGAAGAAATAAGAAATTAGTTTTAAAATTGAAAAAAAAAAATTTCTTTCGGTGTAGGCCCGATTTTCAGCGAAAGAGTTTTTATTTTTTCTTAAAAAGTTTTATTTTTCCCTTTTTAGTATAGACATAATAGTATACAAACTAAGAAAAAAAAAGTGTTTTATTAAAATATTTGCTTAAGCCGTTTAAGTTAGTTTGATGCTAATATTTATATGAAGACTGACAAACTAAAATTCGCTTTGATTAGTAACACTAATAATTCTGGCTCTAAATCCGATTCTAATATTTCTATAATTCTCTTTAATACCACTGCACTATCAACGGAAATAGAAACACTTGCAAAGTTTCAAGTCAAAATGACAATAATTATAAGTAGGTTAAATTCACCAGTAACTATTTTTTCATCCTTACGGGTGATATTTTTTTTTGAAATATAAATGGAACCAATCTTAAAGCATACACTTTCAAAATTGTCCAAATCGGTTAATAAATGACGGAGTTCTGAGGTAACATACATAAAAAAATACAGCCGAATTGAGAACCTCCTCCTTTTTGAAGAAGTCGGTTGAAAATAATATATAATGAAATTGAAAATTCAACAGAAAATTCCGCGATGTCATATGTGTATCTCTTAAGGATAACATACTTTTCCATTTTAATACTTAAAAAAATGTAAAAGCTACAATTTACACAAATTCAAAAACCGACTTCAAAAATATCTGATTAGGCAACTATTCTAAATGAAAACTCCCATTAGTTATTTTTTACATTTTAGTGACTGAAAGTCGGGTTTTTTTTTAAGTTTTTATATGGATAGCAAATATAAATATTTTGTACATAAATAATTATCGAAATCCGTTCAATGACTGTTTTGACGGGACTTTCACTGGCTGATAGCTACTATTATAAGTAACTTGGCGATGATTATTTTAAAAAAAGAATTTGGGTTCCGTGCAAAAGAAATTAAACACCACGAATTTGTTATAAACGTTTAAAATAAAACCAAATTATTATTAACATAATTTATTAATAAACGCCAATATTATTCAAAATATGTGTCAGAATCATTTGGTGGACGTCTTTAAACACTGTGCGGACGTTATCCGTGTCTGTCGCAGTCGTGAAATGAAAGTAGCACTCTCTCGGTCTACTCGCTTCTAGTATGACGAACCGTTCTGCAGAAGTACTGAAGTTTCTACGCTCCCGCTTTTTCACTGTTAGTTCCTGTATAAGTTTTATACCGATTACTACATATTTTCTCAAATGTGGCGAATATGTAAATGAGAGTTGTATGTTTGAACTGTATGTATATATATTATATATGTATGTGTGTCTGCCCCTGTATTCCCTCGTGACGGCTTACCGGATTATGATGAATTATACTTGACTGAATAAAACATTTTCATTAACTTAACATTCGTCTCGATAACGCACTTATCTTATAGGGCATACTAAATTTATAAAAAATTAAAATGTATAATTACTAATTAGTCAAAACTATAACGCTGTAAATGTCCCATATAAATACATATCAAGATAAAAACTACTTACTTTAAGTTTTTAGTTAATGAGTAATTAAAATACATAGAATATAGGTAGCAGCTAGCAGAACCCGCGCCTTCCCTCGCGCTAAAATTACGAAAAAACTCTAAAAACTAGATTCCATACGAACTTTCATCCCTTATTTTACCCCATCTTCTTCTTCTCCCTGCCCATTTCCCAATCACTTGGGGTCGGCGCAGTACATCTTCTGTACTGCTGAAAGGATTTGGCAAAAGTTTTACGACCGGCCGCCTGCCTGACGTCAACCCTCCTTGGGAATCCCTATTTATATTCTTTATTTCCCTATTTTACCCCCATAAGGAATAAATTTCGAAAAATGCTAAAACACGTATTTATTTAATTGTATTGAATAATATTTATACCAAGTTCCAAGTACTTCTGGTCATAAATATTTTATTGAGTTGTATTATAACGTGTTATAACATAGATGTTACTTACAACGAACATGTTTTTAATAAACATCTTTGTCCTCGTATACTCATCTCCCTTGGTTTCGAACTCCCTGTACTCCGGGAAGTAAGGCGCTATGCTCTTGCCTTGAGCTATTTTATTCTGCAATAGATCTTGTTTATTTAAAAACACAATAAGTCCTGCTTCTATCAGGAACCTGCAAAGGAAAACTTTTTATTTAGTTACAAGTAGGTAATTGGTTGGATGATGTTCAACCCTTATTGTAACGTCACGGGCCTGATACTTATGTTCTTTTGAATTTTAATCATTAGTTACTTTTCTTCTCCTTAAAAGAAAGATATTACAAGATTTTTTTAAATTACAAGCTTTTATTTAACTTGTAATGTTTGTGTGTATGTTTGTTCCGGTCAAATCTTACAACTAAATTTTAAAGCAATTGTCCTCAATTGATTGAGTTGAAATTTTGCACCCTCGCTTAGTTTAGATGACAATGCATGGCTAGCTAAGTTACGTTATAATAATAGTTACAATTTTGTTATACATATGTATAGATAATAAAATTATTGTAACTAAGCCGAATCTATACATTAAATATTTTTTGGAAAATCTTATTGAAACAGATATTATTGTCGGCACACAAGGAGAATCTATAGTTTTTAGAATTCTTGTCTGTCTCTTTGTGACTACATCACGGAAAAACCACTAGAAGGATTTTGATGAAATTTGGTATGATTATAACTGGTTATCCGTGTCAACATTTAGGATACTTTTTACTGCGGGAAAATATATCATCTCTGAGATATCTATACTAAACGTGAAAACGTAAGTAGGGACGAACCCGAGCGGAACGAGGGTAAGTCGCTAGTATCATATAATACTATACTAACTGCTACTCACAATAAATGTCCATAACTATACACATTGATATTATTGTTTGGCTTCAAGTTTAGTTCTATGACACTCCGTCTATATTATTCCTTTGTTTGAGTGTAACTCTTATACTCGTACATAACAGTAGCCACACGAAGAAACCAATAGAAATGTTAAGTTGATACTTCGACTTCTTAGTAAGCCACTTACTAAATTCCTTAACGTCATAAATTATCGTTTTGAACTAGAGAGCAATCATAAAAAATTAACTCAACATTCCTTATCTAACGTTTTTACTTTATTGTTAAGCTGGATGCATACTATGGAACGGCTAGTTTACAAATTAAGACGAGATTATGTACATTTTATACGTGCTCAAAATTGATTATACTACTTAATAGTAAATGCGAAAGTTATACAAGGTCATATCATAATCTATCTGTGTACCTACTAAGTTTTATTAGAATCGGTTCAGACGTTTCAACGTGAAGGAGCAACAAACATACGCACAAACGTGCAATTGTATTTATAATGCTAGTACCTATATGAGTGTCAAATGTACCGATGAAATCTTGTTTTACATATACCTATAGCTAAATAAAAAAAAGCGTATATTCACCTGCTCTGCCATACATCTTCAAATAGTATCAAGGACTCCTTGAGCCTATTTTGTGTGTTATCTTCTCTCAGTTTCTGATCGAAGTCGCTACACGCAACTACAAACCAAATAGCATGGATGCCTTCGAAAACCTGTTAGAGATAACATACATATATGAATAGACTCTTTACTGTCTACATTTTGTCTCAAAAGACAGTCTTTGTTTGATCAGTAGTGATGGACGATAATCCATTTTTTTAATATGATGGGACCTTTCTATAGAAAGTTATATGTAGGTACCTTATAAGTACCCTTGTTCTATTGGTAAAAACCGAATGAAAATCCGTACAGGAGTTTCTCACATTAGCTCGAACAAACACAAACTGCGCTTTAATTTATATGTAGCGATTTTGGTTAGCTTACCTGTATCCACTTCTTCCTCTCCCCTCTCTGCCCACCAACATCGAACATCCAGAACTGTTGTACACCACCGTGCATTGACTTAGGAACCTTTTTTTTTAAATATGCGTACAGACAAACATAAAAATTCGTTATAAATTCTATTCATAGGTAGAAACTCGATTATCCGGACTAATTGTTGTCGGTAGGCATTCGGATAATCGAAAATCCGGATAATCGAATGTATGAAAAAAAAACGATTTTCGTACATATTACGTAATACCTAATGTTGGTGTTTAATTAAAATCAACTAAAGACAAATGAACATTTATTTTATCTTTAAACGATAACACCACTCTCTTACTCTTTGACATTTTTAAGCACAAACGTGACAAGTAACGATTGGTAACTATAACTTAAACAAAAACGCGGCGACAGGAGAACGCGCGGGGCGAGGGTGGGTACATCGCCATGGGTAGTGCGGATAATCGCGAATCCGTATAACTGAGGGCCGGATAATCGAGTCTCTACTGTATATGTAATTTTCAATAATTTCAAGAAATTCGACTACTGTTGTTGTCAAACAAACATTCTTTTAACAGAACTTCCTCCTTTTTGGAAGTCGGTCAGTGTATGTTAAATTATAACTAACACGCTTTATTTATAGCTATATATACTAATTTTAAATATGTTATATCATATGTTATCAAAGCTTGGAAATGAATAAACTTATGTGTAATTGGTGTATTGATTTTATACATTGTAGTTATCTGATGTAGTTAAGAGGTGAATAATGAAACTTTTTAACGTGTAGGGAAGATTAGTCCAAAATAGGGTATGGGGGTAAAACCGTGTCTTTTTTATTTTCATATTTCCCTTACCGTCCCGGTTTCATCCCACTTTCCCATAGTATTAATCTTGAAGTTAGCTCATTTCATTGGTTTTTATGAGTGCGATAATTACCATTCTGTCTATGAATCAACGGACTAGAAGATTTAGTGGGTGTTTTTAGGTTTTTATTTTTTAGTATCGTTTAAACCCCCTTCGAACGTGTTCATTTTGTCGCGCTAGGGAGGTGTCAGTTGTATCTGGGAATCCAGCCGAGCGTGAAGTAACTATTCAATCACCACAAGAACAAAATTTAAAAGGAATCGTCGAAGCAACTTACTTTAACTTTAAATTCAATTTTCTGAATGCCAGTGGTCATCTGCCGACACCGCAGTATGTCCGCGTCGGATGGCATATAGTCCGTTTTAGCTATTAGATCTATTCTGTCTAAAAAACTAAAAACAATTTATTTTACTACCACATTTTCACATAGTATATTATCTATAGGCAGTGATAGCCCGTTCGCATGAGAAACCAGGTCAAACGGGTTCAAATCCCCGGTCTCGCACCTATGATATTTTCATGTGCTAATCATTTCAAATATGATTACTACTTGTCTTACGTTGAAGACAAAGATTGTGAGGAAACCTGCATGTTTGAGAGAATTTAGCAAGTTTTCGAAAGACATGTTTAGTCTGCCCGCACTTGCCCAGGCCAGCGTGGTGAACTATAGCCTGATCCGTATCCCCGTATCTGGCTCGTATTGTGAGGCCCACCCCCAGCAGTGGGACATTAAAAAGTGCTACATTCCTAGTATGTACGATTCTACTTTTTATATAAAAAAGAATTACATTATAAATCGTATTAATATTGTAAGATTTTTTAATAAAGTTACGTTTTTTATGCTTTAGGTCTGTTGAACTCAGGTAATATAAAAATATGCCCCGGGTGAGGATCGAACTCACGACCTTAAGATTATGAGACTTACGCGCTGCCTACTGCGCTACCGAGGCTTGTACACTACAAGTAAAATAAATGTACTGATACGACTTACACGATATATCTGCATGTATGCATAAATAGACAAAGACAAAACAGCTATTTTTGTTTTTCAATCTGGAAAGCGACATGTACTTAGAGTATACATATGCTTATTATGCATACTCCAAGGACATGTCCTTTTTAATAGTAATATACTTACTATTCCGCACTGTCTAGCAGTTGATACTCGTTGGACCGATGAAAACATTCTTTGACGCCTCCATCTTTCCACAATGCTCTGACGTGATCGAAATAATCCTAAAAAATGTAAATATAATTTCTTTCTTACTTTATATTTATACGTATCAACTAAAAAAAATTATAAGTAATTTGTACCAATTATGTATTTTTCTTAATTTCATGATGTATAAAATCTTATATAAGTGTATAATGTATAAAATCTTATATAAAATAATAAAATCTTATATAAAATCTTATATATGATGTATAAAATCTTTTAAAAGTCGGGTTTGTTACAACACTTACAACTCGAGATCTGCTGAACCGATTTTCATGGTTTTTGATATTTTTTATTTGGTTGGATTTGTCTCCGCCCCGAATAGCAGAATAAATAATGAGAATGGAAAATTGACTAAAAAAATAATGAAAGAAAAATCAATTCTATGCTAAGTGTCAAAACGTACCTAGGGATGGACGTGAGCGATGCGAGGGTGAGTCGCTAGTATTAATTAAAAATAAATTATGTTAATCGGAATACTTTCTTAGATTTACGTGAATATGACGTGACATTTTAATCAAAACTAGTATAGTATTATATTGTGATCTGTGATAAAACTATCTTTTACGATTTTTTCGTGGATTTATTTTGATTTTTGGTTCCCGGCGTTTCAAATGCTTTACAGCAATCGTGGTCACTGGTAGTTTTCTTTATAATGTGCAAATCGTTTTGCAATTAGATATCACATAACATAAGGATAAGGAAAAAAGCTCATCTACTTATATATATATATATATATATATATATATATATATATATATATATATATATATATATAAACAAAGTCATTTTTTTATACATACATATGTAAGTTAACCTACGAGATTATTTTTCAAAATAACGCTATATATGTATATATAAAAAACGCAATTTCATATATTAGGTGCAATGTTACCATAAGCATTGTCTTACCTCAGTAAACTCAGGCGGCCCGTCGGGTCCAATTTTCAATATATACTGTTGTGATCTGACGTTCTTGTTGTTTTCTAAGGCGATACTCAGAGCCGACATGCCATGCACTATGTCGTAAATAGATTCATGTGTGTTGTGCCTTATGTATTTAACTTTTTCCATTCTTTCGCTACAAAATTAAATCTATACATATAATAAAATTGTAACTAAGCCAAATCTGTACATTAATTTTTTTTTGGAAAATCGTATTGTAACAAACATTATTATCGATAAGAGGCCGAATCTATAGTTTTTAGAATTTTTGTCTGTCTGTCTGTCTGTTTCCGCATCACAGAAAAACCACTGGAGGGATTTTGATGAAATTTGGTATGGTGATAGCTGGTTATCCGGGTCAACATATAGGATACTTTGTACCGTGGAAAAATATTTCATTTCTGAGAAAAAATACAAAAACTGCATTGTAAGAGTAATAATATGTAAAACCGAAGAATTTGGTCATCTGAATGCGGGCGGAGCCGCGGGCAGTGCTAGTATATCATATTACATTTTCTTATAAAAAGTGCGTATGTGTAGTGTGTATGTATGTATTCAGCCAATTTTAAAGTCCCACTGCTGGGCACGGGCCTTCGTTCAATGCGAGGGGGATCAGGTTATAGTCCACCACGTTGTCCAAGCACCTACGGGTTGGCGGATTTCACATGTGTTTCGAAAACTTGCTAGGTTTTCTCAGACATGTAGATTTCCTCACGATGTTTTCCTTTACCGTAAGACAAGTGGTAATCTAGTTAGAAATGATTCGCACATGAAAATATCAGAGGTGCGAGATCCGGGATTTGAACCCGCTTCACTCGGTTACCTAAGCGAGCGCGTTACACTGGGCTACCACTGCTTATAAAAAGTATATCGATAAAATATAGTGGTAGATCAATTCGTACTTGCTTAATTTCATCAATATGTAACTCGAAAGATAAGGAACAGGACCGACAGCTTAACAGATTTTCCGAGACCTGAGGGTGTTCAACGTCCATTCTTTCGGATTCAAAACTCTGGGCTGCTAAGTATTTCGTGACGTGATTAATCCAGTCATAATTTTACCCCACTCAAGACTCGAACCCAGCTAGCCACTAGACCTACCAGGCAGTCATAATCTGACAACTAGACCATCAGCATGTACGAATAGTATAACTATATTCTATCATGGTTTTCATTTCTTTTATCCTATGAATAAATTTAGAATAATGCTATAACACGTATTTATTTAATTGTATTGAAGGGCATTTAATACCAAGATTGAAGTAATTCTGACAATTTCTGATAAGATTCAAATAATTTTTTGGGTTGTATTACAACGTGTTTTTCCGTGAGAATGAGAATATAATCTCCCGCGGTAAAAAGTAGAATATTTGACTCTCCAGCCCTCCAACTATCTCCACACATAAATCACGCCAATTCGTCACTCTGTTTCAACGTGAAAGAAGGAAAAAACAAACAACTAACAAACACACTTTCACATTATAATATTACATATAACAGTATGGATAATCGGTATCTAATAGAGTGATTGTATGAAGAGGGTGGACTATGGTTCGATCCCCTCTCGTACTGAGGGCTGAATATCGACTGTTGGTAGTTAGTTATTACGCACCTTGCAGAAAAACCTTGTATATGTAGAATTTTCATTTGTTTTATAATTGTAGTCTTGCCACTTTCGCCAGTACCCAATAGTAATAATTTGATAGCCTGGAAATGTAAATGTTACATTTTAATTTACATTTACATTATAATTTTTGTTTCTAAATATAAACATTTATTGATTAGGTACTTTAATTTTTTTGTTTTAAGATTTTTTTTCTTATAATACTATATTTAATAGTACTTAATAAAGTAAAGTAGTAAAATCAATGTAATCTATAAAATTTTCCAAAAAATATTTATTGTACAGATTCGATTCGGTTAGAATTTTATTATACATAAAATGTATATATTAAATATAGGGTAAAATTGTCACTTACGTCATTATACGACTTGATCCATTGCTTTATTTCTCTGTCGATTTGTTTAGAGTTGTACTCGTCTTCATTATAGCTTTTCACACACGGGAGAATACGCATTTTCTTAATCTATAACAAAATAGTAAATTATCCTTATATAATATATAACTATATCTTGAAATAAAAATTGTAATAAAATGTTTTAAGCTATTTAATCACTGCTTTTTATTAATTGCCGCCCCGCCGAGTTTTTGTTTGTTCGGGCTTACCTCAAAAACTACTGTAGGTACGGATTCTCTCACTGGTTTTTATCAATAGTAAGAGAGATCGTCGAAGAAGGTTATAATTTATTTATTTATTTATTTTAGAATTACCAACTTAAGTTACAATAATAAATAACATATTTTTTTTTCATTACTATAGAAACATGATGATTGCACTTTTAATTACAGGTAATTACAACATGCTATTAAATTAGTACAACATTAACATCTAAAAGTACAGTAAAATATATATATTTTAAGCATATTGCGTAAAAAACGTACCAATATAAGGATATTTCTGAATTAAGTCAGAAAAATGATCCCTTCTGAGAACTTCCCTAATACATAATATTATAAATACGAAGGACATGTAGGGTTCCTTTACTTTATACATCACTGGAGCTAGAGAGCTCATACTGAAAATTATATTTTGGTATGACGTACCTAAGTTTATAATATAAATAAATAAATAAATATAAATACCTATGTTGGGACATTAACACACAGCACCATCTATGTTCCATGGTAGATAAGCTACGAGGCTTGTGTTATGGATACCAGATAGTTGATACACTACACATATATAACTTTAAATACATAGATAGGTACATATTATAAATATAAACACCCATAACTGGAGTACAAACATTCGTGCTCAACACAAATGAATGCCCCCAGCGGGACTTGAAGCCGCGACCACTGGTACAGCAAGTAGGGTCGCTACAAACTGAGCCAAACGTATCGTCAAAATGTACCTAATATACAAGTGGAGTCACGAGGCAAAACTAGTTATTAAAAAAGTTCCAAGTCAAAAAAGTCCCTAAAGACTTATACATACTTCAGTACTAATATTATGAATAAGTTACTCAGCTTATTTAATCTTCGACAGGTCTTTTTTTAAATTAGTCAAAGAAACTACACATTTTATATATCGACAGAGAACATGATTAAATTCCAGATTTGTCACGGTCACGATAAAAAATTTATCTTCAAAATCTAAGATAAACAATTTATTTCTTTTTAGGGTACTGTACCTCAAAAGATAAAAAAAGGAACCCTTATACACTCCGCGACAAAATTATAACCCACCTCCTAATTTTGTAATATCCAATATAAAATTATAGTTATATTAATGCATTACTAATACACAAAATTAGGTATTGGTAAGTATATTTTACAACCAATGTATTGTTTGTTAAATGCAAAATAAACCAAATACAGATGATACATGAGTTTTGCGGTGCGACAAAAGTATAACCCAGGTAAATTAAATATATATAAAACTCAAGAGAAATGCAACAAAGAGCAATTATTTATTTAATTTAATATTTAGTACTTCGATCAACATTTAGTAGATCCACCACTTTTACTTATTACTTCAATCATTCGATCTGGTAAACTGTCATATAACTTTTTAATTTTTTTTTATTCATGTTTTGCCATTCATCAATTATTACCGATTTTAACTCTTCAACAGTGGTAAATTGTTTTGATCCTCAATAGACAGCTCATAATAAGTTTTCCCAATAATTTTCAATTATATTTAAGCCAGGAGAATAAGTTGGCTATTCAAGAACTTGAGTATTTGTTTCAGTACAATAGTTTTTAACTATTTGTGTACGGTGAATACTGACATTATCGTGCTGAAATATAAAATTAGGACCAGCAATTCGCATTAAATGAGAAGTAATCTCTTCATTTATTATGTTTATGAACCGTTTACTATTCAATTTTCCAGTACAGAACTTGATATTCATTTTTCCTAAGTAACCAATTCCACACCATATCATTACACTACCACTTCCGGCTTGTCGTCAAATCAATACACATTTTTATTTTCTTAAATCGTGAAAATAGTAATTAAAACCATCAGGCTCATCTAAATTAAACTTCTATTCATCAGTGAAAATAACTTTTTTCCAATTCTTCTATCATTGAACATGATCTTATGCAAATTTAAATCTATCTAATTTATGTTTATCAGATACCAGACGTTTTCTTTGTAATTTCTTACGTTTTAGGTATCGAGATCCATGTACGATGACCCATAATACGTTGAACATTTCTTAAATTAGTGCTAACAGCAGCCTCCACTGCAACTTGTCTTGGTGTAAGAGCAAAATTAGGTGCGACTCTCAGAATTGACCTTCTTTCAGGTGGTGTTGTTGCCCTTGGTCGACCAGTCCTCTTTATTTTGCCATAATTTTCAGGATCTTTTAGGAAATTACGCACAACACGATGGCTTCTATTGATAAATTTTGCAATTCTAACTTTCAACCAATTTTTAGAATACAATTTCCTAACTAAATTAATTTCACTTTCGTTGAAACGTTTCCCACGTGGCCTTTTATTTTAAAAATAAATAAATATTAATCGAAATAATTTTCTAGTACGTAATAATTTACGAGGAACGCCGAACAAGTATAAAAAGGAACTGACACGTCTAAAACATGAAGCTGTTCAAGCCAAAGTAAGTTATGGGCTATACTTTTGTCGCACTATCAAACTAAGAATCACGCCGTAATATAAGAAAACCACAAAGAATGTAATTAAACACATATTATAATACTACAAATAAATAAAAAATATTAGTGCAATAATAATATATCAAGATAAATTAGTCCTTATATTGGATATTACAAAATTAGGGGGCTGGGTTATACTTTTGTCGCGGAGTGTAAGATCACTCTCTTGTCCGTTTGTCCGACTGTCTGTCCGTGTGTCACCGCCGATTTTCTCAGGAACGGGTGGACCTAGCAAGTTCAAATTTATACCAGATACTGAGGTCTATAGTCCCTATTAGGTGTATGAAAATCAAGGTCCTGAGTCAACACGATAAAGAGATATGGGCAAATTTAGATTTTCGCGAAAACTTGTCCACCTAAGAAGCTTAAAGATTTTCACTTAATTTCGCCCGAAACTAACCGCTTCGGCAAATCGAAAACACGCGTTTTCTCACACATAAGACTAATCTAGATCGATTTATTGCCCCCGAAACCCCTTGTATACTAAATTTCATGATAATCGTTAGAGCCGTTTCCGAGATTCAGATTATACACAAGAATTGCTCGTTTAAAGATATAAGATATATTTTTTAATTATGAGTGCGGTCTGTCTACTATCATTGGTTTAATGGCTAGCATGTGACATGTTATACGCATTCATACGGCTTTAAAATGTCTTATGTAAAAACTCTTTATTATTAATAATAATATTTAATATTGAATTATTACTAAATTAAAAGTAAAAACTAAACACTATTTTTATTGATATTAATACCATAAAATAAACTTATACTTAAAGCAATATCCAGTATTCTTATTACGAGATACAATCGGTAAAATAGTTTGTACTACCCGCAAAATATATATTTTTTATATAAGTATTAGCCACCCGTTTATAACGTTACATACGTAAAACTAATGTTTCTCAGTAAGTGATTTGTATTTTTTTGAGAAACAAATGAATGTTAAAACTCAAAATAAAATCAAGCAAAATATGCAAGGAAAACGGGTCAGGTCGCTAGTATTTCATATTATACGGACAAAGTATTATGTCACAGCCATTTCAAAAATTCACTATACATCCAATAAATTGGTCGGCAAATTGAAAGAAAACTTATCACCATAAAACACTACATAAATAATACATTGAATCAATGTTATAATACTTATCGTTATAATAATTATAAAACTATGAAATTCTATTATAAGACACATTATAATATGAAAATATTAAATTCTTACACAACACAAACACAATCGCATAAACACACACAAAATACCCAAAGCATAAAAAAAAGAAAAAAAAATTAAAAACAAATTTAACAATTACCAATACCAGTCGAAACGCTAACAAAATCTCAGCTAAAAATTAAATGGCGATATTTTTATCCACGATATCGTTATCAGTGATAAAATTGATAATTATTACAATTGATAATTTACTAACCAAAACATAAGGAATGCACTAATAAGTCAATTTTATATGAGATTTAATGGTTTGTATAGACTATAATATATATGTGCATTGCATATATTTGTGTTTTTGTTTTATAAAAAATTGAAAAAAAAATGTAGTTTACAAAGTAAAAATTATCGACTTCACCAAATTTTAAAATTTTTAAGGGCATTCTTACAAAACGACCATACAATGTTTTTATATTTTCAAAAAGTAGAGTTCAAGACGAAAAGAATGGGTCCTATTTGAAAATTGAACGAGTTGTTTTTTTAAATGTAAACGCCCACTTGAAGTTGAGTGTTATTTTCAGCCTCTCGAGACCATAAAACATACTTTTCTCGGAAATGGCTAAACATTTCAATTTCTTTTTTTTTATTTATTATATGTATTTGTAAGATTACATTCCCTTGGTTTCATGGAAATCAAAAGATTACTCTAGAAATTAAAAATAAAACACCCAAGAAAAATTAAAAAAACCGAGTTTTCTGCGAAAACTTTGAGGTTATCGTAAAAAGTGCTATGTATAAAAGTTGTAGATTTTTACTAGACCTTCAATATTTGTACAAAATATTTTTCGATAGAACGTCACAGTAAGCCGGAAATTGAAAAAAAAAGACTATTTTTCAACGCTTTGCGTCCTCTCGGGAGTAGCAGGGCGTGTGGGGCAATTTACAAATTTCTATTCCTTATATACTTGCTAACATTTCAAAATACATAATAAAACTTCAGGTTTTCAATATTTTGTTCCTACACGCGCTATTTTCCTCTGTTTCATATTTACCTACAACCAAACGTATGTTAAATAATACTACGATTTTTATTTGTTAAAGCATTTTTATTGGTTAAGAATTATGTAAATTTTATCCATTTTTTGTATTAAAGGAGTCACATTTTTGTAATAAAACATTCTACGCATTCTACCTATTACGCGCTTTCCGTTATTAACTCCCAACTTGTACACATCTATACATCCATACATGACACATCTTCACAAACTTTTGCATTTACATATAATATTAGTGGGACTAATTTTTAGATTGCAGTTAACAACACATTTAACCATTCATTTTAATTTATAGGAATTATATGATTTTTTTATAAATACATATATAATAAACACCACATAATTTGTTTTTTTAGAACGTATATACCTATAGGTAAATGTAAAAATCCCGAGAAGTTCGGGAAATTTTCCCGTGGATATGAAAGCTTGAACTAAATTCAATCGATCCACGGGCCAGCGTTCATTTAATTAATAAACACTTATCAGAAAAAAAAACAAAAAAGAGCCTAAAATATACATTTTATGAAACGTGGGTAAAAACTACTTTAAAATTAAACAACTTTTATAAAACAAAACATTTATTATTATTTCACTTACTTAAAGCTATTTAACATATAATCATGACCTCATTAAGTTAACAGATCTTAACAATAACAAAAAAAGTTAAAAATAAAAATAAATGGGACAGTAACAAAAATTTACTTCAATAATATATATTTTTAAAAGTATAAATATTTTAAGTAATATTTTTAAATTATATAAGCGAAAATTTTAACAATAACATTAATAATATTTAATTTTTTTAATTACATTTCCAATAAAAAAAATAAAAAAAATGTTATATAAATTAGAAATTCCGAAATGGACGCTGATTCGAAAATTTTGTTTCTGTCGGTAATTTACAATTTTTAAAGGAAATATGAATAATAAAAATAATACTAGGTATATAATATTATTCTTTTGTATTTTTTAAGCATTACTTCTCTTCCCCTTGAAAGGGAGAGAGAGAGAAAGAGATAGCATAATAGTAGTTTAATTTATTTTTTTCTTTAATATAATAAAATACGTTAGCTATTTTTATTTATTAACAATTACTTATCAGTAATGAGTATTCTATTCATAATATTTGTATACTGTTTTAAAACATCATTGTTTGGCTTCGTATTTAGTTCTATGACACTCTGTCTATATTATGGCTTATTTGCCTAAGTCTGGGGCAACAACTTATTTTATTAAAATCGAGCGTCGATTTTAGAAAATGTTATACAGAAATATTAAATTATTCCTGCAAAATTTCATCATTGATATGCAATTGTACCATTTCATTTGCATTCACTAAACCGCCATCTTGTAATAACAACTGCACGTTGATATCTGATAAGTTCTGTTTAAACAAGTAACGAAAATTATATTTACTTAAAATTATATAAAGTGAATCTATACATATAATAATATAAGCAAAAAGCGAAATCTGTACATTAAAAATTAAGTACAACTAGTGAACATATTAGAAATTTTGTGAAGTCGAGCACACTTGGGCAGAACTGGATTATAGCCTGATCCCCCTCTTATTAAAGAGGCCCACTCCCAGCGGTGGGACATTAAAAAAACTTCATATATGAATTAAAAAACGTGTACTAATAGATTATTATGTTGTTAGTAATATTTTTTTTATCCCGATACATTACTTGTTTACTACAATTACAGACATCCGTCTAACAAAGGCAAACAAGGCAACAGGGAATATGCGTGTTTTTTTTATTTTTTATACAATAGCTTACATCGTTTTAAAATTTAAAAAAAATATCCACCTCCAAAAAACTAAAATTCGGTATGTTTTTTTAAGAATATCAAATACGGATACTTTAAGGGCCCGCCATTTCAAAAAAATAAATTTCACCTTTATTTAAATCACACGCATATTCCCGTATTCCCATATTATGCGAACCGTGTGGGGGAGACGCGGGTTAGGTGCTCCTAATCAATTTCATATGACAGTCGGGAAAACGGTTTTAGAGTAGGGTTAGGGATGGCGGAGATCGCACTACAGTGCTTTAAATTAGAAACCGACTCGAAAATTGATGTTTTTGACAACCCTTGCATTTAAAACCCCCGTCATAATTGGACGTAGTCAGGCGAAATGGATCCAGCCCATGAAAATTTTAATTCTCATTTTTTCAAGCATTTTAGTTGAGTTGGCGGTCAAATTAAATGGTGTCCAGCCCGTCCGGTTATTTTTAGGCTTTTTAAATTTGACCATTTTTTTACATTGATTTCCTTTTTTCATTGCAAATTGACTTGGGTTACTGGTAACTAGTATTGCAATTATTGAAATTAATGAATACAATATTCATTAATATTATTATTGAATGTTGTAGGTATGATTAATATTAAACGAGATTGATTCATTCAATTTTATTTTGTTTCACATCGATCAAAAAAGTACTAGATGCCATACAAAAGTTCTCTTAAAACTGTCACCAATTGTGTTTAGGTAATTATTTTAGTTAAAGTAAGTATACAGCAATGTAACTTGAACCTTAAATGCAATGCTTAAAGTTGTTTTCACAAAAAACACACTCAAATGTTCAAATGAGCGCTCATTCGGTGAGGTCATTTTTTGTCGCTTATTGTGTACCTACTTTTTTGATCGATGATGTCTTATGAGAATTTAAAAAGATTTTATGGTGAATGATAAAAAGGCCTTACTTTAAAAAATTAAAAATAAATGTTATACTAAAGCTAAAAATTATCTTTTTACTCAAAGGTCTGGCTAAACTGGCTGGCCTGGCCGGCTCTTCGGTTTTTAAGACCTGGCTATAATTAATGATTTTTTTATCTATCATCTAATATAGGGGTTTTCTATACTGTCTTAGTATTAATGATAATGAAAGTAATACTTACATTATGATAGCTATTACTATCATTAACTTGGTAGTTCACACTACTTTCATTATTAATGATATCTGATTGAGGTGTTTTGGCGATGCCTCTAACACGGCGGCAAGGTTGATATATATCTGAGGGTAGAATATAAATTACACTACTATTTAAATGTGACAGTTTGTATGTGTGTATACAATAAATAAATATAAATATGTTGGTACTTTAACACACAGCACCATCTAGTTCCATGGTAAGCTACGGGGCTTGTGTTATGGATCCCCCCCAACGTGCGTTCACCTTGTCGTGGTAGGGAGGCTCAGTAGTGCCCGGCAACCCCACCGGGCGCGAAGCCAAGAAACGCACAGGGAGGTGGCCCACTTCGGTGGGCGGTGGGAGGTGGCCCACTTCGCAGTGCGGTGTACCATGCTCCTGGTACTTCTCTGATAGCAGAGTGGACCTTGGAGCAACCCCGTGGTTGTAGTGGTCTGCTTTGGCAGACCTGCCGTCGGGGCGTCGTAGTTGAATGCGTAAGCGATCCTGCGACGCCCCATTAAGACGGTGGAAGGCTTTGTTGGGTTTTAGTGGGTAGTACTGGCTTTGCCGGTGAGTCCCACACCTCGTGCGTAAATGCATTTCCCAACGTTAAAAAAAAGAAGGCTTGTGTTATGGATATCAGATAGTTGATACACTACACATGTGTAACTTTAAATACATACATATTATAATTAATAAAAACACCCATAATTGGAGTACAAACATCTGTGCTCATCACACAAATAAATGCCCCCAGCAGGGCTCGAAACCGCGACCGCTGGCACATCAAGTAGGGTCAGTACAAACTTAGCCAAACTTGTCGTGTGTATGTTTGTTATTTCTTTACGCTGTAACGGCTGGACGAATCTGAATGATATTTGGTGCACAGACGATAGGCATATTATGGAGAGACAAATAGGCTATTGTTGTTAAAAAAATCCGGACAAGTGCGAGTCGGACTCGCCCACCGTGGTTTCCGTACAAATTTGTAGGAAATCTGTTTAGCTTTAATTTTCACAACTGTTTTTAATTTTTTGGAATTTTTCCCTTATTTGTGTTGTAAGACCTTGCTTTTCGCCAAATTTCGTGATTCTAGGTAAACGGGAACTACCATATAGGTTTTAGACCCAAAACCTATAGGGTACTTCCGGTTGACCTAGAATTTTCAATTTTGGTTAAAAGCAAGTTTTACAGCACAAGTAAAGGGGAAATTCCGAAAAATAAAAAATAGTTGAAAATTAAGGTAAGTTTTCGCGAAAATCTTAATTTGCCTATATTTTTTACCGTGTTGACTCAGGACCTTGATTTTTATATACTTATAGGGACTATAGACCTCAGTATCTGATATAGATTTTAACTTCCTAGGTCCACCCGTCCCTGAGAAAATCGGTGGTGACACATGGACAGACAGAAGGACAGACAGACAAGATAGTGTTATAAGGTGTCTTATATGGGTTCCTTTTTTACCTTTTGAGGTACGGAATCCTAAAAATGGCGAAAAGTGGCGCTGAATGAATATATTATTGTAAATACAAAAGTCACATAGAGACACATAGTCCTTAGTTGTGAATAATATTTGAATATTATTTACATACTATTGTAGTAGATTCAAATTCCGCGCATATCATTGAGTACCCATGTGAGTGCCACATTACCACACAATCCTGTCAGTGGTTTGAGCTATGTGTCAGTGATAGATCGGTCAGTCATTCACGGTTTGATATATAAAATTAAAAATAGTTAGTGTATAAAATAACCTTTAAACACTTAAAAATTGACAACAACCAAGGATAAATGTACATGTAAATAGATTTACCATTTTGATCGGGAATTTTTTGACCGACGATTTGAGTTTTTGGAACATCACTCAATAGAGAGTAAGCTCTCATTGAATTTGGCACTATGTTTATGGTATCCTGCAAATAAATTTATCTAAATATCTGTCGAAAAATGTGCATCAAACATTGAAATATAAAAACATATAGATACATTTCCTAACAAAAATCTCTTCAAAGACTGGCGTCGACATGTGATGTTAGGTCAAACCAAAGAATAAATTAAAAGAAATCATAAGTCCTAATTGTCTAAACACAAACTCAAACTTATGCGCATTTCATACCTAATGTACGTTTTTAAACGAAACAACGTGCGTTTTAATTTTGTCATCCGAATAGCAATGAATATAAGAGATTAAAAAAATATATTGTGCGCTTCTTTTCGAGGGCACTTTTGAGACGTGAATGGTGTATCTTGAGTTTTTGTATATAAATAGCATCAAAACAAACCTTCATAAAAGATATCATATTTATTTCAATAACTTTATCTTGCGGTATATTATTAACAGCAAGATGCTGATAAATATCTTCCGGAGAACAATGCATGCCTTCAATCTGCAATTAAATTAACTTAAAAAACTTTTACACTTAACATATGTATATATATATATATATATATATATATATATATATATATATATATATATATAACTTCAACTGCCTCGGTGGTGTTGTGGCTAGCATGTACACCCGGAGGTCCTGGGTTCGAGTCCCGGGTCGGACCAAATTTAGTTATTGAGTCTTTCTGTATAGTGAGCCTCAGTAATAGCCGTGAGTTGGGAAGTTGGCGGTGTTTCACCCCCGTGCCGAGGCAGAGCACGTAAAACCGTCGGTCCTGCGCCTTAACTCTCACCGGTCGTGTCGAGTAGTTGTCCCACCGGAGTATGAGAGTGATCGGAATAGAGTGCACTTGTATCTGCACTATAATATCTACCTCAGTTGGTCTCAGTGAGATTGGAATCACAGACAAGCACACGGACATAATAAATATATAACCTCCTTTTTCGAAAAGGTTAAAAAAGCCAAACTTACTTCTATAACAGCTAAATGTGCTGGATGCTTGAGCTTAATGTGCGTCCTCAAATCGGATTTGATGCGAAATCGTTTAGGGCACCTCGTACATACCCAGGGTCTAATGCCAGTGTGGATGAGTCTATGGTTTTTCATTGCTGTCAAGCTGTTTTTTTTTGGGAAATGATATTATCTTAAAATATGATACAGGATTGACAATATTTTGAGTTTTTTTAATGATATTCATTATTTTATTTAAAAGGCAAATTTCAAAAATTTATAGTGTTTAGGCAGTTTAAAAAAAATATAGTATTAAAAGGTTTTTTTTAAACTTACCGAGAAAAAATTAAATATACAAAGGAGAGAGTATATTACACAAAGAAACAATTCGTTACAAGAAAAAATAAAAAATAATAGTGCAACAATGTCTAATTAATAGTGAAGTGAAGATTGCAAATTAAAAAAAAAGATATAAAGGGTTTTATTCTTTATATTTAACATTGTCACTATCGTATTTAAGTACACCATAGTACCATAAAGTAATATTATATAAAAATAATCACTGTATCACTGTTAAATATATAATCATAGTGCTAGTGTATCGTTGTATAGTGTAATCTAACCGTCTAAAAGCAACACCGCACACATCACATGGGAACGGTCTCTCCCCAGTGTGCACTCGCACATGTTCGTCTAGAACCGATGCGGAACGAAATGTTCTAGAACACACCGGACACGTGTTCGATAGTTTTTTATCTGAACATCCATGTACTTCTCTGCAAGGAAAATAATGTATGTTTGGGAATTAGGTACATTTTAAGTGTAATGCCGGCTGTACACAATCGTCGAGGAAGCCTCACTACGACTCTCGAGCTTTTGGTGCTTTCGAGGCTCTCGGCCAGGCCTACCATGTACATTGTACACAATTGTTGTATCATTGGACACCGTTCACCGTGTCCGCCATGAGGTACCTGGATGTTGCTAAAATTATTACTAAGCAAACAAGTGTACATATTCATTCTTGTTTTCCTCACGAGGCCCAACGAGACCCTTTGACTCGGGCACAAAACATCGACACGCGACCAAGAGGTAGCGAGACGAGACGAGAGCTCCATGTACACACTCGCTCTTGGCCTGTCTCGTAACATCTCGGCGAGTGTGTACAACCGGCATATCAGAAACTATTAATTGCAGACACCTAATGATTATTCGAGATCATTTACAGAGAGAGATAGCTCGGTGTCGGTCGTGGATATTTTGACATTACGAACAGACACTTCAATCTTATTTATCGGTATATATTACTATTATAAAGAACGATTTCTACAATACTATTAGATACACTAAAATCATATACTTGTTTGTCTTAAGACATAATATTAAATATCTCACTTGATATGCTTCTGTAAAGCAAAAACGTTGTGCAGATTGTGACCACATTGGTTACAAATCGTTGTTTGACCGTCACCTACAAAGTGACACTTTTAATTGTTTATGATAAAATAAAGATATATATATATATATACAAGTAGCGCCACCTTTTGGCAAATTTAGTACTAGCTGTGGCTTTTGTATGTAAGTAGACTATGTATAACATTGTATTTAAGTTTTCAACAATTTTCAAATTCTTTTTCAAATTGTTACTCAATAATTGTTATTAGATTAAGGAGTATATTGTATCCTATTTGTTATTACTAATTAAACAAAAAAATACTTTCCAAAAAAAAACGTCAAGTCATTTCAGCACATTACATTACATACACATTAAAATCACAAATTATTTATTGCATTTAACGAGGGAATAATGAGACGTAATATAATAATGTAGGTACTAATACAGTTAGTAAAAAAGTACAAATATCAATGTGATCTTGTATTCTTATTTTCAGTCCCTTTTAATATCCCACTGCTGGGGGTGGGCCCCCCTTCAATACGAGGGTGATCAGGCCATAGTCCACCACGCTGGCCAAGTGCGGGCAGACCGAACATGTCTTTTGAAATCTTGCTAGGTTCTCTCAGACATGCAGGTTTCCTCAAGATGTTTCCTTTCACCGTAAGACAAGTGATAATCATGTTATAAATAATACGCACATGAGAATATTAGAGGTGCGAGACCCGGGATTTGAACCCGCTTCACTCGGTTTCCTGACCACGCGTTACCACTGGGCTACCACTGCTAGTGGTTAGTGTGATTTAGTACAGTCTAATTTACATAATAACTATTATATACATAAATGTGATATAAGTAGGTATACCTTGTCTCACAATTTGCATTGACTCATCGCAATGTTCATTATTTCTATGCAAATAAAGCTCAGTTTTATTTGGCAAAATGGCGTTACAATCGCGACATGGAATCCTGTTACGTAAAAAAGAAACAAAAATTATGCATTATCCAATAATCTTACTAATATTACAAATATGAAAGTTTAGGTGTTTGTATGTTTGTTACTCAATTACGCCAGAACGGCTGAACGGATCTGGATGAAATTTGGCACAGAGATAGATTATAGTCTGGAATTGCACATAGATTGCATTTTATCCCGGAAAAAGGTAAGGCAACGTATCTAGATGTTTTATAATAGCTGCGTGTGTGTAATTTCATCCAGTGCGTTCAGCCGTTTTGAAATGCAAGAGTAACAAACATCCATTCATCCATCCATCCATCCATCCTCACAAACTTTCGCATTCACAATATTAGTAGGATGTACATATGTATATACCGATAATTCTCACGAACTATCTTGGTGAAACCGCCATTCTCTTCTTGGCCATTTTTATTGTGAGTTTTCTTTCTGTGATATGTCACACTCCAGCTAAAAAAACACACACTATATGTATAGCTTCCTATAAGTTTTGTATTTCTTTATTATAGTTTTGGATACATTCATATTGAGGTACTAAATTATATAACCGCTGTCTTTCGTTGCTATAGTTTGGGCTACCAATTTCCTTATGCAAAGCTCCTTTTGAAAACCGAGGATCATGGGTTCGAATGCTGGATAGACCCAAGTAGTCATTGAGTATCTATTTCTGTCAAGAAATTCTCAGTAACAGTCCGGAGTTGGGAAGTCGGTGTATCAACCCCGTGTTGACACAAAAGTAGAGCACGTAAAACTAAAAGTCCTGGCTCTGATTTCTCACCGGTTGTATGAAATTCTCGTCTCTCCGGAGTATGAGAGTGACAGGAACAGAGAGTGCACGTTGTGTCTGCACTATAACATCTTCTGTGCAGTTTGCTGGTCTAAGTGAGATTGGCCGCCGTAGCCAAAATCGGCCGGGATGACATCATTATTATTTTACTTAGTTTTATGGATTAATTAATAATATCACTTTTTTAATAAAAAGGCACACTTGACTTAAAAATTACTTACTTTAAATGTACTTTTAATATACTTTACTTACTTTAAATCATATTTTAAAATTCATTAAAAAAGTCATGGATTTTTAATTACAAAAATCTGTACACAATTAAAGGATATCTTATAATAGTACACTCTTTTCAAGTCGGTTAAACTATAAAAAAATAACACTTACCTATTAGGAAACGTCAACTCGCATTGATTACATTTGAACACATAATTCTCATTGGCATGTTTCATTCGACGGTGCACTTGCAAATAAGTCCAATGCAAATATGATCGACCGCAATCCTAAATAATATAAAAAAAAATATAATTTAATGACTAATCATGTTTGTTTCTGTCTCTTAAAATACCTTTCAAATAGCTTTCAAAACCAAAGAAACATATTCTCAAATATATAATTTCAATAAAAATAAACAAAGTTTAATATCGATGTGCAAATATTGAAGTTATTTGTATAACACACACGCACATAGACAGCAATTTGAAAACCTCCTCTTCTTTTAAGTCGGTTAAATATTGAGGTTACGAGTTCGATTTTTATTCGAGGTAATTATTCAAATAAGACTAAGTATATCTACTTAATACTAGTATCAGCTTTCAAAATCTGAAATAGTAAGACATTATGTAGTATTAACTCGTATTTATATCACTATACGGTTACTTCATTAAAAAACAAAACAGCATTTATGGTGTAATCAAAATTTGTTTTAAAATATACCCGCAAATTATATTAAAAATTTAATTAATATTATAAAAATGTTTTAAAAGACAACAAAATCGAAAGTGCATTATAAATACGAGTACAAGACTTCCGCGACACCATTCAGACAAAGAGAGACAATAGCGTTCCCAAGGAGGGTTGACGTCAGGCAGGCGTGAGGCGGCCGGTCGTACAACTTTTGCCAAATCCTATCAGCCGACCCCAAGTGATTGGGAAATGGGCAGGGAGAAGACGGTTACTTCATTATATACACGAGCAGGGTTTCTCAAAGTAATGTATACAAATCACTAGAAGTTAAAAATGTATTATTACAATTTTAAAATAAGATTTATTTTATACTTTATATGAAATAATTTATATTTTTACATATCAAAGGAAAAAGGCCGACTCTGTTCAAGAAACAAAATAAAAATGAGTGTACTGTTAAATCATGAGTGTGTTGGTCTTTAAAGGATTAGTATTAAATTTTAATTATTATTTTTATTTAAATGAATATGCCACCCCTAAGGATTGAAACACAAATTTGTTTAATGTATGTGTGTATATGTATATGTGTGTATGAATGTTGTGTGTCTCGTGAAATACAGAAACTATACACACACTAACTATTAGTTCTGAAAAGAACTATTTATATACTATACTATATTCTGTCGTGATAATTAAGAATGCAGTACTTTCAAAATGGCGGTTTCGAGAAAAACGCGGGAAACATATTTTTAGAAATCTTAGAAAGATGTTCGTATTTTATGACCATAAAAATATATCAAAAAATTAAGAAAAAATCAAGCTTTTGAATCATCATAATTTTATTTTATTTATCTATCTATCCAAATGTAATGCGTATTACTGCGTTTCGGTTTAGCATCAGGTCTTGTGAGAATCAGAGGATAATAAAACTATATGCTGCAGTTGCGTATATTAATTACTGCATTATGGTATTTTGGTTCAAGTTATGATGTTTTTGTATCGGTCATTTCGTAGTTCAAGCAATCTTCCGGTAGCTCTCTATTTTCTACTGATTCAATCTACTGATTACAAGTTTTCATTTCTAAAACCCCAACTTGTAAATGTATGTATCTAATTAAAGTTTCAGAAACCCTGCGTGTTGAAATACAATAGTATTCCACTATAATCATCGACAACAAAGTATTAAAACTATATGAAAGTGATGTATTATCTAATTAATATTTTTTTGTCTATTGGGAACGTCGACCACTATCAATAACCTATCTTTCTATTCTTTGGACTATTGCTTTGCTTTGTTTAGCTTCACTTGTAACGATTTTGTAATTAAATTTGGAAAATCGATTTTAACCTACTTTTAACTGTCCTATCGATTTTAACTTTGTATGTACATGTACGACACTAATATAATAATACAATAGTCCAATATCATCGAGCTAGCTCTAGCTCTCTAGACTCTAGTCAGAAAGAAGTAAGACATTCATTTTAAACTCAATCAATTCATGTTGACGAATCCCACACATTTAAAGTACTCGATTTTTTTTTCTTTTTGTCAGTCAAACAATAGAAAAGTAGGTTTGTTGGGTTCCTAATAAAACTTCCGAGATATTCCTTGCTTACATTCTTATATTCAGTACTTTTATAATCACCAGTAAGTTAGATTATTTATAATCATAATTTTCAGTATTATAAACAATTCATGTCTAGTCACTAGATGGTGGTACCCACATCTCTGAGCAAAAGCGCGGGAAAACAAATGAATATCCGCGCCCTTTTATTTTTTTAAAACACATTCCTATCGGCCAAAGTCGCATAAGTAAATGCCTTATACATAAATCATTACAAATTAATCAAATATATTATTTTCTATTAAAACACTCAATATATCAAAATGCAACCTTACAGGTTATTATTGTTTGTAACATTTACAACACAAAATCTCACCTCACACAAAAAGTGTTTAACAACGGGGAACCCTCCATAACCGAGTATGCCCGCATTGGCCGCACCAGACGTGCCTTCTGTACGACTCTCGGTCGCACTACGCTTGTAAAATCCATGGGTAGTTTTGTGTGTTGTACATCTAGTGTTTAAACGTTTTGTTAGTATTTATTTATTATTTAGATTTATATAAAATATCGTCGTATATATATATATATACGACTATAGGGCACGTTTTGATGAAATTTAGTACACGGATAGGAAACACACACAAACAGGCTAAATCACTAGTTATAATGTAAGCATTTGGTATTATTTCAATCTTACCTGGAGTAAGTGGCGAAGCTGACTTTACAGATGTGGCACGTGAAAGGGTTTTTTTTTCCTTTATGAATAATTCTATGGTTGTTTAAAGCGTCTTCCAAATAGAATACACTACAAGACATGAAAGTAATATTAATTGATAGCATTATTTGAATCTTATGATGTTATATACGTATATTATAGGAAATTTTCCCGATATCGGCTTGAGTTTTGGAAGTCCTGGGTTCGAATCTCGAGTTTTGAATCAAGTTTTCGTTTAAAGATTGTGAAAATCTAATAATAATGTACTGATTTCCCTAACAGACTGGGAAAGTGAAAAGATGGCTTGTCTAATTGAGAATAAACGCCGTAACCAAAATGGGTCTAAAGGTTAAATTCATATTACTAGAGTGCGAAAACATAACGCATATTCTCCATCTCTTTCACTCACATAGTGCGTTAGAATCATAATCTAATACTTGTAAGAGATCAGACCTTAGATGACTTATAAAATATTTGGCCCGACCCAGAACTCGAACTTAGGACCTCCTAATAATTAATAATATAAAAATGTAACATAAAAAACAATTCAGAACTAACTCTTCACAGTATTCACATCTAAATGCCTTTTCCACATTGACGACACGTATGATATTTCTAGCGGCGTCATCTAAATTTGAGAGTAATGCTTCACTCATCTCGTTATTCACTTGTCGTTCTATACCATGTATTAGTCGTGGGTATTCTAAAGAAATAAATAAAATAATAAATACATATGTTGGGACGTTAACACACAACACCATCTAGTTCCATGGCAAGCTACGAGGCTTGTGTTATGGATACCAGATAGTTGATTACCATCCCCCACAACGTGCGTTCCCCATGTCGTGGGGGAGTTTTAGTTCGAAAGGGTATACTCCCGACGTAGTCCCATTATCATCAAGTCAGGATCTGATGATGGAATCTCAAGAAAATCGAGGAAAAACTAACAATGAAATAAAATTTTAGAAGTCAATTTTGACCCACTTCCCGGTCTCCGATTGAGCTGAAATTTTGCACACTTATGTAAGTTTAGTAATAATGCAAAAATCTGGTACTATTGAGTTGATCTGAGGACGGAGTGGATAGTGGAACTCCTCAACGGCGAACAGCACAGACACGAAATGTTGTAAATGGATTTAACTATAATATAGCCTGTTATAAACTCCATCATAACATAGCTGCTGCACTCAGGGTTGAATTCCGGCGAGGGATCTCCTCAACGGTGAATAGGACAGACATGATATTTTTTGTACATGCATTTATATTAAAATAATTTCTTCTTACTCTGCTACTACTATGTGTATCATGTGTATGTCATCGGTGTAGACTAAAAAGGGTAAAATAAAAACTTAAAAAAACACGGACTTCAAAAAAAAGCAATAAAAAGTAAAAAATAACTGATTGGTAGTTTTCATTTACTATACATACCTAATCAAATATTTTCGTAGTCGGTGCCAGCCGATACAAATCAAAGCACACCGACTTCAAAACTATCTGATTAGGTATCTATAGTAAATGAAAACTACCAATCAGTTATTTTCTACTTTTTAGTGCTATTTTTTTAAGTGGTTTTTTTTTAATAAATATCACTGTAAATAATGACCTTATCGGTCGAATTTTGTTCTGCGACTGGCTAAGTATATCAAACAAAAATGATTTTTTGCTCCTATCACGCAATATCTACTGATCCCATTTCGATGAAACTTTATAGTAATATTATATTAGCTGAGTTATATTACTAATATAACTTATACATCAGAGTAGCACATGGGCTATATAATTTATAAAGATATAGTGAAAGTATTACATAAATGAACTACTCGAGTGAAGCCGCAGGACAATACTAGTTACATATCCATCCGATCATTTCAGTTTAAGCGCACATACATACAATTTAGTATTTACAATGTATTCCGCCCTTTATAACATCCCACTGCTGGGCACGAGCCTTCCTTCTATGCGAGGGGAATCAGGCCATAGTCCACCACGCTGGCCAAGTGCGAGCTGACTGAGCATATCTTTCGAAAAGTTGCTAAGTTCTCTCAGACATGCAGGTTTCCTCACGATGTTTTCCTTCACCGTAAGATAAGTGGTGATCATGTTGACCTGGGATTTGAACCCGCTTCACTCGGTTTTCCAAGTAAGCGCGTTACCATTCGGCTACCACTGCCACATTTACCAGCATTTACAATATTACTTTAAAATGACTTACTAACAACTCTGACAGCGTGTCTCACAATCCCACTTGTGGGCGACAGTTGTTCACTCGCTTCAGTCTCCTCTTTGATTTCTTTTGTGAATTCGGCTATACATTCTGTAGATTTCGTCGCATGCTCCTATGAAGGTATTATAGAAAAATTATCATGTTTGGACCAGTTTTTAAAACTTAATATATATAATTCTTCTGTACGTGTGTTTGTTAATCTACTCCTCCTAAAGGACAGGACACATTTGGATGAAATTTTGTGTGTATATTTCAATTGGCTCCTGGATAGTTTGAAAATACAATTGGACCCAGTAGGTGGCGCTGCAGTCGGTGTGCCACTGATCATCTCCTAAACAGCAGGGACGATTTTAATGATATTTTTTGTGTATGTTCGAGTACCCACTCGCAGGGGTTCCTGCAAGGTTTAAATTTACAAATAAGTCCCAAAAATATTCATAAAGACTCCATTTTCCGAGCAATAAATAAATTTAAATTGTTGATTACATAACATAAAAATCGAATCCGGTTAGCCCAGCGGATGATCCTGTGAATTTTGTTAGCGATTGGAAGTTTGGACGCTTGCGAAGCCGCGGGCACTGCTAGTTTTCTTATAAAGAGCGAAACAAACAACAAAAAAAGCTAGCCTTGTAATCTTCATTAATATTGTATAGATATATAAATCTAAATAGTCTGTTTGTCTGCACGTACAAATCTCCGAAACTGATTTCAAAAATATTTTTGCATTTTACAGTTTATTTATTTTTATTATTAATTATGGTAGATTTTCGACCACGGGACGATCACTATAACTAAATAAATTAACAAATAACCTGTGCATCGTTATGGTCTCGGAAAGCTCTAAAACAGACCGCGCACACAAGTACTAAAGTTGGTGACAGTTCTTCTTCATGAGCTCTTAGATGCATTCTAAGTCGAGACCGTCGAGTCAGTTGTTTGAGACATATGTGGCATTGGAAAGGTTTTATCTGCGATGAAAAGCTTTATTAAATTGAGGCTATCAGTATCAAAAGTGGTCTAATTTGGAAGTTTTTTATGAAAAATAATAATACTTTTCAAATTGTCTTATGTAACGGTAAGAATAATTTATTTACATATGTATGAATGATATATCCCACGGGAACCGTACATTTTTCCGGGACTTGAAGCCTATGTGTTATTCTGATGTATGAGCTATATTATTTTAGTCTCATTAAAATCCATTCAGTAGTTTTTGCGTGAAAAAGTAACAAACATCTTTACATATATACAACCATATATCTTAACAAACTTTCGCATTTATAATATTAGTAGGATTTTTTTGGATTACTTTTAAATATACTCCCATATACTAGTTTAATATTTCATTATAATTGTCTTAAGATCACAGAAATTGATATCACAAAATATGCTGTTACATACAAAAACTAAAAATCCATTCAGTCATCACAAAAACACTTGATAAACTAGAAACCCAAAAATAATTAATTTAAATATTAAATATCATCAACACAGATTAAAAAAAATAAACACACACCTGTAAATGTGTTACACCATGTTCATCTAACGTCTGCTTATCAAGGAACCGTTTGCCACAAGTCACACACACATACCGCCTCGTGTCTGTATGCGTGCGGCTGTGTTTTGTTAGTGTTGCTCTAAAATAAAATAAAATATAAGAGTAATAAAACACTCGAAAATCTCATCTCTTGTCAAACAAAACTCGCCAAAATGAATAAAATTGAATCAAATTCAAAGATTTTATTAATAGCCACTGAAGAATACCACTATCCATCTTCTGGCTTTAAGATGCTAAAAAAAATTGATACGACAGCAATAAAAATATGTTTTAAACACTATGTATGTATATAAAAATATGCCCCGGGTGAGGATCGAACTCACGACCTTAAGATTATGAGACTTACGCGCTGCCTACTGCGCTACCGAGGCTTGTACACTTTGGATAGAAATAGGTTTACTAAAGCACGCGACATTGAATCTTATTAGCAATTGTTAAGACTTCACTAGACACAACTAAAGTCTTGGAATCGACTTAGTCACATTCTGACTTACATATACTGAAAATAATACTTAAATATATCATTACCATATATTTTTTTTAATTTTTTTATTAGCAATAACAATCGCACAGTAACTTCTTATCTTAGCTCGAAGAGCTACAATATATATCATTTTTAAACAACAACATATTTAAACATAGAAAGAGATGAGAATGACAAAGAAGTATCGAAATGGATAGTAAAATATATTCAGATTTCCACCAAATGCAAATATAAATTAAACTTATAATAATAATAATGCCTTAGCCGATTTCTATAACAATAGCCAAACTCACTGAGATTAGCCATTATGGTACAGTATGTGTGAAAAAGAGCGAACACACAAAGTATTCTCTCTGTTCCTTTCACTCTCATATTTCGATGGAATGACAACTTGATACAGCGAGATATCAGGCGCATGACTGACTCCTTGGGAGACTATCGACTCAGTGAACTAAATATTCTAACAAAACTTATAACAAAGGGTCGATCTACTTTATAATTAATGCCTAATGTCGATTAATTGTCAACAGATGTCCTTAAAATACGTTATTATACCGACAACAAAAAGTACATAAAATAATCCTCAAAAAAGTGAGTTAAATCACCTCAGAAAGAATGTCTTTCCACAGCCTTTGACAGGGCACTGCCATCGCTTTTGCTTGTCATGCTGGAAGTGGACGTGATCGAACAATTCCGTCTCTGTTGGAAACTTGGTATCCTCACATTCTGTACATTTGTATTGACCATCGCTCGTTAATAGGTTTGTTGTATCGTGGAATTGCCTATAATAATATTTATATGTAACTATATTGGAAATATCTATTTAAATTCACAAAATGCTATCTATATAATATCTAGAGCGACTCACCCTCGCTTCGCTCGGGTTCGTCCCTAGGTTGATTCCCCATACAAACTTTTATCCCCATTTTCACCTCTTTAAAGGATAATTTTCGGGATAAAATTCTTACCAAATTTCTTCTAAATCGGTTCAGTAGATCCAGATATCCCCCTACAACCTCACAAACTCACAAACTTTACCTCTTTATAATATTAGTTTAGATTAAATAACAAAATATATGATTTGTATAATTGTTTGCATATTTGTGTGTTATAATCTTAGAAACTGACTGATTTTGGTTACACAGTTTGGTAACACTCCCTAACAGTTCAGGAGATATTCACTAATTCTACACAACCGTAAGAGGTCAAGCCTAGGATTGAAGGTTTTACGTGCTCTCCGAGTTTTCTTTTCATATAAAGACCCAATAACTATACTTGACCCATCCGAGAATCGAACCCAGACTCAACATCAGCAGCAATATGCTAGATCAACGAGGCAGGCTTTATTTGTATACTATCATACTCATATTTTAAATGCTAAATGTGAGCTTCTTCACGCCTTAGCGATGTGTGTATGTCTATATATGGACTCCAAAACGGCTGGAGCGATTTTGATGAAATTTTCAAGCAATCTTCAGATTAGCTCAGTGGGTGATCCTGTGAAGTTTGGTAGCGATCGGATCAACAGAAAGTTTTATAGCCGATTGAACGTGGGCGGAGCCAAGGGCAATGCTAGTAATATATAAACAACACAGTTATAGACTTACATATGAAATTTTAGTCTGACTTTCGATGTGAAGGATTCGTTACAATTATGACACGTGACTATTTGTGATTCGTTTGATTTACGATTTTTCTTCTTACGTGTTTTCTGTTTAAATAATTACTTTTTAAGTCCAACGAAAAAGCAGCAAATACACTAAGGAAAAAGCTATCACGAGGCAGAAGATAGAAGATCTATTATTTCATACAGGGTAAAATAAAGGTTAACGAAGTAGGGTAGGGTAGTAAGTTAGTAACGATGGGTCGCTATTGGTCATTCAACTTAGTTATCTAAATTTCTTGCATAAAAATGTTAACATTATTACTAAAAAGAAATAATTACACATTATAAAGAATTTCTTAAAGGAACTTGCAACTACAGACCCTCCAGTTGCTAACGACCAACTATTTCCTTCGGTTATCTGAAGTGAAAACTTCTATAGGCAGGTTTGGATGGGGAGTAAATTCATGTAAGTCGTCATCGACATGGTCACGTGACGTGTTAACGCTAACACTCAGACTGCCGATAGATGTCAAAACCAGATAAATGTAAACAATTTTAATATACAGATTTTAATTTGAATATCCAAATATTTTTGGATATTCAAATTAAAATCTAACAATTAATTTGATTATCCAAAAATAAGAACTGTTTGTTTATAGTTTTAAGGTTTCACTTATGTCGGCAGTCCTCATGGTTGCTTTTTTTCTTAAATTAACTTTTACCTTATTCTAAAATGTTATTTTATGCAAGTTTTATGGTATGGGAAGATAAGCTCCTGAAACACAGTTTAGGTACTAGTTCAGGAGTTAGGGGTTTGTGTATTTCTTTTGTTACCATTGTGTTACAAGAATAAAGTCTTTTTAAGCTTTACCTTAGGAAAATACAGTAAAAAAACATTGTGTTTATAGTATACAGATTAAACAATTAATACGTACTTCAACTAAAAGGTCGTTATCGCCAGATCCTTTGACTGGACGAGGTCTACCTTGAGCTCTCTAAAAATTAAAAAATAAGCAGTTGACATTTACTAAAGAGGTTACTTGGATAAGCGCATTCAAACGAATGAGTAAGCAATTTTAGTATGGAGAATAATATATATTTTAGCCCTTTAAACTTCCCACTGCTGGGCAATGGGCTCCCTTCATTGTGACAGTGATAAGGCTATTTTGGCCATCAACAAAACGTTTTAATTAAACCTAAGAGGTAATAGACTAGTGACCTTAGATGCTGGCGTTTTCATATTATTACTGAAGTTCTCAGAAACCTTAACCTACCGTTAGGTTCTTTTAGTAATATAATATGCATATATAAATTCTATAATCTTGCTCTATTTCACTAATTGGTAAAAATCGTATGAAAATCCATACAGTAGTTTTTGAGATTAGACGAAACAAAAAAAAAACAGAAGAATTAACACGGTGGGGGAACTATAACTCGTAACATGGCTATATACTAAAACCAATTGAAAATTACGAAGAAATCTGAGAAAATAACTGCCAATAACAATGATAAATTACTAATCATTCAAAAAATGATATGAAATTAGCGACTCGCACTCGCCTCTAGGAAAACAAAAACAAAAGTATGTAAAAAGTAGCCTATGTGCTATTCCAGACTATAATCTATCTCTGTGCCAAATTTCAACCAGATTCGTTCAGCCGTTTTAGCGAGATTAAGTAACAAACATCCTAACATCCATCTAAACTTTCAAATTTATAATATTAGTAAGATAACGTTCACCTTGATAAAATCTTCTTGAGACGGAACAAAAATAACCGATTCGTCTTTTGTCACAGACTTTCTTTTTCTCCCACGCTTTCTACACTTATGTACGGAGAGACTCTCCGAATTGGGAAAAATCTTGCTGAAATTATTTGTCAGCTATTTATTAAAATTCCCCTAGTTGCCGTTTTCGAAACAATCGAGTGCTGTTTGGGGTACTACTTTCTTTACATTAACAGTTCCAACTACTTTATTATAAAATTAGGATTTTTCTCTAGTCAATCAAACGCGTCTCACTTGTGAATATCAGAGAAAATCGCAATGATTTTTAATGCATAGATCAAAACACACGTCCACATTAAAATGAATCAGATGAGTATAAACTTGAAGTCTTCACTATGCCCATTGAAGAGTTCCACTATCCACCTCCTTGCTCCATCATCAATCCAGCTCGACGGTACCATATTATTGTATGTAGAATGTACATAATTAGGTATCACATACGAATTTTCAAATCGATACAACAATCAAGAGCAGAATAAAGTCCAATTCAAACATTTGATTAAATAGTAAGCTAATAAAAGCGCGATAAAAGTTTTTAAAAGTAAACATGGACCAAAAAAACTTAAAACTTCCCAAACATTCGTCAAAGAGAATTTACAACAACAAAAATATCCAAGTAGGTACCTGCATTTAAAGCATTTATGTTTTTTCAGATCATTGATATTGGTGTTGTCTTCTTTTACCTTAAACAAAAGTCACACTTCTACATAAGAGAAAGAGATGAGCGGACGGTTCTATTTTAAAATTGTTTATTTCTCTTGTTTTACTACATGTTCGCGTCTTAAAGCGGATGTGGACATACCGCCTCAAAGCCCCCGCATCTTATTTTTTAACGGTAACCGTTGCTATAGCGACTTGTCAATATATATGTCACATTGCCCTTATAGACTTTAATGATTAAAATATGTAATTAAAGATATAAAAATAAATAAACTTTTCAATTCCATCTGGAACACCTCCGCCAGCGAACCTTCCCCACCACAACATATTTTGCTATTTACTTCTCAACCACTTTTGTCTTAGCTACCTTTTATAAGACAGTTAGGTACTCCCTAACAATTACCTATACAATAAGATACTGCTTACCCTAGTTACCTAAACTTACCTTTAACAAGTTGTGTAATTCCTCATCATTATCACCAGTTTGCACTATCCATATAGAATCGTCGCTATCCAAGCATTCTTGTTTTACTTCAGTAGTAAATGTAAGTTCATTCTATACGTTTAAAAAAAATATAAAATTAAATAAATAGAAAAGGTACTTTATATCTATTACATCACACAATTAGTTTACGGTATACAGTGTGTTTGAAAAGATGATTAAAAATATATTTCAGTTTGTGTGTATAACATATTTCAACTCTTTTCAAAACATTATTTTGCAAACTAGCATTGCCCGCGGCTCCGCCCGCGCTCAGATGACCAAAAACCAAATTCTTAGGTTTTATATATTAGTATAGTCTTACAATGCGGTTTTTGAATTTTTTCTCAAAAATGAGATATTTTCCCGCGGTTAAAAGTATCCTATATGTTGACCCGGATAACCAGCTATCATCATACCAAATTGCATCAAAATCTGCCCAGTGGTTTTCTCGTGATGCGGTAACAGACAGACAAAAATTCTAAAAACTATAGATTTGGAGTCTGTATCGATAATAATGTCTATTTCAATAAAATTTTCCAAAAAATATTTAATATACAGATTCGACTTAGTTACAATTTTATTATATTTTGCAAACTATAACTTACCGTCATATTCTCAGTACATTGTTCAGCGATTTGATTTTCCTTTGTACCTTATGAATTAAAATTTTATTATGAATAATTAAGCCTTACTTATAAAAAAATTGAGAGAGGGTCTCAAGAGCATCTATGTATTTATTTATATTTATAGTGGCTGTACATTGTACAATCTCTTAGGGCGAGTCTGACTGGTAAGTGTGACTTGGCCAATTATTATCATTTTTGGAGTTTTCATAATACTCGAAGCTACTTAAAGGTATTCTTTGTTTTAAACCTATATAACAGTTCAGAAGTTTTCCTAGTGGATGCTTTCCGAACTAATTACAGCCAACCACCAACCAATACAATACCAACTAAAAATAAACAAGTATGCCAACGTTTAGGATAAAATAAAACGGAAAGAAATAATAACCATTATCGTTTTCAAGGTCACTTTTTCTAATTGAACTCCTCGTTCTCTTGGCGACGGGAGAAGATTCTGGAGAAATAGGTTTGTCTGAAAACATTACGAAGTTGTGTAACATGATTGCTATAATGCATTCAAAATGTCGAAATCCAAAATCAAAATCCGCAAAAAATTAGAAAATATCGTTTTATAATGTAAAATATTAGGATAAATCTAAGAGAGATATTATCTAAAGTGGATATACTCATTCATTCCTCTAGCCTAAGTCTAACAGCAGGGCATATTATGCCTCTCTTCAATGTTCAATGAAAGGATGCTATAGTCCACCACGCTGGGCTATCATTTAAATTCACGTCTAGCACTAGTTTAGACTAAAATCTCTCAAACATGAATCAATCAATGACAAGTTATGTTAAAAAGGTTTCTTTCATCATGTTGTGAAGTGGTAATCATATAAATAATAATTCGCATACGAATATCTCAGAGCGTTGAGATCAGCGGTTTTGCGGTATGTTTCCAATAGACTGTTATAACATTGAGCTCGTGTAAGATTGATCATACGTTACGTTGATCTAGATAGGTCTTAGATTCGAATCCTAGGTTTAGAAAAGAGTACCTAGTTGTTGGGCTATTTTGTAAAAAAAATTGTCAGTAATAGCCCCGAGCTGGGAAGAAGTCCTGTTCCTCAGATAGAATGTAAAGCCTGGCCGTGTAATAATAGTAAAAATAACATTACCATTAGTTTCTTCTGTAGCGTCTGGATCTTTCTTAACTGTTTCATGGGCCACTTGTAGATGTGCTTTTAGCCATTTGAAGTTCGCATATCCTACGAAATTTGTCAAAATATGGACTTTTTGCATTGTGGAATTTTGAAGGTTAACGGTAACATATTTTTAAGAAACAAGTGAGGCAGATAATTTATTTTATTTGAAAGGTGATTTAATCAAGAGAGTTCTTATTTATAAATTAAGAAAACGCGTTCAGCCGTTAACAGGCTATTAGGTATTTTCTAGACAGTAAAAGAATATGAGCAACTTTCATAGATCCAAGAATTTGATGAAAATTTACAGCAGCAATATAGCTCATACATTGCATTAGAGTAACGTCGCACTGCTGGGCACGGGCCAATACGAGGGGGATCAGGTCATAGTCCACCACGCTGGCTAAGTGCGGGTTGGCGGACTTCACATGTCTTTCGAAAATTTAGGAGAAACAAGGCTACCGCTGCCTGATTACTAAGATATAATTATAAATAAATAAACGCAGGAAAACGTTAGTTGGTAGAATATATTTAGTTAAAGTTATATTACCATAATCGCATAAAGGACAAGGAAATACCACATCTTCCTCTAAATCGTGTTTATGGTCTTCTCCGTGCTCTATTACTTCGGATATTGATTTAAATTCTTTATTACAAAACCTGAAATAACATATAGCAGTAATTCCGACGAAAATCTTTATATAAATAATTCTTTGTGTATGTCACTGAATTCCTCAACGGCAGGACCAATTTTAATTAAAAAAAAATGTATTTAAGTTTTTGTTTGGTTTAGATTCATAAACGGGCCTACTCGTAGTAGGTGGCGCTGTACCTAGTCTAGTTTAGTTTTAGTAGTTAGGTTAGTTCTAGGATAATATATTTTTATATACACACGTACAGAAGATATATTTATTTGTTTCGATAGGACAACGTCTGTCGGGTCCGTTAGTTTAAAGTAAATGCTTATTGGCAATGATAGCCAAAGCTTTTGCCTGCAGCTCAACTCGCATAGCTATAATCTTGTTTAATTTTATACTAATATGTAAAGATGATATTTTGTGTTTATCTGCTCGTGCTAGTCTCGGAATTAAGCATCATAATTTTAAAAAAACTTTTTGCATTTTATAAACTACTAGCAGCACCCGCACGTGAACTTTACAGGATTACCCGCTGGGGTAATCTGAAGATTACCTGAAAATTTCATCAAAATCGCTCCAGACGTTTTGGAGTTCATAGGGAAAGGGAAGGAAAGGGATAAGTACATACCCACGTCGATTTTTACACATATAGATTCATTGAGAGTCTTAATATGTAGCTTTAACAAAAGTTCTTCAGATTTCAATAACGTTTATACTTAAAAAAATATGGTATTTTTCGACAATGGGGTGTTCAGTTGTTAGTTATTAGTAGCGCTTTATTCTTACGTACATACCTACATATCAATTCTTTAGTATCACATTGATATTTGCCTAAAAACTCTTTCACATTTTCGTCTTCATCAATATTTTCTATATCAATTTCTGGTTCAGGTTCTATAATCTCAACGTCACTAGAACTATCTTTTTTCTCATCTCTTATTATTATAACGTCATCAGATTTAACATCGTTATCTACGGGTTTTGTAACTATTTCACCATCTGGTCCAATTTCTACTTTAACAAATTCTGAAGTTTCTTTTGTTTCATCATCTATTATCTTTGGATTGTATATTTTTTTTAAAATAATTGACGTTGTTTTTTGAAAGATGTACTGCTGATTATTTTTGATAACCAAAAATTCGTCCTTATTTAAAGATTCGTCCGGACTTTTGAATCTGCTCGCAACAAAATTTTCGGTTAAGCACATCTCGCAAATAACTTTGAGTTGAGTGTACTTCTTCTGCTCACATCTATGAAGCATTTGGTCTTCTTTATCAAATATATACAGCTTCTCATTATTATCAACGACTTTGGCACATATATAACAAATATGTTTGTCTTTAACATCTATGTCTATTAAAGGTTTAGCATTCCAGTTCTTGCTTCCTAATCTTGATGGGTCTGTTTTGCGTACATGTTTACGTTTTTCCGAACTTTGAGTGTCATACGGTAGAGGGGTTACAGGAGAGTTCTTAAACATGTTTAAAATATCCTCTCGCGTAAAAAAATCATTACGATTGATATTTTCGTAGGACTTATAATTTTCATTTATCAAACTTCTGGGTGATTTATTTTTATTCCCCGAAGGCAATGTTGTATTCGTTTTAAATCTTTCCTCAAGATATTTAGTAAATTGCGCTTCGAAACTAGAAGCATTACTACATACTAGTTTAAAAGGAAGACTGTTAGCAAAATTACATTTTGGACTATTTTTATTTGATATTGGACTGGTTATATTAATATCTTTTATATCACCAATCTCTATATCATCTTTCTCTAACTCATCTACTGTATCTACATATTTAACGAAAGGTATTTTTTCTAGAGTTAAGTCAGTTAGAGGATCTTCATTGTCGAAGTGTATTTGGGAGGCGCGAATTTGAGTTCCATCATCTAGAATGTACACCAAATCATTTGTACCATTTTGGTCAGTGTCCAGATCGAAGTTAGTCTGATTTAGTGTAGGATCTGTTAAGTTTTGCTCAGCGTTTAATAGAAATGTATATGCATTATCATTAAGAGACACTGGCTGGTTGCCAGTTATGGAATTTAAGTCCATATCATATCCAAGAAGAGCCCTGAAAACAATAGATTTTGTTGAATTTTGCAATTGCAACAAAATGTATTGAATTAGCTAATATTTATGTTTTCAAAAAGTTCAAAGTTATTTATATCTATTTACTTTCATCATTGTAGATCTTATGAAAGTTAAGTTTAATATTCTAATTTAATTTGCTTTTTTAGTATGCTATTTATAAAAATCTATGGCTCACTCTTGAATGAAGCAAAAATGTGACATTGAACCCACAGACCCCTTTAGTATCTTATACCTATTAGTAATCCTTTGTTTGAAATGGTAAATATGAATATTCCTATCATTAAGCGAATATAGGAAAAAAATATGGAAACTACACCTCAATTTCTATAACCATATTAATATTATAAATGTGAAAGTTTGTGAGAATGGATGTTTGTTACTCTTTCATGCCACAACGGCTGAACGGATCTGGATGAAATTTGGCACAGAGATAGATTATCGTCTGGGATAACACATAGGCTACTTTTTATCCCGAAAAAATGTATGGTTCCCGTGGGATAGGTTTTTTTTAAATCATAATTTCAGCAATGAGCGCCATCATTTCTGGGGACACCAGTTGGCGCCACTGGCGAATAAGATCCTATCACTGTCTTTGAAAAAGTATTTGTTAGCTCGGCGGAGCCAACATTTTATATAATAATAATAACAATAATTGTTGTTGACACCAGTTGATCAGGATTTTCTTTTAAATAATTAATATATAATAAAAAAATAGATAAAATATTGACTCTTTTTTAGCTCTTCTTTTAAAGCAATAACATTTGTTGAGCTGTACCATCTTTTTGTTGTTGTATCTTATCCTATATCTACCATAATTAATCAATAATGTTTACAATAATCATGAATAATTAATGAAGATCTGCAATGAAAAGCTTGCAAAGAGCAAACATTTAGTGTCATTTGACAGTTCTAGAGACCTCAGTCTACGCTGCGCCTCTCGCGGCGAATTCAAGCCCTCATTAAGTTTACCTATCAAAAATAACTATACTATAGCAATAATGCACTACAAACTTGGATTTATCCAAAAATATCCGAAAGCTATCATTCTTCTCAATCTTCAGTTCCACTTCTTTCCCATTTATGTCCTCCATGCACAGAACTAAAGGGGGTGGTGTTTCAGACATTGGTATTTAATTACCTGATAAAATATCATATATGTAAATAGTTGTATTGAAGTATAACCCAGTGATTATATTAGATTAAGCCCAGTGGCTTAATTTATATTTTTAAGTTGTTGCAAATATTATGCATTAATTAAAACATTGCATTATGTTTTAAAAGACTTGACCAATTTCAGTGATTTTTACGGACTACTGATGACACCTGAGTAATTTTTATTTATGATTACAGCTGCGATCAAGTTGTCATCAAGATCCATAGTAAGTTTTTTTTTATTTTCTGACCAAAAGACCTTTGACTTCTGAGATAGAACAATGTCTACTGGATCTCCTAGGAAGGGATAACTGTGCATACTTACAGAAGTGATTTGTCAATTTTCACACTATCTTAGAAGTTAGAATGCAACTTCATTGATTAATAAATTTAGAATTTCTAGGCATAAGATATCTATAGACCTAGCTGAGGATTAACCCTATTATTAAAGTAAATTTTAGTGAGACTGTAAGACTAGCCATGATTTGTTATGTACAGGGAGCAAATGATGAATTGTATACAAGTAATACTTTATTAAAGTTCTTTTGCTAATTGACCAGATTTACTGTTTTCTTATGTTTTGCAATGTCTAAAAAGATTATCATTTTAATAAATTACTATAAACTGTAAGTGATTTATGCTTATGACAAAAATATATATTTAATTTAAGCTACCTATGTTATTCAATAGTCATAGTATGTTAAATATCTAATAATATCATAATAATAGTTAAAAATAATATATTCTAAATATGTATATAAAACTTTATCTTATATTCTTGAATGTAACATAAATATACAGAATTATGTTTTAATATATTTGATATTTAAAAAAATATAATTAATCATATAAACATTTTATTGCTTATATATATATATATATATATATATATATATATATTCATATATATATATATATATATATATATATATATATATTAAATTTAAAGACAAATAAAAAATATAAAGATGTTATAACAATATTCTTGAAAATATAAATGATTTATTGTCGATACAAAGTATATATTGTGTCATACAATTAAGTAAAATCATTTAATTTATGAATTTCCAGCCAAGTCAGTAAAAGTATATAAATAAAAGCAAATAGTGAAATAACACTGGCCAGTTTAATGTAAAATATTGTTTGATCAGTCACCTATGAATGCAACTTATAAATATGTTACAAGATAAAAAGAAGAAATATAATTTGTTAATCACAAAAATAACTAACCAGGATGTTTCTTTCATAAAGCTAAAATTTTCTCCGCAACTGGCATCATAAAATAACAATTGAAGAAATATAATTTGCTGTCAAAATATAAAAACAAAAACATTCTATTTTTGTTTTCTACAGATACAAAATCAACACAGACTATAGAATATTTTGAAAATATTATTCAAATTAAAGTACAGATTATAAAATTGAAGGAAATATTTATTTTTTATGTTAAAAAATTAAAAAAAAATATCTAAATACTACTCCAATTATATTAAATATTGATGAAACCAATAATATTGGTGAGGTATAAAGATATATATTTGATTTTTACTGTAATATTTAAATGGTTTTCACAGGTATATTTTTTTATAATTAAAAAGAAAAAAAAAGTTTACTACTCCTCAACTTTATATTTAAGCTTATCATTTCATCAATGTGGCATGTTTATTCTATCGATTAGCATAAAATACAAATAAGATAAAAATAGGTAAGATCCCATTTACATTTATTAGTTTTAGATTTTTCCCAAGTGATTTTTTTTAACTAACGACAGCGGCTTGTAATATATTTAAAGTACCTACCTAAAAGTAGCTTAAATTATCGCCTTTTATTTTGATTTTTACTTTTAGTAAATTTATTCAGTAGTAAATATAGTATTAATATTAATAAAAGCGATGAGGTAAATCCGAAATGAAAATTAACTCACACTTAGAGTATACATAAGCTATGTTACATACTCCAAGAATTACTCACAACACACACAGCACCACACTAATTTATTTTCGGCAATAAATCTACACTAGTGTGAAAGAGACCGAAAACAAATTATTTGATTGACTGAGAACATATGAACGAACTGTCATCCATTATTCCTAATAATGGCCGATAGTTTATCTAAATACGGAATATAATCGTATTGAAATTCATCTAATTTGATTAAATGTTTTTTTAATGTGAAAAAGTGAAAAGTGGTACTGCGGAATGTTTCCGCTTACCCCACCTGTGGTGAAGCGTTTATTGGGGTGGAAAAAAGGTCCTGAAGGGTCATCTGCAGAGGATAAATGGTCAGAAAAGGCGGTGAAAAGCTTAGTGAAGAAATTAAAAAAGAGCGGTGCCATTGAAGAATTAGAGAAGGCATTATCCAACCAGAATAGCCACACCAAGTGTGTTACAATACCCAGGTATTTATTTTCACTCTTAATAATGACGTTTCATCTTATTTTATGTAATTATTTTTAGTTGATTTACTATATCTTTGATTTTACGTAATTGATTAGATACTATTGATGTTAAATTTTAATGAGTTTAGATTGCTCACAGCATGCGTAACATATTTATTTATATCACATGTGTTAATGTGCGCAATAAAAATAGTATATAACAACAATAAAAATATTTTTTCTTGTATATAAATAAACACTTTGAACTAAATTTTAGGATAGATGTGTAGATTAATTGAAACTCAAGTTTATTTTGTAATCTTTTTGCTAAATGGGTTCTAGTTATTTTTCAACGTTTTTTAAAATAATATAAATTGATATTAATTAATCTATACTATTAAAATGAATCGCTGAATGTGTTGGTAAGCGCAAATCTCAAGAGCAGCTGAACCAATTTCGCTAATTCTTTTTTTAGAATATTCCTTGAAGTATGAGGATGGTTCTTACAGACAGAAAAATTTAAAAAATTGCCTGGAAAAGTCTAAAAACAATACTTTTCTATACTCCCATACAAAAGATTTGTAATAATACTTAAAAGTCAATTTGAACTTTAATACCATACCATAAAGTTTAAGTGTTAGTGGAGAGGTTCCGGGAAGGCAAAACAATTGAGTGATGTTAGTATGGTATAAATATTAATGTCAATATTTGTCAATATTATTAACAAAAAAATTCAAATTCATATGGTTAACGCTGGCTAATAACTATTTATATCTATTTAAAACGACCTCGCGACAAACCCGAGCAAAGTGAGGGTGACTCGCTAGTTCTATATATTAATGATTTTTTAAAGTAAAAAATATCAACATCGTATGAATATGACCTTAACAATAGTTTATTTTAGGAAATAAACCACTGTTTTATTCCAATCATATTCTTATATAACAAAAGATCATTGATCTTTGTGTATAAATTGAATGTCTTGCAAACAATTATTAAATTATCAAATTCTTTTGTAACTAATTAAATACTTCTTATAATAACTTCTAAGAATATCTAATAATAAAGTTAAATCATATTAGTGACTCACCTTTGCTCGGGTTCATCACTATCAGTATATATATAATAACTCCTAACTGTCGGTGTAACAGAAACTGTCTCCTAATAGCCCCCTAACCATGCTTAGGGGATCCCTTAAACTTAGGTGATGTTGGTGAAATCTGTGAAATATGAAAAAGTGAATACTGTGAAAAAAAAAATGAAAATCGACGAACTATGTCAAATGGGGTATTGTTGAATAGGTATTTAAAATCATTTTTAGGTTTCTTTCATCATTTTTCATTTTAAATAACAGCTTAGGACATATAATGATTCAAAGTTGGTTAACAATCATTTTCACTTATTTTCCTACTTAAAAATACTTAAAAAGCTGTAAATAAATAAATATATTATAAAAATTAAAAAAAAACCGACTGCATAAAAGCTAACTAAAAAGATAAAAACAAGTTCACGACGGAATATAGTATTATGCAGTCGAAGACAGACATACATACGAGTATGTACATCTCTCGGCAAGGATGAAACGTGTATGTCTACGACTGCATAATACTATATTCCTTCGTGAACTTCTTTTCATCTTTTGAGTTAGCTTTTATGCAGTCGGGTTTTTTATTTTTATACCATCCCATCCATATCCTTAGAGGTTTTTAACCTCTTTACATATCATCAATATAGGGTTGTGTCACTTAGTGGCAATGCACTTACTTGGCTTTATACAAATTGAAGAATTTTTAGAATCAAGTCATAGACATCATTGATTCTTTTTACCTTGATTCTTTTATTATATTGTAGATTTTTATCAGATTTTTAATTGATATACTGTATTTGACGTATGAATAAAAAATAAAAATAAAATAGATAGAAATATCATATTTAAAGTATAATACATTAAGTGCACTAATTATTCATTAAAAATGTTGTTTTTATATGTATTAACTTTAGAATAGCAGCTATTGTCATTACATTTTTTTTTAATTTATCATAATATCTATATTAGGTCAAAATAATAAAAAGTAGATAAATAAATACTTAATTTATCTATAACAATGAAAGTTGATGCAATCTGTGCATTATCTTTGTTAACATATTTTTTATAACATATATATGTATTATGTATAAACATTCCATTTACATTGTACATACAGGTGGCTCTGTATGTGTTATCACTGGCTAGAAAAGCCCACTGAAACCCAACAGAATTAGGGAATGTCCGTCTTAACAAGGTGTCACAGGATAACTTAATCTTTGTTAACCTATAAAAATTTTAATAATGCTATTAGAATATAACATTTATAAACATTGATATCTAATGTACGAAATGCAAATTTTTTAAGTGATCAGTTTGTGACTTATTTACTCTGGAAATGGCACAAGGGTACCTACTACCTATCACATAAAAAATGCATGGACATAAACTCGTTATTACTTTTATTAGCAAAATTCTAATTATGTACTAATATAAATTGCAATAGAATGCAATAAAATTTAAATGCCATGAATCCTTATGATACTAAATTCACACATGCACTATACAGATAAATAAAATTGAAGTGTCAGTTTGTAAAAATAACATTTTTATACTAAATGCATATGAAATAATTATATATGGTACTTATAAGAAAAACACAATTTTTAAAGTTATATCTATCTGTTTGTTCTGGTTAATCTCCGAAACGGCTGGACCGGTTTTGACGGGACTTTAACTGGCAGATAGCTGATGTTATGAGTAACTTAGGCTACTTTTATTTTAGAAAAAGTATTAGGGTTCCGCTCAAAATAATTAAAACATACCTAGGGACGCACCCGAGCGAAGCGAGAGTGAGTCGCTAGTGTAATACCATAGTAGTAACTAAATCTATACCTATAAATTGCGAGTCGACGACCTTCGAAATGCCAATGCAATGCTTCGATCAATAAACCTACGTAAAACGGACATGACATATTAATAAACTTCTATTTCATTCATATATACACAAAGTATTGAATTGCATATTTTAAAATTCTAAATTGATTTCCATTTGCATTTTTTACGTCATAATTTACTTTTTTTAAATAATATTGTAATAAGTTGTTACTTTTTCTGTTAATAGCTAGTTTACATGCAATACTAATACGGCAAAAGAGATTTTGTTTTGTTATAATTAGATACATTTCAATAGTTAAAGGAAAACCCGCAGCCATGACCGAACGCGTATAACCCGACCGAATTGTATAGCTCGTTGGGCGCATTGACCTCTCTCTGTTCGATGACCTTCGCAATTTGGTGACATAATCGCAGACAGGACGCAAAATCCAAAAGGAAGGTCAAACTCCCGTCAAAACAATTGAAGCTTTTTGTTAATATGGCCGACGGTATTCGGACCACGATTTTTTAATGTTTTTCACTTATAAACGATCAAATAATATTATAAGATGTTATAAAATCAAACGTTGTCATTTTGTGAGTCGCCTTGTTAGTGTTATAAATAGTGTTCTTGTTAATTTATTTTTTTTATTTCTTAGGAAGTGATTAGTTCGCAAATTATTCTTATTAGATTCCTGTTAGACTGATATCGTATTTTTTCTTTGTCTTTTTGCGCAGTGCAGTGTATAATGTGATCACTTCTACGATCTATCGTGAGTAAAGGTCGTATTCTTTATGTAATGGTTAAGTACTCTGTCATATATTGTAATTTAAAACATGCAAATGTGCTACAACAAGAGTGAATTTGTTCAATGAAAACAAATTGTGTGTGTGTGAAAGTGTAGATTTAGCCTTTTTTTTACGTAACTTTAATAAATAACAAAACAATTATTTTGTTTATTACTTAAATATTTTTATAGAATTTCAAACATTCCTTAGTTTATTATTATTTTATAGGGCTTTTAATTTTAAAGAATTATTTAATATTGCACATATTTTACCAAGAAAATTTCATAGCATTGCAATCACACTTCTTGCAAAAATGCATATTCTTAAGTGCAACTTATATGATATACCATAAAATACAATATACTACATGAATCAACTTTTCATTATGAGTTAATAAATGTGTTTTTGACTGAAATATTTTAATAATTATTTTCCCCCAGACTTAAAATGTACTTTTGTATTAATAATTGTTAAGGTTCTCTATATGCAATGTAAAAAATTAACCATTACAGGATTTATTACATGCGTATAGGGTGTTGTTACATCACTATCCATTTAATATAACTATAATTAACTTATTATATATATAGAATAGAAGGGAAATTATATTATATACATATATGATACTTAACCAAGACAAGGATATGTCCAATCAATCCTTATTATTAGCTGCCCTATATTGAGCTCAACCGCTTATTAACTTAATGCTTTATATCAAATGACCATTTAAAATATTGTATGTTTATTTATACTTCCTATTGTAAAAAATCGTTAAGTGAATTATAAGTTGTCTTTCAATTGAGAAAAGAGTAAAGGAACCCATGGCATAGAGAATAGAAGTAGTACAGTAACTTAGTATTACGATTATAGAAGAAACAGTTTATATATATTGTGATCATTAAACTGGCAGGTAGACAATGCATATCAGAGTGACAAAATCAATTTTTAATCAATTTAAACTTTTTCATTTCAAGCAACGAACAAAAGTTAGTATTTTCTAAATACTAATATTATAAAGTGGATAGATTTTGTTTGTTTGTAATAAACTGTAAAATTGCTGAACCGATTTAATTATTTTTTGAGAATTACATTGTAGTAGCTAGTATAGTATAAATGGCAAATTGAGTATATAAACATTTTTTATTTTATTTTCAGAGTTAAGCCAAACGATAACGTAATCAACGGGCAGTATAGAAAGGGTTTGCCGCATGTTGTCTATTGCAGGCTGTGGCGTTGGCCGCAGCTACAAGTGAGTATCATATTATTATTATTATAAATTAAATATTTAGAAAACCCCCTAGGCAAATTAATTGTCATTTAATGATTACACTGGCACGCGTGGCATTTAATCGAGTAATCATACGCCAAAATGCCTTACATCATTTTGGAAAAGAGCTGATACTCTTACATTGCTAAACCGATACTAACCAAACATAGCTAAGAACTACTGCAAGGAAACTGGCTTTTAAATGAAAAAACCTGCATCGAAATCGGTTCATCCGTTCGAGAGCTACGATGCCACAGACAAACACACAGACAGACAGACAGACAGACAGACATCGAAGTCAAACTTATAACACCCCTCTTGTTGCGTCGGGGGTTAATAAAGGCGAAAGTTTGTGTGCGTGTGTGCGTATTCGTGTGCGTGCATCATGTAAATGATTTTACTTCTTTAGTTAAATAGTATTGTTTATTTATTCCAGAGTCAACATGAACTAAAGCCGGTCGACCACTGCGAATACTCTTACCAATTGAAGAAGGACGAAGTGTGCGTCAACCCTTATCATTACAACAAAATCGACTCGCCTGGTGAGAGATTTGTATTTTATTAGTATGAGTTTTATATCACTTATAGAAATGATTGATTCCTCATACAAACTTCCTTCCCCTCTTCATCCCCTTAACTTTAAGTGATGATTTCTGGGATAAAAGCTATCTTATATCCTTCCTAGGATCTCAAACTATCTCCATACTAAATTTCATATAACCCATTCAGCAGATTAAGCGTGAAAAGGTAACAGACATACAGAGTTACTATCGCATTTATAATTTTATCCATAATTAATAAAAAAGAAATCTCTAATTCATTTTTTTTTTAATTTTCTCTAATTCCAGCACTCCCACCAATTCTAGTCCCTCGGTGCGCGGAGGGCGAAGTACGAGCGCCTCCGCCCTACGACTATCAGCATCACGATCACGATAGGTTAGTTTCGTGTTTGCTCGTCCCCTGTACTACAATGACACATGGACTAGACTGATTCAAGTGGGTTTGTCTCTTGGATTACATTGGCACTAGTGGACTAAACTTAATCAGTCGCGATTGTCTTGTGGACTAGTCTAGACTGTAGAACGATTGTTTGACTCCTGAAATGACTGGATCTGGAGGGTAGATAGATGAATGTATTTAATATATTTAATATATATTGGTTATATCTCCTGTATCTCCTTTCCCGTTTGTCTACTGGACTAAACTTATACAATTGGGTAAGGCTGTCCAACAGAATAGAACATAATATATAATTTATACTAACGACTCACCCTCGCTTCGCTTGGGTTCGTCCCTAGCTTGCTTCTTAATATAAACTTTCCTCCCCATTTTCACCCTCTTTAGGGATGATTTCCGGGATAAAAATCCTATGTCCTTTTCTGGGTCTTAAAGTATCTTCTTACCAAATTTCATCTAAATCGGTTTAGTAGATCCAGAGCTTACCCCCTACAATGTCACAAACTCACAAACTATACCTCTGTATAATATTAGTATAGATAAAGGTATATTAATATTTTTAAACTACGCGGACGGGAGCCGCGGGAAAACGCTAACTTACAATATTAGGGTTAGATTAATTATATTTATTATCTCCTCCAGCGTGATGCAGAGCGGCGTGGTGGGCGTGGGCGTGGGCGCCGGCCACAGCGCTCTGTACCTGGAGGCGACACTAGCCCAGCAGGTGCCGGGCAACACTACAGTACAACTGTTAGTATTTTTGACTGTCTGTTATTATTATTGAAGTTATACTTCTTTTGGCACGTTTTGAAAAAATATGAGAGTAAAATTTTTAAGATGTGCGCGTACACCGACAGTTAAAAAGCGACATACTGAAGTTAGCTGCATTCCTTTAACAAACAAAGTTGTGACATACGGGATGAAATCTTCAGCTATATTTGTTCTGTACGCCAAAGAAGTATAACTTCTTACGTGCGTACATAAGTACACACACGCGTTTTCTCTTGTTATTGAGTGTATACACCTTCATTTTGAAAGTTCGTTATTGGGTGTGTAGTGATTTGTTCAATATGTGAGAGCAGCCTTTGGAATTGAGTTCATACATAGTTCTTCTTTGACTTTTTGGTCAAGACACACAAGTTGGCGCTTTAGATCTGCCATTTTGATTTTTAATGATATCAATGTATCATATATGACACTCGCGTTATCAAGATAAATCAAACGACGTATGGATCATCAAAATCGGTTAAGCCGCTTAGTAATTACGAGGGAACATATGGTCGGACGTACATATATACAAACACATACTATAGGTCAAACACTACCCTTCTTTGGGCTTTGAAGCCCGCAGTAAAAATACAAAAGATCATACTATTATTTTTAATATACATATTTTATTCGCGAAAATTGTATATTATTAATTTAAATATTACTGAGATGTATAAAATTTCTCTTACACTTTAAAGAAAGTAAACGATATGTATGGTAAAATTGAAAATAGTAGCATAAATAGCAAATCACGCTACTATTTATGACTTTGACATTTATTTGGCGGACTCTGTCTATATTATTCTTTAGTCTAAGTCATCATGATAATTTTAAATAAAACTATCATTTCTGACAGAGACTGACAGTCTCTCCCGTGACCATGAATGCTGTAAAGCATTCGAAACGTCGGGAACCAAAAATCCAAATAAATTCGCGAAAAAATCCGAAAAGATAGTTTTATTAAAATATTCGCGTAAATCTAAGAAAGTATCATCATGATAACCTCAACTACGCCTCAAAAGAGTCGTGCCCTACATTTTTAACCATAAGCTATTATGGAGAAGAATGCTTATAACATGCCATGAACACAATTTTCGTTACGAAAATATTGTAAACTAGCGACTTACCCTCGCTTTGCTTGGGCGCGTCCCTAGATACGATTTAATTGTTTTAAGCGGAATCCTAATTCTTTTTCTAAAATAAAAGTAACCTAAGTTACTCCTTATAATATGAGCTATCTGACAGTGAAAGTCGCGTCAAAATCGGTCCAGACGTTTGTTTCTGAACGTAATCGTCATTAATCGTTTGTGATCTGGAACAAACAGACAGACAAAAAATTAAAAAAAAAATCTTTTTTTTATAAGTACCGTTATAATATACTTTTATATGCATTTAATAAAAAGCTGTTATTTTGATATTACAAACAGACACTTGGATTTTATTTATTTGTATACAATATAGTTTAGTAACATGTTGTCAATCTGTCCGTACAGAAGTTCGTCGTCGGTGGAGACCCCGCCGCCGGGCTACATGAGCGAGGACGGCGACCCGATGGACCACAATGACAACATGAGTGAGTTTGTTGACAATTTTTTATTATTTATATTGTATATCCTTTGCTATAATTATTAACTTCACTCGGTGCCTGACAATAGCTAGTTATATTAACACCTCGTCCATCCGCTCTAGATTAAGATTAACATAGAATAAGAGAGACGCAAACTCAGCGTCTGGGCGGCGTCGGTCCACCTAGCATCCGCCGTTCGAGTATGTATGTATGTGTATTCAGACAATAAGGGAGCCTCAAAACGGCTACACGTCTCTCATTTAGTTTAATTTTTTTTTCTTAATTTAATTTTATGTTAGTACAAATAGTTTTCGAAACGCTCCGAAACCAAAAGTAGCTTGTATTACTCCAGGTCATAGCCTATCTGTGTAGTAAATTTCATCCTAATCCGTGTAGCTGTTTCAACTTGACATACGAGTACATACAAACTTTTTAGCCTTTGTAATAGATGTCCGTATTAAAATGCTATTTATCCTTACAACATTATGGTAATACTAGTGGCTTATCCCCGCTTCGCTCTGTTGCGTCTTTAGGTAGGTATATATTATATAATAATAATATATAAATATGTTGGGACATTAAAACCATTTAATTCCATGGTAAGCTACGAGGCTTGTGTTATGGATACCAGATTATTGATACACTGCATATATATAATTTCAAATACATACATATTATAAATATAAGCACGTATGACTGGAGTACAAACGTTTCTGTTCATCATGCTAATGAATCCCAGCGGGATTTGAAGTAGCAAGTAGGGTTACTACAAACTGAGCCAAACGTGTCGTCAAATTATATAGTATAGCGCTGCTGCTGTTTAATAGATCTTTTAAGAACAATAACTCCGTAATACATTGTTTTCATATAACTGTATTGGTTCAATATTTCACCTAATTTACCCACAAAACCTTAATGATTTATACACCTAAACCTTCCTCGTGAATCATTATTATCCATTGGTGAAAACCGTATGACAACCCGTTCCGGTCGATTTTGAATTTATCGCATTCACACATCACATCACAGTCACTCCGTTTTGAAGTGAAAGAAGGACAGACAGACAAACAAACAAACAAACAAACAAACAAACAAACAAACACACTTTCACATTTATAATATTAGTATGGACTAGCGTTCCGTTTTGATTCTTAGTATGGAATAGATAGACTATATATTCACAGGTATGATGAGTTTTATATCCGTTACTTGAGAAATGATTGATACATACAAACTTTCATCCCTCTTTTCACAACCTTAAGGGACGCACTCCGGGATAAAAAGTATCCTATGTCCTGTCCAGGGTCTCAAACTATCTTCTTACCAAATTTCATCTAAATCGGTTCAGCAGATTAATCAAATTACACAGACAGACGTAGGTTACTTTCGCATTTATGTGGGATTTCCAATATGAGTATGCATGAAATAATATTTTAATAATAAAATAAGAGGTATGATATAATTTTAAGAACGGAATGGAATGAAAGATTATTAAAAGAAACGAAGGGTGTATTTGTAATGGCGACAATTTTTTTAATATAGTGGTCAGTGAGTTATCAAGTGTTTTTATTTGCATTCTCTGATCCTACATCTATACAGATAAATAAAATTGTAGTGCCTCTTTGTAAAGTCAAAATAACAGCGATTTACTAAATGCATATGAAATTATAAATATACGATACTTATAAGAAAAACATATTTTTTTACATTTTTGTCTATCTGTCTGCCTGTTTTTTTCGGTTAATCTCTGAAACGGCTGGACTGAATTTGACGGGACTGTCACTGGAAGATAGCTGATGTTATAGGGAGTAACATAGGCTACTTTTATTTTAGAAAAAGAATTAGGGTTTGCTCAAAAATATTACCGAAATTAAGAAGAACTCGAGCGAAGTGAAGGGTGAGTTGCTAGCTTAGTTTATAATATTAGTGTGATTTTTGGTTCCCGACGTTTCAAAAATCATAATAAATCCGCGAAATAATCCGTGAAGATAGTTTAATTTAAAATGTCAAATATTCGCGTAAATCTAAGAAAGTATTTTATATAATATTAGTGTGGATGTATTCCATACAACACAACAATTAAACCAACAAAAAATTGTCTGCTTCCTTTCCAGACTTGACCCGTCTCACCCCGTCGCCGAGCATGGCGGCGGAGGCGGCTCCGGTGCTGTACCACGAGCCCGCCTTCTGGTGCAGCATCAGCTACTACGAGCTGAACACCCGCGTGGGTGAGACCTTCCACGCCTCGCAACCCTCAATCACGGTGGACGGGTTCACAGATCCTAGCAATAGTGAGAGGTGATTGGTTTTTTTTTGTATTTAATTTATAAAGTATGTATAAATAAGTAAATAAAAAAATACACATACTACCATGTCTTTGACACACACACACACACGCATATACACTTTTGTTTATTGTTAAAGTCTGTGGTCATATTGAGAATTATGTATTAAATATTAATACGCGAAACAAACACTTTGTAAGAAAATGGTTTTGAAAGAAGCAAACGCTTTTTAAGAAAAATAACAATCGTAGTCGGAGTTCGATCACTCGGCGAACTATAGTATAGATAAATTTAGTAATACGGTCTTGTTTGCCGCAAGGTTCTGCCTCGGCCTCCTGTCGAACGTGAACCGCAACGAGGTGGTGGAGCAGACGCGCCGGCACATCGGCAAGGGCGTGCGTCTGTATTACATCGGTGGTGAGTGTATGGACGGACGGTGTTTTAATACTTTTTTATATATGTATGTATATTGTATATAGTTAAATGTATTGCCTCGGTGTAGTCGTTAGCATATACGGCTGCACATCTGCAGGTTTTGGGTTCGAGTCTCTGGTTGGATCGAGTTATTCAATTTTTAGGATTCGGTACTTAAAAAAAAGGGAAGCCTTATAGGATCACTTTGTTGTCTGTCTGTCCGTCAGGACCCATTTCTCAGGAACGCGTGGAGGTATCAAGTTGAAATTAATATCAAATACTTGGAGCTGTGAAAAAAACAAACTTCTGAGTAAACGCAATCAAAAGAACCGGCTGTTTATGCCGCATATCTTGACAGTCGCAAGAGAATTAAAACCTATAGGGTATTTCCCGTTGACCTAGAATTATGAAATTTGGCAAGAAGGAACATCTTAGAACATAAGTAAAGGGAAAAGTCCGAAACCCGAAAATATGTAGGTCATCACAAAAAAAACTAGAGATTATAATATTGTTATTTTAATGATTCGTGTTAATAAAATATTGTTAGGTTTTATTTAATGTACCCCGAAACAATTTATTATCTTCACAGGAGAAGTGTTTGCCGAATGTCTCAGCGACTCTTCAATTTTCGTACAGAGTCCCAACTGCAACCAGAGATATGGCTGGCATCCGGCCACCGTCTGCAAGATACCACCTGGTATGTATGTGTTCAGCCCTTTTTAACGTCCCACTGCTGGGTGTGGGCCTACCTACAATACGCGGGGGATCAGGCCATAGTCCACCACGCTGGCCAAGTGCGGGCAGACTAAGCATGTCTTGCATACTTGCTAGGTTCTTTCAGACATACAGTTTTTAGTTTCCTTTGTTGTTGTTGTGTTTTCCTTGTGCGAGACCCGGGATTTGAATCTGCTTCTTCTTCTTTCTTTTTATTAAAAACCATTTAAATGTACACTATACTAATAACACCTATAGTTTGTATTTCCATAGTTACGTTGCCGAAATCTAGTATATAATAAAAATGAAATGTTGCTCGTCGGTAAGTATATCATTCGGGTTTATTCGAATATCTTTTTACTCGACTTCACAAGCAGGGTTATGTTTTTCGAGTGTGACATTTTAAATAAAACTATCTTTTTGGACTATTTCGCGGATGTATTTTGATTTTTGATGACACATTTGTTATTTGTTTTATCCATCATGACAGGCTGCAATCTGAAGATCTTCAACAACCAGGAGTTTGCGGCTCTGCTCTCGCAGTCGGTGTCTCAGGGGTTCGAAGCGGTGTTCCAACTCACGCGCATGTGCACCATCCGTATGAGCTTCGTCAAGGGATGGGGGGCGGAGTACAGGTGACGTTGTGATGTGTACACTATACTATGCTACACTACACTACGCTATACCACACCACACTACTCTCTGACTAAATCTATCTCTTAATATATATAATTCTTCTGTACATGTGTTTGTCATCTTACTCCTTCTAAAGGACCAGTCCTTTAGGAGGAGTAAGGGTCCAGACCCATTTGGATGAAATTTTGTGTGTATATTTCAATGGGCTGGTTTGAAAATATAATTGGACCCGATAGCTGGCGCTGCTATCTGAATGTCACTGTTATCACATAAAGTTAACGTTAGCATAAAGTTAAAGGGTTTTATTTTAGTAGTTTGGGCGAAGCCGCATGTACTGCTAGTGTATATATATATAAAACAATGTCGAGCTATAAATATTATTTATAATTATAATGTCCTCCCGATCGATTTCGGCCACGGAGGCCAATCTGACTGAGACTAGCCAACTGCAGTAGATATTATAGTGCAGACACAACGTGCACTCTCTATTCCCGTCAAAACTCCGGTAGAATGGCGATTATACATATAAGTTCAGTAAGAGATGAGTTACAAGACTGAAAAATTTACGTGCTCTGCTTTTGTTTCGATACGGTGAAACACCGTCAACTTGCCAACTCCGGGCTGTTACTAAGAATATCTTAACTGAAAAATCAGTATTCAAACTTGGTGCGACCCGGGACTCGAACCCAGGACCTCTGGATCTGTAGCCGTACATGCTAACCACTAAACGACTGAGGTAGATGTATACCATAGAACAGTGTACTATGCATGTATGTACACTACACTATACCTGCTATCTGCTCTCAAGCTTACAATGTCATATAACGCCATCTCGTAAATGTTTGTGGTGGAGCACAGGTGCTTATCTGTACTAATATTATAAAGAGGTAAAGTTTGTGACGTTGTAGGGGGTAATCTCTGGATATACTAAACCGATTTAGATGAAATTTGGTAAGAAGATAATTTGAGACCCCGGGTCTAACATATGGTACTTTTTATCCCGGAAATTATCCTTTAAGGGGGTGAAAATGGGAATGAAAGTTTGCTTGGGGATCCAGCTAGGGGCGAACCCGAGCGCAGGGACGGTGAGTTGCTAGATATTATAACTATACCAAAGGTATAGATAAAGGTATACAATAGAAATATATAACCACCTCTAAGCATGAAATAATTACAGTTAATTTAATTCCAAATCTATATACTAATATGTTTAATTAAAATTGCAGACGGCAGACGGTAACGTCGACGCCTTGTTGGATAGAGCTGCATCTCAACGGCCCGCTGCAGTGGCTCGACCGCGTGCTCACGCAGATGGGCTCGCCACCCTTGCCCTGCTCCTCCATGTCCTAGGTGAGGGATAGAGGGAGAAGGGGAAAGATAGAGAGAGAGAGAGAGAAGGAGAGCGACTTAGAGAGAGAGAGAGAAGAGCGAGTGAGGTGTCTCCATTCCGAATTTCAAACAGTACCTTTTAGGCTTTAGTGTGTGAAGAAATGACAAACATGTGTTTGTCTATTTACATTTGTATATTATATAATTCTTCTGCACGCGTGTATATCACTGAACTCCTAAACGTCTAGTCCGATTTTGATGATGACGTGCCGTTCGTTAGTCTTGCTAAAACTCAACAACGGCGGTGGTTTAAATATTAAAAAAAAATAACAGTTGGAAAATCGAAAAGTTCAGGACTTTATTTTGTACCTAGGAATATATAATATATAGTCTATCTATTACATACTAACCGTTATGGTATGGTATGGTATATTCGGGCTTGTTTCCGCAACTCGACGTCTGTGCGTCTATTTTGCTTGTGTGGGATATATGATTTATTATTATTTACTTATTTACTAGCTACTGGGGTGGGGTCTAGGAGGACCACCCTTATCCTTATCACTTATGGGGTATGGAAAATAGATAGTAGCCGATTCTCAGACCTACTGAATACGCATATAAAATTTAGTAAAAATCGGTAAAGCCGTTTCGGAGGAGTACGGTAACAAACATTGTGACATGGAAATTTTATATATAAGATTATACTGACCGTTAAAACGTACTTATTAATAACTAGCATTGCCCGCGGCTCCACCTGCGTTCAAACTACTCTAAACCCTTGTGTTGATAAGATCGCTGCCAATCTTTATAGACTCACCCGGTGGGCTAATCTGAAGATTGCCTGAAAATTTCATCAAAATCGCTCTAGCCGTTTCGGAAGTTTGGAAGAAAATATTAAGTTTTTTTTTTGTTTTCAGGTCAACAGAGTCTAACAGTCAAATAAACAGATAAGCACACAAAAACCTATACTAAAAAAAGTAGATTTCGTAAGCGTAGCTCAAACAAATTGATTACCTCGAGTTTAGACGATTTGATACATTTTATGTAACACTACAGACAGACTATATACGTCCGATTTTTTTAATATATATTTATAAAAAATTCTCGATCGATTATTTTTGTGGCACTTTTCTTGTTTAGTATCCATTTTGAATAGTGTCTAAGAAATGTAAAAATAGGTTTAAAATTTAAATTCATATCCTATATGAAGGGTACAGACTGCAGGCAAAGAACAGGGAATGTCTTAATGAATAGATTATGGGAAAAAAGCAATTTTCAAGTTTAGAATTGATAATATTTTAACAAGCAGTACCCGCGGCTTTCAAGGTACAAAAAAAAGATCTTTCCCTTCCCTTTACAATAGTGTATGGAAGTCTGTCCGATTTGTTGACATTTATGATTACTGTTCCGCTCCATTAGGTAGTAGCATGATTATATATAGCCTATAGCCTTCCTCAATAAACGGGTTATTTAATGCAAAAATAAATTTTCAAATCTGATTAGTAATTCCTGAGATTATCGTATTCAAACAAACTAACTCTGATGAGATCATAGTATGCAGTCATTTTTTGTTATGTATATTTTTGGACAATCGTTCTTCTTTACCGGTATGTCACAGACATTCTCAGTTCTTATCGCTTTGGGCATAGATAAAAATATAGTTTTAGCGACATCCGTTGAGTATTTGTAAAAACTAGTGGTTGAGAATGCAAGTACCATAGACATAGATTCTTCACCAGTACAAAACAAAAAAAATGGGTGCATATAGCTTTTACGCGCGGTTGAAGTAAAACTTCTTTGGCAAATTTCAAAATTAAATTAAAACAAATCGATAATACACAATAAACAAAACAAATTAGGCATATTAGACATATTATTACAATCATATATTTATAGAATATCATATACAGAAAGAATATAATATTATATATTTGTCAGACAATAACAACGGTTACCATGGCAACATGGCAATTTATTCTATCTCATTCGTTCTCGCGGCTTAATCCTATGTGTTTATGTTTGTCTTTTCTCGTGTTGTATTTCCGTTTCATCTAGTTTCAAATCACAACGATTCTAAAGAAGTTTCACTGCAAAAAACATAAATTGTAACATTACCTGTTCTTTGCCTTGTACCCTTCATAACGGATTACGAGACGTTTTGTTATCTCAGACTAGATGCGTATCTCAGTAATCTATCTCTTGTCGCATCTTATATATTAAATGAGCAATTCTTGTATATAAATTTCTTTAGTGTATTTCGGAAACGGCTCTAACGATTTGGATCAAATTTTGTATCTATTTAGATAAGGTTTTGCCTTTTTAAAATCATCTTTCTAAAAAAGCGCAATTTTAAACTTATTATTAGAGCCTTTTTCTATCTTGCTGACAATGTAATATATAACGCGTCATCTCGTGAATGTTTGTGGTACTTGCGTTGTCGCCAATGGATAATAAACCTACTGTTCAAGTGCCTACCATATAGAAAAGAGAATGGTCACTAATAATCTATCTGACTAAACACTTATCTATGGTACGAATAATTATTTCACTTTTTATCAAAATGGCAGAAGACTTTGCGATGGAAAAAGTGAAAGATTACTAAAAATTAATTTTAATGACGTCACATAGGGACGAGCAACTATAAAATAGTATAATATCTTGGTCTTTTTTGAGGTGACTTATATATAGATATATAAGATATAGCTTAAAGTAGCGATTTAACCTCGCTTCGCTCGTGTTCGTCCCTAGGTACTTATTAATTTTTTTGAGCGGAACCCTAATTCTTTTTCAAAAATGAAAGTAGCCTATGTTACTCCGTATAACATCAGCTATCTGCCAACGAAAGTCCCGTCATAATCAGTCTAGTCGTTACGGAGATTAGCCGGAACAAACGGACAGACAAAAATGTTAAAAATTGTATTTTTTAACAAGTATATCATTATTTCATATATATTTAGTAAAAAGCTGTTATTTTGACATTATAAACAAATACTTCAATTTTATTCGTCTGTATTTTAAAAAATATATATACAATATTTTTGTTTTAGCTTAAATTTTGATTTTTCTTTAAAAGAAAAATCTCGAAAATTCTCTTTTTGATTGTATTTAGTTAATATCTTTCATCTCTAGTAGGAAAAGCCACAGAGAGATAGGTTATTGGGAACAGCTGTATGAGAATAAGATAGATGGACCCGTATAAAACATCAAATTTTATTTCTAATACTATATGTAATTTCATATAATTTTCTGTTTATATTGCTTCTTATTACATATTATGTATATGTACTGTAATTACACAGGGACAAGTGGTATTATATAAAAGCTATATTATAATACTATTGCAGGCTTCAATTGAATGTTGAACGCGCCATCTGTCTTATTATTTTGGTCTGAGTTTGTAATTTACTTGCAAACATGTCGGAATGGATGATACAGGGGTGTTCAAGTATTGCACTAAGTAAAATCGCTTTTTTTTTCATTTATATGAGACTTGTCACTTATTCAAGACTAATTATGAGATATAACAAATAAACCATTTATTTCAGCGAACATAAAAGAAAATATTCAATCGATTTTAGCTTCTCCTCCTTTAAAAAGTCGGTTAAAAAAGTAGACGGTAGGTATTTTTAATGTATTGATTTAGTCCATGCTTTACTAAATATGTATGTATAAAATAACGAGTGCGTCCGCCCGCGTTCAGATGACCAAAAACCGAATTCTTAGGTTTTACAGATTAGTATACTCTTACATTGCAGTTTTTGTATTTTTTCTCAGAAATGAAACATTTTCCCGCGATAAAAAGTATCCTATATGTTGACCCGGATAATCAGCTATCACCATACCAAATTTCATCAAAATCCTTTCAGGGGTTTTTCTGCCATGCGGTAACAGACAGACAGACAAAAATTCTAACAACTATAGATTCGGCTTTTGTATCGATAATAATGTCTATTTCAATAAGATTTTCCAAAAAAAATATTTAATGTACAGATTCGGCTTAGTTACAATTTTATTATATGTATAGTTGTATTATACAATGATCACTAATACATATTCATTTTTATAATTAGGTGTCTTGTGGTTCTAAATTTGTCTTTGAATTAAAATACAAATATTTTTTTTATTATGAATAATAAATTTGACTCTCATTTCCGCGACACTCACTTTTTCAACGTATTGACTTACCGTCCACTCACGTACGGTCACGACTAAAGAAGTTTTACTTCAAAAATTTCTTGATTTTTTGTAAGATTTAAACCACTTTTATTTATTTTGTTTATTAAACAATTCTCCTACTCTTTAAAATTGCTTAGCTAATACTTGGACACACCTGTTTGCGATACAAACGTACAGTTTGACGGATATCAGTATTCATATTTAAAAAAAAAACACGAAGAAATCATTTAATATTAATATTAAATTTTAAAATTGTATTTAAATATGTATCATTTTTTTAATTTTGACATTACGAAGTAATGACGTCATTATCAATTGGGTAGTTGACATCATTAATCAAAAATTGTAAAATGCAAATTGTTTAAACAACACTTATTTCTTAGCTCTGAAAATCCCATTAATTTTCAATTAACCGTAAAATGAGATAATACTCTTAAGATTTATGCTCTAATATTTGACATTTTATAGAAGTTTTTTTTTCGCGGATTTATTTTTATTTTTGGTCTTAGACGTCTCAAAGATTCGCCTCTCAAGCTCATTACATTATATAGTTGTCACAGACAGTACCTACCCACAAAATTACACGATGACTTTAAAAATACAAAAATTGCAAAAAAATAACTTAGCTTACTTCGAGAACCAAAAATCAAAATATATGTGCAAATAAAATCAGTTTTATTTAAAATGTAAAATTAGATTTTTAGTTGCTTTAAAATCAATGAAGTTTTCAATTATTGAGTTGGTAATAAGTGAGGTCATGGGCCGCTATCGCCATACACAATGTATGGGGGAATACGCTTTTGATAGAACATAAATTGTATGGTAATTGGTTGGTGGTGTCTGATACCCAAATTGTTTTAAATAACTTGTGGTTCTAAATTTGTCTTTAAATATAATAAAGTTGACGATTCAAATCGTACGTATATTGTAAGTCTATTTTTATAATGTTTGTTTCTAAACGCTGGATCAGAATGGCCTAATAAATTATATTTAATGATATTTATTATTTATCTATATATAAATAAATATGCAATCGTTCGTTTGTACATTATCGCATTTCGTTTCGCACAGAAGCATTTTACAAATTGCTTTCGGAATTTTATGGAATACCAAAGGTATACATAGCATGTATTATTGTTGATTTAAATGGTTGTTACGGTTAAATATCAGAATTAACGACGAGTATATATGGTTAAAAAATCAGACATATAGAAAATAACAACTTACATTTGAACTACATAAATGGAAAAGTTTGTTCACATTCGGTCCAGCGTTTAGAAATGCGTGTTTATCATTATCACTTAAGTTTTGACGCTTGCAATATGTTATGCAGTTAAATAATTGTTTTTTGGCGTGCATGTTAACATTTAAGTTTGTACGTGTACAGACGGTCGCCGGGTGCGGAGGAAATTATATGTATATATACATATATATGTATCGATGTGGATTGTCGTTTTGTTGGAATACAAGAAAGTTTGGAAATTTTGAAATTGTTTATTATATACTTCATAAAGTATTTTAGATTTAGATTAGAGAGTCTCTGTCTTCTGTGTTATAGTGTCATTTTGACCCTGAAAAGTGGTTAGATTGTTTTTATTTAGTATTAGCATAATTTTAAAATGATCCTGATATTTTAAAAATATATAATTTATGTATTATCTTAAGACATAGGAATTAATATTAATATTTGCTTCTAATTCTGACTTTTAAATTATTATGATTGAAGAAATATGTTATTTTGTTTGAATAGGAAGCAAACGTAAAGTATCATTGATTTTGAATCAAAATTCTTTTAGTTACATCACCTTTGTCTATGGTATGTTCAGCAAAGCGACGAGTCGGCAGCTTGTGTCTATGGTTTTCAATTTTTTTCTCTACTGATACATATATATTTTATTTATAGAAAAAATGGCGTAATCATAACATTTTGTTATAATAAAAGTGCAATAGATTTTTTAAATGGATAAAATTTGAAAATCTAGATCCAAACTGATTAATAGACCTAGTCAAGAGATATATTTTCACATATATATACTTGAAAAGTATCAAATAAATAGTATTTTCGATATATACAAAAGTGTGACCGTCTGTACGTTTCATATAATCTATTTTCATACGAAATTTTATCGAATGTTTTTTTTGGTCGAGTCAGTATGGTTGTTTCGGTTAAGTGAATTTTTGTTACTTATTTCTATTGGTTGTCTTTAATTTGTTTTTGATTTGGTTAATTTTATATTATGTATTGAACATAATGTTAAAATATAAAAAAGATATTAATACTAATAACTTTATTTCTTGCATAGACCAAGAAACCACAAGTTATTGATATCTTTATAGATTTTTAAAATAACTATAGTTTTAGTTATGTTTTTACTTCTTTTTGAAAGTTAAAAATGTACGATATTTAAACATGAGCAAAAATGTCATTTTTGTCGATTATTTCATTTATTTATTATTATTTTAAAAACAACCAATTAAATTTTAATTTTTTAAACGATAGTTAAATAATTAACAAAATATCAGTAACCGAAACGTCAAAAAAACTAACTAAACCTTTTTTTTTGTATTGTTACATCAGTATATTTGATTTGCCATGATGCATTTAATGTTATACAAATAATTATCAATCATTATTTTAATCTTGGTGTTTTTATCAATATGTATACCGTTTTATATGTACAGTTAATTTTTTAGAAATATAATTTTAAGCAACCCTAATGTGGTTTTATTTTTTATCTCCCTCTAACTTTAGTTTGTGTGTTTTTGTGTCCCCTTCGCACTGAAACGGCAAAACAGATTTGGATAAAAGTTATTATATAGACTATAACCTGAAGGAACACAAATGCTAAAGGTAGTAATAAAAATTAACAAAAGATGACTGTCTGTATATACCTAATACTATACATACATACTTATTTTAACTTTGGCTTTACTACTAATAACGCATACATTTACTACAATATACGCGATAGTCTCACATTAAGGAAAACTATAGACTGTCATAGAACTAAACATGAAGCCAAACAATAATATTTTAAAATAGTATACAAATATGAATAGAATACCCATTACTAATAAGTAAATAAATGTTAATAACTAAAATCCAATCAGTCCAGCAGTTCTCAGGTAATGCGCTTACCAACGGACAACATTTTATTTACATACTGGCGACTCGCCCGCGCTTCGCTCGGGTTCGTCCCTGCCCGACGTGACCCCCAACTTGTAAGCCATTAACCAAAAAAAAACACAAAATAAAAAGAAAACCAATGGATTTATACTATATTTAAACAAAACGTCACTAAACAACAAAAACAAGACTTAAACACGAATAATTTTAGTTCCCGGCTCCCATTTATATAAGAAACCACTTCGAATCTTTCCCATAGAATTAGAAGATGTATTGTTTATAGACTCGGTCGAAGTATAGTATACTATATTAGTCGATGGGTCATAAGTTAAGGTGTCATTGGATTTCGTTCTAGAAACTTCTGTTTCAGATTTCACAGTGGAATTAGTCTTGTCGCTCTCGTGGTTGACAATGCCGGCGCAACTGTGGAATTTTGAGAACTTTTCGTTCGTACGATGCTCTAGGTCCATGTGCAGGCTTAACTGACGTCTGGAATTTCAAAAGTTAAATTACAAAATTAATGTCCCTATGGATCACTCAAAGATGGATCCTAGCTAATGCATCATCTATATAAATAAAATGGATATTCGTATGTTTATCCTCTATTGCTTTGCTTTTTTTGCCAAAATTTTTTTTTACTTTGGACGTTTGTGTTTAATGCGCTACTTAACTATTCAAGCTTAGGGACAAACGAGCGAAGCGAGGTTAAGTCACTAGTGTTAAATATATTTAAACCTCTTAAGGGGCCTCTACATGTTGGATTTGTGTCCCTACGTAAGCCTTTGTAAAGACCGGGCTCGTTCGTTCGGGCACGAGCTACACATCGGAAGGGATAGAAATAACAAAAATGTCCTTCCGATTTTAGTTACGACGGCCAATCTCACTGAGATTAATCAATGATGTACCCTCTCCATGCCTTTTACTCTGATATTGATAGATATTATGAGAGATCAGGTGCAGACCGAAGCTTAGTATCTATTCAAGCTCGACTTGGGATTCGAACTCAAGACTTTTCCATCTGCAGCCGTCATGCTACTAGCTATTGCACAAACGAGGCAGGTAGATAATAAAAAGCGCATGACAAGCCTTTATTTTCGAACTTCGATAATATCATAGACTCATCATTTTAACGAAAAGGAGAAAATAAAATTACATATGAAAAAAATATGCCCCGGGTGAGGATCGAACTCACGACCTTAAGATTATGAGACTTACGCGCTGCCTACTGCGCTACCGAGGCTTCTGTAAACTTAGCCATTTTATAGGTAACCTATTTTTAAGACACATGTACTAGAAATATTATCTGATATGGTCTACCAAAAAATATAATAGTTAAAAACTAACAACTACCTATAATCAAAACCTTCTCCACACAACTGACATCTCACAGAAGGGGTTTTCGAGCAATCTTTTGATCCTGATGACGTCATTTTACTTTCACATTTCCTTTGCAAAGCGACGCTGCTATATGTTTTATTTCCAGAGTCTGAGCTCTTATTCGATTCAAATTGAGACGATATTTGGGATTCAGTATCAGTTTTGGTGTTTCGATGAAGAGTTTGTAAATTCGATTCGGAATATCGATTTTTCTTGCCATTAGCGATTATTTGATCAGGGTTGGAAATTTTGTCGAAGAATGACACGATTTTTTTCAATTTTTCTTCTGGCACGTCAAGTTTTAATAGTTCAGGATCCGTTTGGGTGTCGATTTCCATCTTAGTTGACAATCTAGACAAAGAGAAAAATCCGTTTCTTTTAGTGACTAGAGTGAAATTTTACTTTGTATATCTATTTTTGCAAGGGACCTACTAATATATAGAAAACAAAATAGTAAATCGTTATCACTGTCTGTAAATGGAGGATATTTGATAAAAATGTCTTATATAGTTATTGAGGGTTTTAATTAATGCAATAGAACCCAAAACAATGATTTTTAGAATTTTTGTCTTTTGTCTCTTTGTCTTTGCGCGCTAATCTCAAAAAGGTCTTTACCAATTTGGGTGCATTTTTCATTACTGTATTGTGGTAAGCTTCACTTAACCTTAAGTATTTGTTTTATTTCAATCGGTTTATAAATAAAAAAGTTATATCAATTTAAAGAATTACATCAAACATTTATTGAAAACCAGACACTCACCCTCGGCTCGCTCGGGTTCATTCCTAGGTACGTTTTAACTGTTAATATAGAATCTACGAATAAATAATTATTTATTCGTAGTACAGTATATCGTACAGATATACTATAATATATGTACATTATATGACGTACCTAGGAACGAATCCGACCGAAGCTAGGGTGTGTCGCTTGTCTTTAAGTAAATATATAACTCTATACGTCATTTTAAGAGCAAACACCTACCGTGCAGTTGAAGGCATCGAAGTAATATTAGCACTTATCCTGGTGATTCCAAGATGTTCATTCTCGTGTACTGTTTTATCATATTCTTTAGAAAAACCTTCGTGGCAGTAGTGGCATATATATTTGCGATCCGGAAAATGACATAAATTTAGGTGATCATTGTAATTGATTATTCCTGCAAAACGAATATTCATTTAATTTAGGAATTTGAATTCTGAAAGCATTCTGTTAAGATATAATGTTTATTGTTTCTGTTACGATTTTATTTAATCCCATTGCTTCTTTTGGCTTATCAAGAAAGCCTTTAGATCAAGATATATGTTTAACGCATACACCATATTTTTAAGAAGCTGACGAGTATATGTCGAGGGTAAAACAAATATATTCACTCACCATACGAAATCATTTTGCATCCAACTATAGGGCAGTGTCGTGGTGTAGTATCCATCAGGCAGTTCCTTTGTGCAGACTGTACGTATGACAGAATGACTGGAGTTTTCATATCTCCTAGATCTATCTCTGAGTGAATCTTCTTTGGACGCCTAATTCTTCTAAGTCGTAACCCTCGTCTTCGTCTTTTTTCGTATCTATTTGAAATATTGTTCTCACTAGATGGATAAATTCGGTTATTTGGCAACGTATATCCATAAGTTCTATCACGTTTTATGCCCAATATTCTTTGCAGAAAAATTTGAAAACGTGTAGGTCTCTTCCCTTCGCTCAAGTAATGTATTGGTATATTTTCGTAGTCACTTTTCTCACTTGCAACTGATAGGTCCTCTTTAGAATCTTGAGTACTTTTATCATCTTTTATTTGATCTTTTTGGGATGTGACTAAATTAAGATCTTTGATAACAGTTTCAGCGATCGATCTATCAGCCTCTCTTTCAGAAACATCACCGCTTGACACTTCTGAAGTTCCAGCACAAGCATCTGTTTTAGTTCTTCGAGATCTTCTTCGTCTATGGATTTTAGGTTCTTCATTAGGCGTTAGTTCAGCTTGGGGAAGTATCCCTATCACACTTGCGTCATAAATCTGGAACAGCTTTTTTAAGCATTTGTATTTTGCTTTCAGAACTTCGTGTTTCTTTTTTGGTACCCATTTCACATTGTCATCATCACTCTCATCTCTTTCTGGTATACTGGTTAGAGTGGGTTGTTTATTACACATGGATATTTGATGTTTTTCCACGATTATACACAAAAATTTTGTTACCAAATATATGAAAACAGATGCAAATATTTCTATATTTTGATACGATATCATAACGTTTCTGCAATTAATATTGTTTTTTTTAATAATAAAGGTCGCTTTGTTAGAGAAGGCATATTTTAGTGACGTTTTATATTAAGAGTTTCGAAAGTCAATATCTTCTTTTTTGATTTATTTGAAACAAAAATATCAGGCCAGCACATTTTTATTTCATGAATAACTTATTAGACTTATTATAATTATATTGTTATTTTTTTGTCAAAATATAATACCAAGGGATGATAAATATTGATAAAAACATAGCCATGGATATACGCATTTTTAACGTACTTCTGTTATCTTGTATTGTGGGACTCACCGACTAGAAAGCCAGTACTACCTACTAAAACCTTCCCTGTCTTAATGGATGGCATGGCATGGCAGGATCACTTACGCACTCAACCATGGCACCCCGACGGCAGTTCTGCCGAAGCAGATCACAACAGCCATGGGTTTGCTTCAACGGTCCACTCTGCTATCAGAGAAGTACCAGGAGCAATCTGCATGATAAACCACTTACAGACGTGCGTGCGAGAAGTACGTTTCTTGGCTTCGCGCCCGACTGAACTGCCGAACGCTAATGAGACCCCCCCCCTCCCCCCACTATTTACATATTATAAATATATATGTAAATAAATAATCTTACATTAAAAACAAGAATAATAATTTTAATATCAATTTTGACAATCAAAATCTTAACTTAATTGTCTCAAAATCATAAGCACTAGCACCAACTATAGGTATTTGTTTCTGGCTTCGAAGTCACTATCCAAAAGACCCTTCGGGCATTAGTACACCTGAAAGTTAAATACAAACCTTAGTAGGCACTGCTCATAGATATACTTGATTATATTAATAAATAATTTAATTGGGTTAATTTAATTATATCTCATCGATTTTCAGACATAAAGGTACGTAATTTTTTTTTAGAATACTTCAACATTTTTCTATTGACAAATTGGTTTAATGGTGATTCGGTAAAATATAAGCAAACAAGTGATAAATTAAAAATTTTAAAAAACCCTCCACTATCTTGGACCGATTTTCATCAAACATAGCTAAGAAAACTCCTGACTAATTCATCTTTCAAACAAAAAAAACAACATCAAAATCGGTTCATCCGTTCGGGAGCTGGAGCTACGATGCCACAGACAGACACACAGACACGTCCAACTTATAACACCCCGTCGTTTATGCGTCGGGGGTTAAAAAGACCCTAAGAGTAAAATAAAAAATAAATTTTGAGTTTATTTTGAAGGTAAATCTTTATTTAAAAAGTAAGTAACACTGATAATATTGTTTTACAAACACAAAAGTGCCTCCATATTTATTTCTTTTAATAACTTTTAGAACCAAACATATTTTAATTTGATTCCCGGTAAGAGGATCCCATGTGATCTCATGTGGGATAGCATATCTCTAATCTCATAGGCAAAATTATATTAAGTAGTTTTAGCCCAGTGGTCGAAATTCGTCCATAAACATTATTGAAAATTTGAGGAAAACATATATGAATAAAATTTACCTACGAGTATGTACCTATCTTGAACGAATTAGCCACAATTCGTTCATGGTACCTATGTATGTTTATAAAAAAATGATTAGATTTTTTTTAACACTAAAGCTCGTCAATAGCTTCTAAACGAACAAAAATCGGTTGATAAATAAAGGAGAAAAAAGTACTGAAAGATTTTTTCGTACTTAATTTATAAATATCATCCTATGGGTTTTATAGATATTTCTGTGGGTTTATAGATTATTTGCGTATAATTATAAAGAATCAAACCTTACTCCTTGTCTTAAAATCTCTTTCTATTGGTGAAAATAGTATGAAAATCTGTATAGGAGTTTTGAGTATATGCCGAACAAACACAAACTCTAAATTATATCATATAGTGATGAAATATTACCTGCCACACACGCGTTCATGAAGCATATCCCGCACCCAGCGAAGAACGCTCTCACAGCCATCTGTTGAAATCATTATCATTCGTAATACATATTTTTTATTTAACTTTATCGTAAAACTAGCGTTTTCCTGTGGCTCTGTTCGTGTAGTTCAATTGCGTTTTAAATAGATATAAATAGTTATTAGCCAGCGTAAGCCTTATAAATTTTATTTTTTTTCGTTAATTTTTCATTTTTTCTCTTTATTAAAACCTTCCGTGGACCTTAAGGAACATACAAAAATTTTTTTGCCGAATTGGTCCAGCCATTCTTGAGTTATGCGCTTACCAACATTCATTTTTATTTATGCAAAAATAGTAGTAGTTTTTGCATAATGCATGAAGTGTATCGAACATCCATCCATCTATCCATCCTCACAAACTATTGCGTTTATAATAATTTTAGTAAAATAAGCTTCTAATGCTTAGTAAGTTCATAAAAAAATATTTACTAGTTTTTGCCCACGGCTTCGCTCGCGTGGTAATGGGATGAGAATCATAGGTATCCTATGTCCATCCCCATGATGTAATTATGTCCTTGCTAAATTTTATTGAAATCTGTTCAGCGATTTAAGTGTGAAAAAGTAACATACAGAGTTACTTTCACATTCATAATATCATTACGTAACATGTAAGAACTATTTTGTCTTTGCCTATTTATATATAATACAATAAGAACCCACGGCTTCGCTCGCGCTAGAACTACAGAAAATATCTAAAAAGGTAATTTCATACAAACTTTCATACCCTATTTTACCCCCTTATAGAATAAATTTCGAAAAATGCTAAAACACGTATTTATTTAATTTTATTGAAGAGCATTTATACCAAATTTCAAGTAATTCTGATCATAAATATTTTTTTGGATTGGTGTTTTTAACGTGACTTTTAAAAACGTGTTTTTCTGTTCGCATTAGATAATCTCCCGCGGTAAAAAGTAGCCTATGTCACTATCCAGCCCCCCAACTATCTTCACACAAAAAATCATTCCAATCCGTCTCTCCGTTTCGACGTGAAAGAAGGACAAACAAACAAACAAATACACTTTGACATTTATAATCTTAAATATGGATGTAGATTATTTGACAAAACTTACACTAGACAAGGTTTCCCTTTGATTAGGTGCCATCGCCGCGATAGCTCCTATCATGATGCCGGCAGACGACGGGTTTGTGAAGCCGCACAGTGAGTATGTTGCTATTAGCTCTGCTCTTGGCTGAAATAACATTAATTATAATAATTTAGATATGAATCACTAGTTCCATTTCTTGAAGCAAAACTTTTATAGATGCATTCAAGATGTAGTACGGACCGCGTTAACTATTTAAAAATTAAATTTTAATAAGCTTAGATCACCGATGGAAGAAATATGGTTTAAACCTTAATCGTGAGATTTAATCGTTATTTAACGATAAGTTTTGTGAAAGGACTTCAATTTCAGGGAACCTAATTAACGAAATACGTGTGATCTTCACCAAAATGCATTTGACCAGCATAGATTTGGAGAGATTCGTGCCCAATTAAAAAGAAAGTGATCATTATATTATTGTAAAAATATTTCAATTGTATAATTAAATCTCTTCTAACTAAAGTCGCAGTGTATCTGATAGTTATCGCTATAAACTCCCCTACTTTTTAGTTAAAATATAATCAAATTTAGCTTAGATAAGGATCAAATACTAACAGATAGTAGACCCTCTCTTTTCATCTCCCCCATACGTTGGTACGCTACGAACTCGTTGACCACGGTTTTGAGACCGATCAAAGATCCAACCAGCTCGCACTCTTCCCACGGTACTCCTGTAAAGATGAAAGAATTAAAAAAAGAAAGTATCTGTAATATGTCCTTTCAATAAGGCTAAAGTACAAGGCAACTTTACGAATTCTTCGAGACTCGCGAGTGAAACACCGCTAATATGATAATTCCAGGCTATTGAAAATTTATTGATAACTTAACCCAATACCTATATCTGGCCTGATACAGGACTCGAACCCAGGACCTGCGGAACTGCAGCCGTACATACTAGCCATTAGACCAACGAAGCAGTTAAAATAAAAGACTGTGTAAAAGATTTTGAATTGTAATTACGTGAATAGTATAACTTAAAAAACCAAGTTTTATAACAACATTTTTAAACAACCCTTTTTAGTATTTCATGCCCGAAGAGTGCCAACGGGAGTCTATAACCAAGCCTCCGCTGTCCGTCCGTCTGTCAGCGGGCTGTATATAATGAACCGTAATAAGTAGAGAGTTGGAATTTTTATAGATTGTCTATTTCTATTGCCGCTATAATAACAAATATTATAAGATAAAGATGGCGAATGACAAAATAGCCGGCATGCAAATTAAAACCCTTCGCGCACTTGACCGGTTTTTAATATTATGTGCTTACCCATACACCAACAGAGAGGAATGAATATCTTCCCAAAGATCCACTCGAGGTTTATATTCTCGTTGCCTAGCATCCCGCCGCAGTAACTTAGGACACCATTCACAAAGGTGATGAAAGAGACGAAAGCAACGAGATTAGCTATTATGTTGAGGATCAGGGAAATCCCGTTAGTTGCTCCTCGAGTGGCTGCTGATAGTGCTGACTGATCTTGCCTAAAAGAAATATTTTATATCAAAATTGGTTTAACCACAAATATTTTTCAAGTCTAACGCTATCTCATACTAGAATACCGTGTAGAACATTTATTCATGTTAAATCGGTTACGTATTTTTTCTTAACTTCTTAATTATCAGATATTAAATTAGTAAAGAAAATAGAAAAATACCAAAATAATTGATAGATTTTGAAAATACAAATTTGATCCTTCGACCCATTTCAGTAAGCGTGAAGTCATATAATGCTATACTTACTTTTCAACAGCCTGAATATTATCGACAGTTGTGAGTGATCTCTTAGTCTCTGGTAACATTAACTTCGCATAGCACACGGCCGCTGGAGCCGACATCATGCTCGCTGTTACGAGATGTATGGGCTCAGCTCCAAAACCGATGTATGCAGATAGTATTGTACCTGTATAGAACATTTTACTTCTTCAAAAAAGTCTTATGGACCTTTAGTTCTATTATTAATATAATAAAAGTTTTTCTCTTCCATTATATTTTTTGTGTATAATTTTTTTTATTTTACAGGAATATCAAAAAGTAAGTAAGTTTTGGAAGTTAAAGAATAAATAATAATTTTATTGAAAATAATAAAAAAATACTTGCCAGAAACGGTAGCGAAGCCTGAAGCCATGATAAGATGGAGTTCAGAGGGGGTTAGGATCGATACGTAGGGTTTTATCAGTAGTATTGATTCTGTCTGAAAAAAAATGTCGTACTTTAAGTTTACCTAAATTTTTCAAATTTTTTAACCCCTGTATATTTTTTCATTTAAACATTAAAAATAACTGTTTTACTACAGTTTTATTTAACTAATTGTCATAATACTTTCTTAGATTCATGCGCATATTTCACATTTTAAATGGATAAAACCGCGACAAAATACGAAAAGACAAATTACATTTAAAATGTAAAGATTGTTTTAATATATAATAATCGAACTTGAAATCAGAAGTTAAATTTAAAAATTGAAAAAGTAACTTTTTCAGAAAAAGTAAAAAAAATTACCTACCATGCCTAAGAAAACATTTCCTACAGCGATCACACTCTCGCACACAGTAGTTCCTGCGGCATTTTGAAGAAGTCGACCTAGTTTCAGGCAGAACCATTGTAGAGCTCCCCAGAAGAATAATACTTCTACCAGCATACTGAAGAAGAATATAACTGGTAGAGTCTGAAAATAAATAAGAAATATTAATTAAAATTACACACACGCTTATCAGAGGTTCTCAGAGCTTCAACTTAACCCGAAAAAATCATCAATTATCGGAATTATAACTGGACGTCAAAAGTCTACCACTAGTTCGGTGAGTGCCTTAGATCTGAGAACAAATGGTCAAAGAAATTCCGTCTAGATCAATTATTGTATAAATTATTAATAAATTTAACTAATAAAACGCAACATTTCTTAACATTAAAATAATTCGAAAATTTTGCAGGAAAATTTAGATTCTAAATTCTAACTTCGTAGTGCTTTTGCTAAAATATAAAAGTTAGATATATTTGGTTTTTTGTACAACTTTGGAAGGTACTACATATTTGCCAGACTTATTTTTAATTTTTACCAACTTGATTCATTAATGCTGAGTGGAGATGAGCTTTTATAAGTGTAAGTATAACTAAGGGAAATGATATTCGAAAACTGGTAATTAACACTTTAATTTATATACTACTAGCATTGCCCGCGGCTACGCCCGCGTTCATATGAGTAAAACCAAATTCTTAGGTGTTATATATTAGTATACTCGTATTAGTATATTAGTTGACCCTGATAACCAGCTATTACCATACCAAATTTCTTCAAAATCCCTCTAGTGATTTTTCTGTGATGCGGTCACAGGCAGACAAAAATTCTTAAAACTATAGGTTCGGCCTCTATTAGTGATAATAATGTGTATTTATCTAAATAATACATAAATAAATATTCATTAACATAATTTTTTAATGAATAAAATAGTGCTATTGATATACTTTTTCCAGATTAGCTATTTTTAATAGTTTTTGACATATTTAGCAAGTTAACTTGCTAAAATCTACATAGTATCATCGTTTTTTTATTCTAACCAGTTTTTGTATTTTTTCTCAGAAATCAGATATTTTTCTGCGGTAAAAAGTATCCTATATGTTGACCCGGATAATCAGCTATGACCATACCAAATTTCATCAAAATCCGTCCAGTAGTTTTTATGTGATGCGGTAACAGACAGACCGACACACAGACCAAAATTCTAAAAATTATAGATTCGGCCTCTGTATCGATAATAATGTCTATTTCAATAAGATTTTCTAAAAATATTTAATGTACAGATTTGACTTACAATTTTATTATATATAGATTATTGTACATGGGGGCAGAATAGATTTTAACAAAATGTAAGTATATATCGAAAACAACGGCGTAAGAGAGAGCGGCGTGGTCAATATATAATAATATACACTACATTCTTCCCAGAGAAATGATTCGAGATTAGCACATGCGCTCGTGAATTATCCTATAGCAACAAAAACAAATTTATTAAAATATAAATCACTTACACTAAAAGCAAACACTTTTTCTTCCCTCACAAGAAGTTCTCCAAACACAAATGCGGCCCCGTCAATACCGTATGAGAGGAATGTGGCCACCTGCAATAATTAATATTATAAATTCAAAATTTAAATTTCTTCATTCAATATCAGAAATACTTACCTAGCTTGCTTCCCCATACAAACTTTCATCATCATACTCATCCTCTTAAAGGATGATTTCCGGGATAAAAACTATTTAACTCACTCACTTTTCATTTCATGAGATTTAAAAAAATCTTATTTAAGTCAAAAAAAAATCTTTTAATTTTGTTCTATACTAAATTTCCTGACAATAACAAACACAAAAAAAAAGAATTATCCAATTAGGTGGAGTTGATCCGAAGTTATGCGCGTAGGTACATACATTTCGGTGACTCCTTTTTAATTAAATAGATGTGTGTGTGGACTCCAAAATTGGAGCAATATTTATAAAATTTTCAGGGAATCTTTAGCCCAGCGGGTTCTGGATTAGATCCTGTGAAGTTTGGTAGCTATCGGAATTTTAAACTCGGGCGAAGTCGCGGGTACTACTATTTCTAGACTAAATGTGAAACTATTTTCAATATACCTTTTTGATTAATAGGTTATATCCAAAAATAGTTATTTTCATGAACAAATATGATTGTCAAATTAGTGTACTTTGACGGTGACTATACCATATAGATATTATTAACAGAATTATTCATCCAGAATTATTCATATCATCTTTGTTATAGGGTGGTTTCACCTGTTTTCGGCCATTTAAGCAAACGTATGACTACGAAACTATTTTTTTCGATGATACTAAGGTCGCAGATAAGTTTTCCAAATATTTTCGAACTTAAAAGATAATGTAGTTTTGATATTTGTAGCCCCTTTACTTGACAATGTCATATTAAAATTACTAGAAACTAAAATCTCTGAAATTTGCTATTTAGTCTGTTTTCGGCCACTAAATTTGGTTTCCGGCCATTAATTTGTTTAGTTCTCGGCCACCATTTAACAATTTGAAAAATTATCTCTATTTGTTCTTGAATAAGTTTTATATTACAGTAAAACGAAATAATACATACGAATCAACAATTTTAATTAAATTTTCACACTATAACAATGTTTTTAGGAACATTTTTGTACTATAACAGTAGATCTTAAATTATATAAAAAAAAAAAATAATATGGAAAAAAATATAGATGATCACGAATTTAATATTTTGAATTACGTAATCAAAAAATATCAAATTCGTGATCATCCTCATCTTCTTCATAAATATCGTATTTCTTAAAAGTTTCATCGCTGGGAATGGTTTTAGTTACATCTATAGCTGTTTCACTTTTATGAGACATTTCCTTATCAATCTTATCTTCACTTATTTTATTTATTTCTTTTATATCAACTTTCTTTATAATATTAAATTTATCAGTTTCTATTACTTTAGTCTTCTTAATATTGATTTCTATATCTTTATCGGTATTTATAATATCACTATCACTTTCTTTGGCTTTTGTTTGTTTTCTTTTTGGGATATTAGGTTTTATATTGTTTCTATTAATGATTTTAAGTTTATTCGGATTAAAGGGGAATAGCCCACACTTTCTGAATCCATTTTTAATATCTTGTGTCATATCTGTATCCAAAGTTTCCTTAAATACTTAACAAAAATTAGTCTTTGTTACGGTTTTGTTGAGGTTTTCCGGTTTTGCCTGCCAATTTCTTAGAGTTTTTTTCCATTCTTGTTTTAATGGTCTAAACACACTAACATCGGCTAGTTGCATGATATGAGTAGTATTTGGAGGCAAAGCGATGTCATTTTCTGCACAAAATTGACTTAAGGGCATTGACATATGTGATTTATGTCCATCTACGAAAAGGATTACTGGTTTTTTAATATTGTTCTCTACTAACCAGTTATTAAAGTCGTTAGCTATGTATTCGTAAAAAACATTTGAGCGCATCCAACCTAATTCAGTTTTGCCGATTATCCAACCTTCTGGCATACTATCTACAACTGCTTTTGAAGGTTTAATGTACGGAAACACCACGAGCGGAGGGCATACTTTACCCGATGCAGTTATCATTATTAAAACAGTAATTGTTTCGTTTTCGTTACCTCTTTTAACAATATAAACATTTTTGTAGCCTTTCGGAGCCAAGACCTTACCAGATTTTGGACAGAGTGAAACTCCAGTCTCATCAGCGTTTAATATTCTGTCAGGATCGTTCATGATATCTATAACTCCTCTTTCAATCAAAAAACATTCAAGATCTGTAAACCATTTTTTGATTAAGCTCTCTCTGACCGCCTCTCTGGCTTTATTAATACTTTCAGGTTCACGTACCCTAATCTTCGGATGCCTTCTAAGAACATTTTGGTACCATGTCTGTCCCGGTCGCCCTTCTGGAAACTTATTTTCTCTTAAAATATTTTTAATTATTTTTGCAACATTTTCCAGCAATACCTCTTTGCTCACAGGAATCCCACATTTGGCTAATTCTGTAATCCAGTCTACAATTTTTTGCTCACCATCAATGCCTAGTATAGGCTCTGGACCTACTTTTCGAGGTTGTTCTTTATATCTGCCGGAAATTCGATCTTGAACTGTTGAGCGAGGGACACCATAGTGATGGCAGGCCTCTCTGATGCTTTTATTTTCTGTTCTTATGGCCTGGACAGCTTGTGCCAATGCTTCTTCAGTATATTGGAAATAAGTCCTCTTATTTTTAATAGTATGTTTAAGTTTATTTCTCCCAGGAGGCATCTAAAAGTAAAAGTAACATTATTATTACTACAATATGGCTTACACGCGATTTTATCAGTGTAAGTCTCCAAAACTATTCTACAGAATTACCTATCAAGATAATAAAAAAATACAAAAACCCGACTTCATAAAAGCTTACTAAAAAGATGAAAACAAGTTGACAAAGGAATTTAGCATTATGCAGTCGGAGACATACACATATACATATCGCGACAAGGATGAAACGTGTAGGTCTACGACTACATAATACTATATTCATTCGTCAACTTGTTTTATCTTTTTAGTTAGCTTATATGCAATCGGGTTTTTTATTTTTATAACAGTTTTTTTATTTACAGCTTTTTAGTTTTTGCCAATTAGACATTTGAAGTAATATTTAGCCATTTTTTATCCTAAATTACTTTTAAACATTTAAATTTTATCTATTTTTTATTGCCTATAGCACTCGCGTTATCGTAACGAATCTAACGATGTATGAATCATCAAAATCGGCTCACGCGTTTGTTCTTTAGAATGCCATATAGGAACAAACAAACATACATACATAGACTGATAGACTGATAATCACAATACCCTTCTTTGCGTCGCACAGTCGGGTAAAAAAAGATTGTGTTACAAAAATCCAAGCCCATGATCATATAAACATACAAACATAAACTATATTTGTTGTAATATTAGTAGATGAAAATAAGATTTACACAAAACAAATAATCTTACGTCATTTTAAACGTGATCGAAAAATAGAATTACAACAACAGCTTTTCGGCCGTTCTTTCAAATAGGTCTGAAAACTAACTGTATGTTAACTAATTTTCGGCCACCTGCTTTATTACTGGCCGTAAACTAAGTTTTTATGAACCGATTTATCGGCCCCCCTTTATACGTGGCCAATAACCAAATTTAAATTAATTAATTTTCGGCCGTCTTATTGCTAGTGGTCGAAAACTCACTTTGATGTACTTGTTTTCGGCCGTTGTTTAACTTGTAAAAGTTTGCGACTGACCAATAAGACGGGTCTTGGGGAAGTCATTTTATGTCTGTATTGTTTGTCTGACTGGTGATTTTTATTCAATTATTTCATTTATTGTCATTTACTGTCGAAATTTTTTTCTGGCCGAGCATCGGTAAACATATTATTAGTTTTCGTCCATACCCATTATACCTAGGCCGAAAAGTAATTATAAGAACTCTAATTTTCGGCTGCCAAATACAAAATAACAAAAAAATATTTTTCACCAAATATTAACTCATAACATGCGGCCGAAATCTGACTACATAAATGAGGGAAGGTTATATTTTGTTTTAAAATATATTTTTTAAAAGTATTCCTTAAATATTATATAATATAATCTATTATATTTACAAAGCTATCTTTTAGTTCTCGGCATGCCGGGCGAAAAGCAGATGGCCCCCCAAAACCTTATCTAGTTACCCGACCATCAAATTTAAATATATAAAACCTTATCTTTCATCCATTTTAATTAAAATAACACAAATTCAAATAATCACCAATTCAGAGTAATAACATTTATATTTATCAAACCTTAAACAATTTAGTAACTTACCTTGCAAAATTTTCTCGCGCTCTATTTTTTTTGTTATTATTATGACACACGTGCACTACTCGACTTTCGGAGGCCCACCGACGAGACAGTTGGATCATTATAATGCAACAAAGTTCAGAAGGCGTAGGTTTGATTGGAAAAAATATATTTGACGTTGATTTTTAAATGAGCAGAGTAATGATTTCTTATTATCATCATAAAACTACGTCTTGGCCGAAAACCAAAGGTGGCCGGCAAACCGGCTAAGCTACCCTATCTAGTAATAATTCATTATAATTAGCAATTTAAATTAGGAAAGAAACACCATCTGCCAACCTTTTCAGAGAAACATCGTAGTGCCGTCCTGCCAGGCTCCCATCTGATCAAAACGAGACCAAACAGGAATTGAATGAGTAACCCCATGGATACAGTGCGCCAGTTTATACGACCAGGGTGTAGGGAGAAGACGAATCCTAGAAAGAAAATTGTAAGATAAATATGGCTTATACTTGCCACTGTAGCAATACTACATGTATTTTTCTGACGGGATCTTACGATATTTCTTCGTTAACTTTGTTTGTATCTTTATAGTTAGTTCTCTTTTTATATAGACGCGTTTTTTTTTTATTTTTATATTTTTTTTATTTGCAGCACTTTGGACAATTTGAATTTAATTCGATTTTTCTCTTGAAATGTTACTATGTAAGATCATTCTTTCTATTTAATGATTTAAAGATCAAAAAAAGGATCAAAGTAGAGGAAGATATCACATGTACACAAAAGAATTTGCATACGAGAGGGGAACAACTTTTTTTTGAAGACGCTCAAAAGTGAGTAGGTACAAAAACTGTTTTTTCACCATATCTTCATGTTTCGTATTAAGTTTAATTGCGTATCAAACTTTTTTAACCGTTTTCCAAAAAGTATGAGGTCTATGTTTGTCTGTGTATATTTTTTTTGTCAAATGTTGGCTGGTGTCAATATTCTAAAAATCTCAAAGATAGGTAATGAACAATCTAACGAAATAGTCTAGAGATTCTGCGCTCCCCTTTATTTATTTTTCGCCTTACAAGAAATTTCACTCTTATTCTATAAGTAACTTGTACTCACCAAGTGTTAATATTAAGAAGAGACCAATGAGAGAAATAAGTCTTCCAGGAGAATCTCGCGTGTCCCAGTAGAGGAAAAAGGCTATCGCGCCTATGACTGCGATGCAAAGACACCATCGAAATACTCTGTAAAAACAAAAGTTTAATGTTATATAAGAACTTTTTAGTGAAAAAGTTACACCGACTTCTACCTTCCACGCATAAAAGTGGCAAGCTTTTAAATTTATGTTGCATCATCCTTGAGGCATAATTCCTGCTAGTCTTGGCTAGTCTCAGTGAATTGGCCTTGGCCGAAATCGGGCGAGAGGACATTATTGGTTAAGTAAAGTTAATTCTATTAACACTATAAAATCAAAAGTTTGTTGGAGGATCTATGGATGCATATGTTTGTCATTTTTTCACGCAAAAGCTACAGAACGTATTTTGATGAAACTTTACACTAATATAGCTTATATATCAGAATAACACATAGCCTATAATTTATGAAGATATAGTAATAATATATGAATATATAAATTAGACAGAGCTGCGAGAAAACTTTAGTACTTACATAATCTTCCAAAAACCAGAACTCACACTCTTGACTTTCGTCCAAACAGCTTTGTCAAACCATTTGCCGATCGACCTCTTCACCACAAGGAAGTAAAATACAAAGAAATATATGATGCCTAAAAATGCTATTAAACTGCCAAAACCATGGCACAGTTCCAATGGTTCCTTACCTGAAAAAATATAAAATCTATATGTAAATAGGTAAACAGTTTAGTATCTTTTTCTCTTTGTCTATTTTTTTTGTTTAGCAGCTATTTACGAGCTTTTTAACCCACGAAACAAAAATATAGGCGTTATAAGTTTGACGTGTCTATCTGTCTATCTGTGTGTCTGTCTGTGACATCCTAGGTCTCCCGACGCGGCGACGCTCATCATCAAAACATTAATAAGCACTTTTAATGAAGTTAAAAAATAAAAGGCCAAGAGAGAAGTCTCTTGGCCTTTTATTTTTTTATACCTTTTAGCGTTTTGTTTTTGTATCTGGGGTTACTTAAAAGTTTTATTTTTATTAATTACAGTTATATTTTAATATAGATAGGTAAATTTTATTCATATATGTATATTTTGTTCAATAATTATTATGGTCGAATTTCTACTATGAACACTAGTTATATTAAATCTATATAAATAAAAATAAAATACTGTTGATTGGAAAGAGCGTCACTTGAGAACGGCTGAACCAATTTCGCTATTTTGAATATTCATTATAGTCCAAACAAGGTTTTTAGATAAAACTATTTGTAAAAAATATATCAGAGGCAATACTAGAAAAACTAAGTGGATTTTTATATGAACTCAAAGATTACAAACAAAATGAATAGAGATACTGACTATAAGTCATCCAATAGTAAAGGCAAGCTAAAAAATATCCTATAACTGCCCCATTAAGGATGAAAATTATTATTGTTCTCATTGCAGATCGGTTTTTCTGGAGAAAAATGTCTGTCGAACTCCCGACCTTGCTCAGTGTGACCTCCAACCAACCACTGGGCACGTAGTCTAGTTGCTCATGTACCTAAAAATATTAACATTATGTAAATAGGCAAGACAAAACAGTTCTAAACCTTTTTCTCCTCTGTTTATCAACAGATTTTCTTTTTAGGGTTCCGTACCTCAAAGTTAAAAAAGGAACCCTTATAAGATCACTCTCTTGTCCGTCTGTCCGTCTGTCTGTCTGTCCGTGTGTCACCACCGATTTTCTCAGGAACGGGTGGACCTAGCAAGTTGAAAGTCAAGTACTTTTTAGTCAAGCACATTCTACGTGACTTTTTAGTCAATTAGAATCTATGGGTGGTATTTTTAGACAAAACAGGCCTCCCTTCAAGACGAGGGGGATCAGGCCGTAGTCCACCACGCTGGACAAGTGTTGGTTCGCGGATTTCACATGTCTTTCAAAAACCTGCTAGGTTTCCTCACGAAGTTTTCCTTCACGGTAGGCAAATGGTAATCATGTTAGAAATGATTTGCACCTGAAAATATCAGAGGTTCGAGACGCAGGATTTGAAACCGCTTCACTCGGTTTTCCAAGCGACCGCGTTAGCACTGGGCTCCCACTGCCTTAACTACGTTGTTACAAACAAACAAATAAACATTCATGTTTATAAAATTTCTTTACGAAATTCGTACGTCCATGTACAACGTCATACGTATGCTACGTATTGAAAAAAAAATATTCATCATTTTTGACTTACAGTTCCATTATGAGTTGGCTCCTTTTTCTGGACACTGCTCAATTCCACGGCGCCATTTGCTTCCTTAAAATTGATTTAAGTATATATTATTATAACATTCGGATATTTAATGTTTACTTTTTAACTTAAAATGTGCAATTGTTTTAAAATCATCCTCAGAGGCGGAAAATATGAAATTTATATAGGTATCTGGATGAATAAATGGATGAGTGAATAAATTGTTTCTATGACCCAGCTACAAAAACAAACAAAAAAAATGACTCAACTTTTTATATCGGACAAGTCTGTATTCTATTTGAATCCGAAATGTAAAGTATGAATGTGTAGTTTTACGTGCTAGCTATTGTAGACCGAGCCACTGTCTACGGTAAAGATATCAATCACGTCTTGTTTAATGAAACAGAGTATTTATGTTTATAAATAAATTTATCGTTCTACAATGCTATGAACAAAATAAGATTCATCTCAAATGAACAACACCTAACAATTTTATGCTAAGGTGTGTTGTTTCCTCAAAATTAACAATAAATAAAATACTTTTGTTATAAATGCGAAAGTTTGTTTGAGTGTATGTTTGTTACTCCTACGTGCTAGAGTGACTGGATAGACTACAAAATGGAGTAACATATAGGCTACTGATAGCCAAATTTGCCAAAACTATCAATAATCGCTGATATATTATTAGTTATTAAAAAAGTCGAATGATTTTATTGTCTACAAAACTCCATTAGAATTTCTTTTTTAGTAATAAATATCCTATGACTATAATCTCAATAAAGTTCAATATGAAGATAAACCCTAATTTTTTCCGAAAATAGTATTTAACTTATATGGATGCCAAAATTTGCTTTAACATTATTGTATGCTACACACAAGAAACGACCATTTTGTAACTGAACCTTTAGTAAATATTTAATTATCAAACTATTTTTAAGGATTTTTTCGCGGATTTATTTCGATTTTTGGTTCTTTACGTTTTGAATGTTTTATAGCAGCCATGGTCACATTAGAGACTAAATTATTTGATAAAGAATATAAATGAATAAAAACTCAAAGAAAACTATAACAATAGGTATTCGTGTAATCTTTATAGCTATTTAATGGTTTCTGTACGTGATGGTTCATTTATTTAAAAAAAAATTATTATCGTTAGCAATACGTAGGCACTGTGATAATATATTATTATTTTTTCGCAATAATATTTTATTTTTCCTAATACATAATTTCTTTTTCTACAAACACTAGTGCTATCCGTTTGTCTGACAGTCTATCTGTCTGTGACACATTAGCAAGTATTCGAATGACATAAAAATAGCTAGTCTATACATCTAATAAAATTGTAACTAAGCCGAATGTGTACATTAAATATTTTTTGGAAAATTTACCGCGGAAAAATATCTCATATCTGAGAAAAAATACAAAACTGCATTGTAAGAGTATACTAATATGTAAAACCTAAAAATTTGGTTTTTGGTCATCTGAACGCGGGCGTAGCCGCGGGCAATGCTAGTACTGTAATATAATATAATAATATTTATTGTAGTATATTTACCGAATGTCTTTTCCGAACTTGCTCCATCTTGACTAGATTACAGTTTTATAAGAAAAAGCCAGTGAGCAAATCTTCATTTATCTAATATTTAAAACCTTAGTATGATAGATCTGAAACAAAAAAAATGATTTTTAATACCGATAGAATTTATTATTATATTGCCAATTGTTTAGAGGTCCAGGGTTCGATTATCAAGATTTTTTATGATGGTATGAGTATGAAAATGGTACATTAGTACCAATATTAGCAACGAATTCGCAACCATTATGAAAGTATTATGACTTACTGCCTATTTGATTGCATTAATAACGGATCTCATTCAGACCTATTTTAACGTCCCACTGCTAAGGACTGGCCTTCTTTTGATGCGAGGGTGATCGTACCATAGTCCACCACACTAGCCAAGTGCGGTTTGGCGGACTTCACATGTCTTTCGAATACTTGCTAGGTACTCTCAGGCATGCAGGTTTCCCCACGATGTTTTCCTTCACCGTACTACGCTGGACGACGACAAGTGGTAATCATGTTGGAAATGATTTGCACATTAAAATATCAGACGTGCGAGACCCGAGAAAAACTGCTGAATACATACAAAAGCATACATTTTTTTTAAATGACGCGGGTAGAGCTGTGAGTAAGTGGTAGTAGGTTGTAGTTACGAAGATGTTGAATATGAATATGTATAAGGCCTTCATAGCAAGGTTTAGTTGACCTTTATCCACAAGATGTTAGGGCTTTTAAAGGTCAGTGTGATATAATTTCCTTTCCTAATCAAGAGCGGTTTTATATTTTTTTTAAAAACGAGCGAGCCTTATCGCTGTCGTGTGATGTGTAACATCTGACATCTCACCTTATTATGTTTATTTCACTCTAATTAGACTATTTAACTTAAATTTGCTATTAGGTTTCCTATTGTAGTCTAATTAGACTGCCTAAAATAAGTTTGAAGAGAATGTTGATTGTTGCTAGAATTTTTTTATAATTACATTAAAGTCGAAAATGAAAACTCACAAAAAACAGACCTCCATCTTTGGAAGTCCGCCATATTGGCTTTACAATAACGTCACTTTGCTTATTGTGATTCGCTCATCAAGCCCTTTTATTTGATATCCATATCATGGGGTTCATAAAAAAATCAGTCCGCCATCTTTAGGAGTCCGCCATATTAATTTACACATTTTACCATCTGACGGCCAACTCTACCACCGCGCACACTCATTGGTCAAATCAAATGGCGTGCGTTTCCCCGGCTTCCTGTTACACACTTTCGTCCCTTTTCATGAAATCACTCCCGGAAAGCGAGAGGAAAGATGTTACACATCAAGAATTTAAAAGATTTCCCGTTCTACGAGTACTTCTATAGTTACGAAGTGATGGTTTAATTTTAATCTATGATGTATCCCGAACTGATTTCCCAATTGTAGGCACAGACACAAGTGTACCCTCAATCCCTTTTTTACTCTCAAATTCCGATGTGATATAATTCGGCACGATGTTTCGACCGTAGTGTTTTTACATAAATAAGCCATAGTATGGACTACGAAAAAAAATCTACAATTATTTCAGGTAAATTTCTCTACCTCGGTGATCTAGTACGGCTGTGTACAGATACTGGGTTCGAGTCCCAGGCCGCACCAAGTTTAGGTATTGAGTTTTTATGTCAAGTTCAAAAACGACTGGAGCGATTTTGATGAAATTTACAGGCTGTCTTTAGATTAGCCCAGTGAATGATCCTATGAAATTACCAGATATTATGTAGATTTGAGTTTTTATCGTAATCTATTTTTTGTATATCTTACCTATATGTCTGTAATTAAATTATTTATATTTTTAATTACAAAATTAAGTGAAATTGAATTGTTAAGTGAAATAAACATGTTTGTTTATTTAAATCATTTTCGTATAATACATTTAATACAACACAAACAACAAACCTACCTTTAATTTTCTAAGAATCACCATTTAAACACTAGCACCGTATCATTTTCGGATCAGTAACCCACTTTTAATTATAAGTAATCAAATAAAAAAATATTATAAAAACGAAATCTCATATCTTTCAACAAAAACCGTGTTTACTTGAGCAAGTGGCAGAGAACAATGATATGATAACAAATCATAAGTAAAGTCTACGTCAGTTCAGGGTTGCCTTTGATAAAGAGATTTATTTTGTTACTTGCTACTGCCTCCGACTTTACTTACAAACATATATTTATTTCTATTTATTTGATAGCAATAAAATGTCAAAGGTCCTATATGATCTTTAAGAAACCTGAATGTGATTGTGTGAATGAACTTTTTTCCACCCTAAAAATCTAATTTTTATAGTGGAATAAAATCATTTTGAAGTTTATGTAGCTTTTTAGTTACTATTCCGATGTCTAATCATCCTGTAGTGGTGGGCTCATTAGCATCCGGCTGTCCAGCCGGGCATGAAGCCAAGAAACGCACCTGGTAGGCAGGAGGTGTTCCATACGGGTTGCACCTCGTACTTCTCTGATAGCAGAGTGGACCGAGAAAGTAACCCCTTGCTTATTGTTCTCTCTTATTGATCTTGCGATGTTACGACAGGCAGCCGTTGGGGCGTCGTGGTTGAATAATGAATGCTTTAGTGATGAGTAAGTTCTGTTAGGTTTTAGTGGATAGTACTGGATTTTCTAGTCGGTAAGTCCCACGTAACAACTAACTATATATATTCAGGTGATATGCGTAAATACATTTCTCAACATAAAAAAAAGGCTTTTTAGTTCAAAAGTTATAATATTAACTGCTAAACACTCTTAAAACATGCACGTAAGTTTATGGTCCGAAGAGTAACCTAATATCTTATTATGACAAAACAAGTGTGTGTCATTAACTAGTACTTAGTCTATTGCAGCCCATTTGTTTAAATGGTCAAGTGAAACGGGTTCGAACCCGAATATCGCAACTCTAAGATATTTATATGTGACTCGATTTCAATATGATTACCACTCGTTAATACGGTGAAGGTAAACATCATGAGGAAATCTGCGTGACTGAGTGAAACTTGCTTTGTTATGCGTAATGCGTGTGACTCTGACTGAAACTGTAGGGTAGGCCCACACTCAGTAGTGAGACGAGAAAAAAAGCAGAATTTTTATATACAATCCCCCAGTGGCCGAAATCCGATCATGATCATTTGTTTATAGATTTTTATAAAGCTTTTCAATAGCTACTAAACAAAAAAACAGTTGACAAACAGAGGAGAAAAAAGTACTGAAATGTTTTGTCCTTACCTTTTTATATATAGACTATTTTTCCAGGATAAAAAGTAGCCTATGTGCTATTCCAGACTATAATCTATCCCAGTGCCAAATTTCATCTAGATCCGTTCAGCTGTTCTGGCGTGATTTAGTATAATAACAAACATCCATCCAAACATCACTATAAAATACTAGTGACTCACGCTCGCTTCGCTCAGATTCGTCCTTAGCTTTCTTCCCAATACAAACTTTCATCCCTATTTTCACCCCCGTAAGGGATGATTTCCGGGATTAAAAGTATTCTATGTCCTTGCAAGGGTCTCAAACTATCTTCTTGTCAAATTTCTTCTAAACCGGTTCAGTAGATCCAGAGATTGCCCCCTCACAACCCAAGAAACTCACAAACTTTACCTGTTTATAATATTAGTATAGATTAAATTAACAAAGTTAAACAAGTGCTAGTTCTAAGTAAGAATTAACTCATTTAACTCAATTGCATCGTTAATGGTTTTTGTATTTAATTTTTAAACGAGAATAATCAAGTAAATAGCTATTTTAATTTAATTATTAATTTAAACCTGACAATTAAATAGTTAACTAATATGGCGTAATTGTATTACCAACTATACCTATACATACTTTCGACTTTACTTCTAATGTTTTAAGTTACAATTCTTATTCATATTTATATGTACCTCGTTATATTTCTGTAAAAATCTTTAAATGTGTATATTAGCTATTATATTTTCAAAGTTTGTAAGTATGTGTTTGTTGCTCTTTCACGCTAAATTGGCTGAACGGATATTGATGAAATTTAGCATAATATTTTAGACTATAAGTTCTAGAGACACATCGGCTGTGTACTATTAGGTTGGCTAGGTACGTACCCAACGAAGCAAGAGTATAGTATTGTATAGTCCTCAGTATTAAATATACAAACAATTTAGAGTTTACACGAAGGATTCTATTATAGATAGGTGATACATATATGTATTTACTATGTATATATGTACGTATCGTCGCCTGAGTTCTTATTTGTTCAAATGACTAATATGTGATGTACTTTACAGTAGAGAGTATTTTCCTTCCTTTTTACCCTATGGCCGCGACGCAAAGGGGCGTAATGTGTTTATTAATCAATGTATCTATGTAAGTTTGTTCCTATGTGATGTTCTAGAGACAAAATGCCGATTTTGATGATTCAACATTCGGCGGATTTCAGGCGCCAATTTGTGGGTCTTTATAAAAAATCTTTCAAACCAATCCAGGTGGGTATCAAAATAATGGTTTTTAAGAGGGGATCACAAAAATTTATACAACTTATGTTTTTTTAAATAATTTAGGATAAAAAAATGCCAAATATAACTTCAAATGTCCAATTGGCAAAAACTAAAAAGCTGTAAATAAAAAAATATATTTTAAAAACTAAATGACCCTACTGAATAAAAGACCCTAGCTTGCTTCCCAATACAACTTTCATCCCTCTTTTCGCCCCGTTAAGGGATGATTTCCGGGATAAAAAGTATCCTATGTCCTTTCCAGGGTCTCAAACTATCTTCTTACCAAGTTTCTTCTACATCGGTTCAGTAGATCTAGAGATTACCCCCTACAACCTCATCTTTTTATTATTATTGTATGTGTGTTTATTGCTCTTTCATGCTAAATCGGTCGGGTTCATCCCTACGTACATATCAACGGTTAGTATGGAATAGATAGACTGTATGTTATATATAGATAGGTATGAAAAAAACAGTTCTGAACTTTTGGATTTTAAAACTATTTTTTTGAAACAACAAAAAAAAA